TAGAATCTATTGAAGAGGAGAGATCAGGAAAAAAATTATGAATACAGTAAAAAAATCCCCCCCCCAAACAAAAAGAAAAAGAAAAATCCCATTTAAACATCAACAAGGACACGCCTCTGAAAAATCTATCTGCTTAAACAAGCTCCTAGTTAATTGATTATCACTTCTTACCTGATCACCTTGGGATATTGTTCATTGCCTTGTACCTAAAAGTTTCTCATCGACTTTTTTTTTGACAATGCTGTTTCTAGTTTTGTTTTGTTTTGTTTTTTAGGAGTTAAGTATTCTAACTAAGTTAAATCAATTCCCATCCCTTGCATAACATGTTTTTACAGTTACTATATTATAACAATTGTTTTAATTGATTACTATAATAAAAGGTCTAAAGTGCCCATTAATATGCAACGCATCTGATGATATGTTGATGGGATTTTGTAATTTCTGTTATGTGCTTTATTTGCTTAAATTTCTTTTACTGATTGCAGAGAACTATCCTTCTCAAGTTTTTATGTGATGAGTTGCTCAACTCTTCCCTCATACGCCAGCACCTTGAGCAATGTGCCGAGTCTTCTGCTGAATCACATCAAAAGTTGCGTGCACTTTCTGCCGAGTGGAAAAGCCTGAAAATTAAAGAAGAAATATTATCTAGTAAAGCTGCAAAAATTGACACAAGCTCACTAGTGGCTAGTGGAGAAGTTGCCGTCAAGGAGGGGCTTCCTGGATCACTATCAAATCCTGGTAAATGCCTGGTTCAGCCACACAGCGCAAGTGACAGTCCTAACAATTTTGGGGTATTTGCTGATGGTTTGCGTTTGGAAGAGACAAATAGAGAGAGAAATGGGCTTAGCAGTGTTGATAAAAGCGCATCTACAACAAATTCAGAGACTGATAGTCAAAATAGGAATCCCATAAGTTTGGAGGGTCAGTTGAAGAATGTCTGTGCAGCTGTGGATGGCAGTCAGTTGCCTACAAATATGACTTCCTGTGGGGATTCTCAATATAGTGACAAGTCTAGTAATCCTTTTTCAGTGGCAAATAATATGCCTCAAGAAATTAACAGCTCTGGTGGAGCAGTTCATATCCAGAGTCACCAGGAGAAATGTGAGGGACGAGATTCATGTCTTGATCTGCAAGAACAAGGTGTCGCTGTGGATATTCCCAAGTCTGCTGTAAATGAATCAGAACCATATCACCTCGAGCTCAATGCTATCAGACATGATATCTCACTTCTGCAAGAGTCAATAACTAGTGTTGGATCACAGCTGCTAAAGCTATCTGTTCGTCGGGAATTTTTGGGAATTGATTCACTTGGTCGCTTTTACTGGGCTTCAGCAATGCCTAGTGGATGTCCGTGTATACTTGCTGATTCAACTGCTCTGATGTTGCATGGAGGAAGAATGGCCAATAGTAGAGACCCTTTGGACAAGATTTCTGCTATGAAGAATTTTGCACCATCTGGCAAGGATACCTATCAGATGTTAGGGCTGATGAAAGATTTATCTCCTTTAATGTCTCTACCAAGTAATACTTTAGGCTGTAATTCACCATGGGCTGCTTACCAAACTGATGCTGAAATTGAAGAGCTCTTGCGCTGGCTGAAGGATTATGACCCTAGAGAAAGAGAACTTAAAGATTCAATTATGATTTGGCATAAGTCAAGATTCCAAGAGCTTATTCATATGCAGAATGAAGATCAGGTTGAGCCCCAAGGACCTTTTCCTTTGCCAGGGGATAGAGAGAAAATAGTGTCTGATTCTCTTGTTACAAAGGCAACCTCCTTGTTAGAAAAGAGATATGGCCCATTCTTAGAGTTGGGTACCCTTGAGGCATTAAAGAAGCGGGGTAAAAAGGTAAGACCATCTCATGATGATAAGCTGTATAGGTGCCAATGCCTAGAACCCATATGGCCTTCTAGGCAACACTGCATGTCTTGTCACAAAACCCTTTTGAATGATGTTGAACTGGAAGGGCACAATGATGGCAAATGTAGTGCTGCTTTGCCTGCCTCTGAGAAGAATAAAGATATCAGCGGATCTTCTAAAGGGAGAGGTAATTTGAAATTTGAGACTGCACTTGAAAATGCCAGAGGTAATGCAGAAACAGGTGGAACCTCGATGAGTGGAGGATTTGAGCTAAGCTCAAGATTGATTAAATTTTCGAGTCAAGAATCAACATGTCCGTATAACTTTGAAGATGTCTGTTCCAAGTTTGTGACTGAAGATTCCAACAAGGAACTTATTAAAGAAATAGGTCTTATTGATTCAGATGGGATCCCATCCTTTGTTTCTTCTGTATCTCCTTATGCAAGTGATTCTACAGTTATGCTAATATCAAACAAAAAGGACGAATATGTAGGTGGGTCCAAGACTTCTGAAGGGCAGATTTCTATAGGAAGTGGCAATGATCATATATCAGGAATTCCTATTCAAAGTTCCAGTGTGTATGAGAACAATAAAACAGCAAAATCCAGCAGATCAACTTTGGGATCTTCAGGACAAAGGGACGGAAAATCTTTATTTTCTGTTCCTTCTTCACAAATGGGCACTGACAGCTGCTGTGTGGTCCCTCAATCTTCACTGAGACCATTGGTTGGAAAAGTTTCACATATTTTGAGGCTACTGAAGATTGGCCTACTTGATATGGATGCTGCACTCCCTGAAGTTGCTTTGAGGCCATCAAAAGCACAGTTGGAAAGAAGACAGGCTTGGCGTTCTTTTGTGAAATCTGCAAGGACTATATATGAGGTTAGTGTCTTTTTTGGTGATTATAATCTGTGGTTAGTTTCTCCATTAACAATCCTTGTTCCAACGCATTTCTTAATCCTCAGTCTCACTGGTGGTCCGCATTTCCTGTGCCCCCCAGTAAAAAAGTTTGTACTAGTTGGCTTCACTGTGAGTTCCAATTTAATATTTTTGACCGCTCAGCCCCGCCGCTCTGACAGTGCCCCTCATTGAGTCTCTTTATCCTACTTGTGGATGTAATTACTAGCCTCTTATCAACCTTATATTTTGCCGGTCTGATTTTCTGTTTTGGACATGGGTAGAGCATAGCCTGGAATTTGTTGGATTTTTTCCCACAACTTTATGAATGTGAAAAATCAAGTTTCTTCTTTTTCAGATGGTTCAAGCGACAATCACACTGGAGGACATGATTAAGACAGAGTACTTGAGAAATGACTGGTGGTACTGGTCATCACTGTCAGCCGCTGCCAAATCTTCTACTTTGTCATCCCTTGCCCTTCGAATATACACCCTTGATTCAGCCATCATATACGAGAAAATGTCAAGTTCAAGTTTTACTGATTGCTCGGAACCTCCTGTGGTAGCAGAACAGAAAGCATCAGCTGCTTTGGATGCGGAGAAATCCAGAGCAATACGGAAGTCAAGCAGGAAAAGGAAAGAACCAGATGGTTAAATCATGGAATGTGTTTCTTGGCTTGAGTCAAGTCCAGAAAGTTGATCCTGTTGATGCATGACGTGAAATGATCATCCGTGAATGGTGGGGTTTGGATGGAGTGGTTATGAGGTCAGCTACTGGGGGCTTCAAGGGAGCAGCCGTAAGCTGCTGGTGCCACTTTCGTGCTTGTACATATAGGTAAAAGCTGACTTGCTAACTCAGATGCTGGTTTTGGCAAAGCAGAATTTGTAGAATTCTCTGCTCGCACTGACAGCAGCAGCAGGCCCAGCACCAAGAAATTATGATGATCGATGGAATTGAGTTACTGCTGCTGCTGTCTGATTGGTTGCTTGACGGGTAGTGAGATCATATTTTTCATTTTTGTAGCAGTCTGATCCTTATATGTATACAAACGGAAATGATGTAAAGATATAGAAAAAGGGGGGGAGAAAAGGATAATGGCTAAGAAGTGAGAAAATGTCAGGTTGAGCAGTTGTAGGCAATATTTCATTCTTTTATGCATTTTCGTTCTCTAACCACTGAAAATGCTGGCCACGCATGCTTGCGCATTTGTTTTTGGGCGTTTGCAAATGTGGTTGGATGCAGGAAAGGAAAATTATTGGAATTGATGCATTTTTCCGACAATATCATGGTGCAAGTATTCAACATCGGTTGATTTGTTTATTTTCATGAATTCTGCTTAACGTTTCTTTTCTATTTTTGGGGCTTGACAGCATTCTCGGAGTATCTAGGTTTATACAGAGATTGTAAACTTCATTCTCTATCCTCAGTCAAGAAACAGAGACTGCGGGGTTCCCCTCTTCTTCCTCCCGTTACTGGATTTGCTATCTTCTCCCCGCCCGTGTGAGGCGTATCCCACATCTGAATATTCCTTCAGCCCTCCATGCGGTGACATATATCTGCGCCATCCTACAGTGTCTCTTCGCGTGCTATATCCGAAGCTGGCTTTCATAAATTCCCTATCCTCATGCTATATGCTTTCGAATTTAAAAAGGCTCCATTGTCTGCCCAGGATGGCGGAAGGCTTCTGTACTCAGCTTATTCATCTTGTAAACTAAAGATGGCAACATTCGACTTTTGGCACGCGAGGTGGTTGCTGAATTGAGTTGGGATGCAACAGAGGCAAATGAAGTTTATAGTTGGGAAGTAAAAGAATTAAAGTCATGCTTATTTCAAAAAAGTAGGTGATCTTCAAATTATTTTAGAATTTTGTGAAAAATGATTAATTAATGATTTTGAAGTTTTATAATTTTATCTCCATATTTCCATTAACATTATTTTACATCCATATTATTTTTAGAAACTACTTCTCAAGATAATAATATATGTATATATTTTAGATTCTGAATTGCACTAGTCTTTTTACCTTCTTTTCGAGCATTTGCCCTTTGCAGCAACGCTCTTCCCCCATAGAAAATGGCCAACCTCGATCTGCTCGCAGGCCAGTGATGAAGCCTGCTGGAGCGATTCGAGAATCAAAGGTGTCGATTTGCGTTTAAATAAAGCAAACAACACATGTATTGGAGTGCTGAGGAAGAGGATTTCCCAGTTTCAGCTTTGAATGCGGATGTCCTGAAACACGATTATGACGGTTCCTGCGCCGAACTTCATGGAAATTATACTCAAACTAGGTGTAGGCACATGAATATCTTTATTGTGCTTATATAGATTAGATAGGTACAATATATATGACGCCACTGACCACATTACTGAGCATTGTTTATTAAACCCTGCTTCGACCCATTGTCTCCCAGATGCAGGGACCTACTCCACCTGAACCGGAAGTTCTGCTATTTTTCCCACTAACACACTAATCCTCTCGATCAAGCAACTTAAAGGAACATACAACTACGGCAAATTGAAGTTTCTTTTCTTTTTCCTTCTTATTTTGTTTTATTTGGGTGAATAGACGCCACGTGTTAATTCTCTCCAGTAAGGTCGTTTTTAAGACCACATCCACCAACCCCATTCCCCTACCTCGTGGTTTTGCCCATGTGATTCCGCGGCCACAAGCACATCGGAGAAGTAGCTCCGTCCATCGTCACTCCCATCATCATCCTCCGACTGAACCCCGTTAACACAGCCGATGTATTCAGTATAACTGGCAGCCTGAAAGTATGAATCAACACTATCCACAACAAGCTGTGAGCTATCGATGTCCACAACTGAGCTTCCACCACTCCCCGTGCTCAGACGATCCTCCACCCTCTTGCTGAATGGCGGGGCTGAAAATTGGGTTGCATCCACTGGAAGAGGGTCAATCCTTTGATCAAGTATCGGTGCTCTAGGCTCATCCTTTCCTTGAAGCTTCTCACTCAGTGATAGCACCTGTGGATGAATCATTATATTATTTATGGGCGAGTAATTTGCCCACCCCTCTTTAAAGAGGTCAATAGTATTCTACAATAACAAGCCTCGGCATATTTTGAGAATCTAGATTTTACAATGTAAGAGATGAATGACAACTAAAAAGATGGCTTATTTAAAAATTAAAAATTAGAAGTACCAAAAACAAAAAACCAACTATAATCAATATGATAATTTTGAAACTTTCCATACATGTGAAAATAGAAACAAAATAGACTAGAATCAACATCAATGGCACCTAAAAAGAGATATTAAATGAATGGAATTAGTATATGGAGGGGCTATAGTACAATTTGTAGAAAGAGAGAAAAGTATACAAAAATATAATTGCGGTGGGGTTCGGAATGTTTTGATAGTCTGTATTAGATTATATTGTCGACTCGGAAAGGTTGGAGAGAACTCCCAATCATTTTCTTTGATGGAGTTCTGATAGGAAAGGCACTAATTTTATCCATGACTAGAACTCAAGCCACAACCCCTAGCCACCTATGATATTCTTCCAAATTTGCATCACCATTAGGCATGAATGCAATCTTCGTAATGCACAAGAATAAAATGTAATTCGGATCATATACACCTCATTCATCAATTCTGCAAACCAAGTATAATAGTTCTCTTAAAATAGTAGGATTATGCATGCGTATATTTACCTCGGATTTAAGCTTTTCATTCTCCTTCACAGTGAATTCATATTTTAAAAGGAGTGAGTCGTAGGAAGACTTGAGAGTATCAAAATCCCTTTCAATTTGCTTGGTCTTCCATCGAGCCCTGCGGTTCTGAAACCACACGGCAACCTGCCTTGGCTGCAATCCCAGCTTATTGGCCAACTGGGTCTTCCTTACTGGCTCCAGCTTGTTCTCTGCCTCAAAACTTTTCTCCAACAGATGAACCTAGAAATCACCCAAACCAGTTGTTACAAAATAAACAACTGACAAGCCATTAAACGAGTTTGTCCAATCACGTTTGGCCCCATATCCTTAGATGTGGTCGCCTCTTTAAAATCTAAGCGAATAATTCTTCAAAAATTATCTTTCCTCCGAATGATTGTACTTTTGGAATCCTCATACGCTGGAGGAGTTAAATTGACTACAGGAAGATTTCAGCTGAAGTTGTGCTCAGCTCCCATAACAAGCATCTTTTTATTGGTCAAGTGGTAAAAAATTGACATCCATTAGTTATCATGTATCGAATCAGAATTCTCTTTTAAGCGTCTTTTTATATTAAGAAAAGAACAGAAAGCCAAACCCATATCCTCAGAGGTAAGTAAGATTGTTGTCGAGAATAGGATCGTTATCACAAAGGAATAATAGACTAGATACGTGTCAAAATAAGCATAAGCATATTGAACAACTACTCATCCGCGCAAACCTGCTCGGGGGTGAGACGACGCTTCTTCTCTGGCAGTTGCTCATCATAATATTCCTCGTCGAGCAGTTCCTCCGGTGAGCTGAAGAAAGGCCGTTTCTTTGAAGTTTCATCCGCGCTCATCATCGAACTTCCTGCTTCATTTAAATTTAATTCGCAAGACTCTTAGTTGACATAGTATCATCGGGAAAGAAAAGGCAATCGACAAGAGGATAATAAAATAAAATAAGTTCTAATTAATTTGGATAGTCTTAGTCAGTGACGAATAAAAGCATGCTCAATGCAATCAGAGTGTTTTGTCTAATATAAAGCCAGTTTGTTAAACTTGTTTATGTTGTTGGAGTAATTTTTCTTGATATCCAAACGGGGTAATTAGAGTGAATAGCAATAGCAGAGCGACTTCAACAAAAACAAATTAGCTGTGTGAAAACTCAAGTTAGGGGAGGGACAGAAATCACCTCCAAATCTGATGTCACCATTTCGGAGGAACAGCATGGTCCCGCGGCGAGCGGAAGACTCGAAGAAAAGATCGCCGGACTCCATAGTTCTGATTTTTATTCTGTAGTGTTCTCCCGAGGGTGAGATATCTCAGCTGAAACCGTCGTCGACAACCGCGACAGGTGGAGACAGAATTACTAGAGGCTTGCTTTGTCTTAGTTGTATATAATCTATATATCAGTTGGTTTGGTTCTAAACTAATCACCTAAAAGATCATTAGCTTATGGCGGAAGAAGCTTGTGGTCCAGAGCAGTCTGGCCGGAGTCTCCAACGGGCATATGCAAAATCCCATCATACACCAGCCACCGGCACCCAGCTCCGGCTATATCTTCCGGTTGTCAGTTTCGGGTTTCGTTCGAAGGCTGTTTTATTGGTAAGACTGCGCCCAAAAAGAAAGTCACGGAACTTGCATTGGGAGTTTCTTACACAAATTTGGATAGATGCTAGAAAAGGAAGTGATTCAGAATCAAGGGACCAACGGTCGCCTGGTTTGGGATCGCTGGCCAGCCTTTCGTATTCGCCGCACTGTGTGTCAGTGGGGCGGGTGGCTTCTGCGAGTAAAGTTGAATCGCCTGAGGCCTTGGTCCTTTATAGCGGGGATCGGCAGGGGTGAATGACAGGAGTACCCTTGATCGCTGAGGCATCCCTTCCAGGGGTATTCGTGTCAATGTGTGCGGTTTTGCATCCGCACAGGGGGCACCCACTATCCACTGTCTTCTTGGGAAATATAATCTCTGGTATTTTAAGTTTATTTTTATTTTGATTTTAGTTTTTTAAATTTTAAATTCTAGATTTTGGTTCCTGAATGAGCAAAATGATCCAAATTTTTATTAGATTATAGGGATTAATGTTACACAAAAAAAAACTTGAGGGATCAAAACTTATGATTTAAAATTTGAGGGACTAAAACCAAAATAAAAATAAACTTGAGGGATTAAAGTTTGTACTTCTCCAGTCCTAAATATAAGACCCTTATACTAGTGTGCATAAGATAAAATAATTTAATTCCTAAATTATAAAGCCACATGAAAAAAATTATATAATATAGTTATTTGTGATTGAAGAACTTAACACAATAAATATAAAAAACTTGATATAAATATTTTTCTTTAACTTTTTTTCTGTATAATCTATTTTTCATATGAGCAAATCATCCTTTCTTATATGTAATTATTCTTTTCTTATGTATAATTAAATTTTTCTTATGTGTAAATCATATTCCATATGTGCAAGCCCCTTCAAATTATTTTTTGTGCAAATTATCTTTTCTCTGTATAACTTAACTTTTTTTTTTTTATGCAATCCATCCTGTCTCTGTACAATTTAACTTTTCTTCTGTATAGTTTATCTTTTTACATATACAATTTAATTTTCCCTATGTTCAAATTATCTTCTATATAATTCATTTTCTCTGTGGGCAGACCATCCATCTTTACATGCAATCTTCATTTTTTCTGCGCAAGTTCTTTTTCCATTTATCATTTTATTGCGCATCCATGGCTTTTTGGTCATTTGCAATGCTTTTCAGTTTCTGCTCAAGATCATAATCCTTCACGTCCATTCTGCAAATAAAATTTGGATGAGAAATGTGTGGTCAGTTTTCTTTAAAAAAAATTGGTTGTTTTCTATGTTCTATAAATCGTCCATCCGCTCGACAAATAAGGACACTTCATTCTATAATTGATAACCGAGGGAGTATCCACAAATGGGGTGGCCGGCCACGTACTTTATTTTGCTTATAAATTGGGGAATGCTTATATATCCAGCTGTCCACCGCAGTGCCAACACAAAAGGAATTAAGGTCTCGTTTGGAACAAAATATTGAAAATAAAGTATAGGGATTAGGATTATAATTAAAAAAAATAATTAAAAAAGTTTTTAGCATGAGTGATTATTTGTTACATGGGATTAGACAAACCCATAAAAGTAAAATTAGAAAATACCACTTCCTCTCATAGTATTTCCCAATCCCACATAAATGGGTTAGTCTAATCCCATGTAACAAGCAATCTTTCATGCCAAATATTTTTTCCAATCTCAATACCTATCTCTTATTTTTAATGTTTCGTAGTAAATGATACTAAGATTAAATGGGAAGATGCATGGAAGGGAAAGAGTATGTATAATATCCAAATTAAGAAAGAGATATGTGAATTATAATAAAGCAGAAATTTGGAATGAGTGGTTTTGGTTGAATTCACATCCCAACTGAAAACGAAGGGAAGCACCAATACACACATATATTCGGCAACAGGCCACTCATCAATTTGCTTCCTAAAAACACCGGCCATAATAGTACCATATGTGCATGTAATTCTCATGTTTTTTTTTTTTAAAATTTGAATCAGCATGCACCAACAGCTTAAAGTTATAAACGAAATCCAATTTAATTATGACCTCCCACTTTAAAGAGAACTTTTATATTGCTAGATTGTAAGGCCATTAACTGTGATGGTGATGTTTTAACTTAGAATAAAGATGTGTATGTATATGTGTGTGTGATTGGAACCTGTTCGAGAAAGAAAATAAATCTGAAAAATAAAAGGGAGATTGCGGAATAGAGAATAATATATAAATGGTAATAAGAACAGCACCCATATGTTGTTGCCATATTTATTCTATAGGTTTCAGATTCTCAACACTCAACAATGTCACCTCCTCATTTTTCTTTTTGTTTTTTCTGGGTTTTTTTTGTTGTTATAAAACGATTCGATTTCATCTGAAACATATATCTTGTGTTATTATTCTATCAATGAGAGGTTATAACTAATTGATTAATTAAGTGCAAGAACTAAAATAAAAATATTTCGCAATTTCTAGGGAGTAACATAATACTACCTCCAATCCTTAATATAAGACCCTATTTGAATTTTATTTTGGTTCTAAATATAAGACCTCCAATCTATTTTGTCTCTCATATTTATACATTTTTTTTCTAAAGTAGCCTCCTCTAACAATGATAGTTCTAGTCAATACACTTAATTAGCAAGGATATTTTAGGAAAGACAATACCTATTTAGGACAAATTACTAACTCAACTTACTTCTTTAATTTCGTCAAATTAGTTAACTGGCGCTTATAATTAGGATCGAAGGTAGTACTTATCACTTATATTTTACACGGATGAAACGCGGAGAATAATACGATCGATTATTCTGAAAAATATACTTGAGTTAAAGCAAATGATAGTTCTACCCCATACCTCTCTTTTACAGTCAAAAAGAAGGAAAATGAAAGAAACAGAGCCCTCACCCTGGTGGACCCCCAGAATTCAATTCAACCTTTTCTTTCTGTCATGGAAATAAAGTACTTAAACCCATTTTCGATTTGCTTTTTTTTTTAATTAAAAAAAAGTATTCCTTTTTCATTTTTTTTTAAATAAGGAAAACATCACTTCTATCCAATTGGAATCAAAATAACAAGGATGTGTTTGATTAACTCGTTAGTTTTGACCAAAAGGTATATAATGGATTAACCAAAACTAACAATAACAAACACGCATTATTAAGATTAATGATCAATAGTGTGATTTCTCTTTGACAGGATGTAAAATCTATAAAAGTTGTACTCCTCCGGTCCTAATTATAAGACCCAATTAACTTATTTGAGGAGATTAAGGAAGTAAGTTAAGTTGGTTATTTATAATAAATAAGTGTTGTCATTCCTAAAATATCCTTACTAATTAAGTATATTGGCTAAAACTATCATTATTAGAAGGATTATCTTGGAAAAAAATGCATAAATATAAGAGACAAAATGGATTGGGGTCTTATAATTAGGACCAAATAAAAAGTCAAATGGGGTCTTATAATAAGGACCGGAGGAGTATTATTTACTAGTTACTAACAATATGAAGTTTATTTCTTTTTGGACATGTATTTTTTTATTATTTTAATATTTCTCGACACATTATATTGGATTTCATACAGCATATTTTGTTAATCCATTCTTTTTCCATACCATGACAGGGTTTTAAACGTGTTAAAAATATACGTATAATCTATTATAAAAAAAACAAGTATAATCTTTTTATTTGAAAAAAAAAAAGCAAATATATATGAAGTGAATCACGAGGGAAAAATATATCCCAGTTAAGATTTTATATGTGGTCAAACGAAGAAATCGCAGGCAGTGAATGAAAAATCCGTCTCATTGATTAGATGAAGAAGGGTGGCTAAAATTTAAAATTAGGAAAGGACCAAAAAAAAGCATCAAGTCGCGTGGATTCTGGCAATTCTTTTGACATATTTTAAGGTTCGAAACAAATAATCAGATGATGATCGATGGCAAAAATTAAAAAACGTTAAAGGATGAACTATGATTGAAGAAACAGCTAAAATCTAAATTGAAAAGGTTGTAAGATTTTCAGCGTTCGATCCCACCAAAAAAGAAAGAAACACATGAAACATTTGACTTTGGAGAGATGAGTGGAAGAGCAGGCACATGACTAGATACTATCTGAGCTCAGAGAAAGGGGAAAGAAAATTCTTTATATGAGATTTTATATGCTTTTGGTCGAGGATTATTAATTAATTACTGGATGAATTATAAATTAACCCGGCATGTGTTTGCCAGCTGTCGTCGTTAATGGTTTTTGTGAGCATAAAATCACGCTTGACTCCATTTAAAAAAAAAAACAAAGAAAATGAAATGAATAAAGTAGTGGGAGTCATCGTGATAAGAAGCAAAGGGGATTTCTTCCTTATCCTTTGAAAGTAACAAAACGCAAAGAATCTCAATTTTCTTGCAGACATGGTAATACGAGTTTTCAAATCTGTTATATATGATTCTTGATCATCTTGTAAGCATCATTTCTCGATTAACAACTCTAACTAACGGAATCAAGGGAACATTATCGCTCATCAATATCGATATTACTTTAGTTTACTTCACGCCACTTATATACTACCTCCTGTCTTTAATATAAGATCTCATTTGACTTTTATTTTGGTCTTAAATATGAGACCCGATCCACTTTGTCTCTAATATTTTAAAAAAGACAACACATATTTATTACAAATAACTAACTTAACTTATTCTCTTAATCTCTTCAAATTAGTCAACCAACTCTTATAATTAGGATAAGAGGTAGTATATAGCTCTTCCCTAGAAGTATTCATATGCCCGACCATTCTCGCACATATATAAAATGTTGGGGTTAATTATAATCACATGCGTGCATTTCTAAACACAAAGTCTCCACAACTGGATTCCTATGGATAAGTTTGTCCATTCCTCATTCATAAACCATTATGTAATGATTTGAGTTCTTAATACATACATATATTTATATGTATAGGTTTGTCTTGAAATCTTTATCAAATTAAGTGTATATTGCTTGCCATAATAGAAAGGAGAAAAAGGCTACCATCGTAAAGCTCACTCTCAATACTCTGTCCGGTCTTATCAGAAAAAAACTAGATAATTAATTTATAAATATTAAGAAAATTAATTAAATTAGTTATTTATATGAAACATATGTTTGATTTTTCTAAAGTACCATGTTTAATCACTTGTACAGGAAATCGCTCAAAATTGATGAAATTTCTATTGAATATGTGCAACCAGTAAAGATGAGAGGGGGTTATGTATAATAAACTTAAAAGACAAAATAGATTAAGGTGTTAAATTTAAAATAAAAACAAACTAAATCAAAACAAACTTTTTAATTAGCTCTTATATTTAATTTAGTGCATGAATGAGTAATAGTTAATTAAAATGGTTGGCATAGGGGCTATACTTGCGTGTTCCTGTTTTCTAATTAAAAGAAGGAAGCTGTTGGGGAAAGGTTGAAAGGAGGATGAGGAGTGGGGGAATGAAAAGGCAATAAAGGAAAGAAGAGAAGGCTTTTCAAAAATGGGTGAGTGGGGGGAGTGGGCTTGTATGTTGGCAATTGTATGGTTGACACACAGATGATAATGGTGCTATAAAGTGAGAGAGCATATGGTGTGTGTGTGTGTGTGTGGATAAATACATATATTTATATGTGATGGTGCTACTTTAATTTCCCTCACCCTCTCCTTTGTTAATGGAGTAGCCTCTATATTAGTGTCGTTGCCTATACGCTTCCATTTTCAATATTGTTCCGTTCCTCCTTTTCTTTATTCCTCTCTCAAAGATTCCCATTTTCATGAGATTACCAATTGGGCCTTCTCCCAAGCCCAGCCCACCAAAAGGAATAATCCACAAAAAAACAGATTCAAAAATGTCACGATAAAATCACTTCCGAAAAAGCTGGCAATCTTATTGGCGAAAACAAATCACTCCCTTCAAATTTTCTTGCAAGCACGAACTTATAACTTTATGTAAATAAAGAAAATTAGTTATTTTTTAATTTTAAAATTACTCTCAAAATCAATAATTTAATAGATTTATTTAATTGGTTAGAAAACTTTGTGATTAAATAGGAATCTAGATGAAAATTTTTAATACTTTATATAAAATAAGTTGTATTATGAAATAGGTAGATAATCCTGTAAAAAGGATTGGAGAGACTACCTAGTTAATAATTATTGATGAACCTTCTAATTATGTGCCGCTAGAGATTCTGTTCAGGATTCTCATTTGTTCGAAAGAAAATATCACAACTTTGATAGCGGAAAAATTAATAAATTATCTGGGTCCATCCAACAATATGTTATAATTCAGATTATATAGTTCGTACTTTGTAATATACTTAGCACGTATATTTAAGCAAAAAAAAAAATTATTACCGTTTCAACAAAAGTACACATGTGACGTGATTATGACTAGGATTCTTTTTTATCCTGTAACAGGATATGAATTAAAACGATGAGCAATAGTAAGGAAATCTCAAAAATTTAATGATCATACATAATGATAATTTTTAGAGTGGTGAGTTTTGGGATAGTATATATATAAGAGAATCTTATAGAGGCACACTCCCTTTTAGAGCTGTATATAACTGTAATTAACTCAAATGCTAATTTCCCCAACAAATAAAATTTTAAAAAAACTGGTGCATGTTGCTTAATCTAATGGAGTATTTTATAGAAATGCGATTTTATGAAGATCTTAATGATATGTAAGGGAATTAGGTGCGAAATATGAGTATATAAGTAGCAGTCAACATGAAGTCGAATACAAATTTTTGCTCCTCTCATATTATCGACTCTGCAATAACAGAATAAAGATTTTGGAATGGCGAGTAGTACTGCTATAGCACGTAACGTTGTGGGCATTATTGGTTTGTCACTCAACTATACCTTCCAGTCTCTTTAATTATTCTTTTGTATATATATCTGTTCACTTTCATTTGCAACTGGGGTTAATTTTGTGGCTTTGAAACCTCGTCCATTTTCCCTAATTAATAATGCTCATCAGGGGAGACTCTAGATTAAAATTTCGATCAATAATTTGAAAATTTCTGGACAAAAATAAAGAAAAAAATGTTTATTTATGACGCATGATGATGATAAGAATCAAGAAATTATTTACGTTCTAAATGTTTTCATTCTTTTTGTTTTTGCGCAGGCAATATCATCTCTTTCGGCCTTTTCCTCTCACCAACGTAACCTTTCTTACCTTTATCTATATATATATATATGTGTGTGTGTGTCGGATGTTTGTGCTTAGCTATATAACATCATGAAATCTTAATCTTATAATTGGATGGGGGCCACCGAAAATTATGTAAAAAACTTTAAAAAAAAAAAAAAGACAAGCTTTGGCGTCCAGTGTCCTTTAAGTTTGCATTGTTATTCTAAGATTTTTAACTTTGATTTGTGGTGGGGTTTCTGTACTTACAGGCCAACGTTTTATGGGATAATAAAGAAGAAGGGGGTGGAAGAGTTCAAGCCAGATCCTTATCTGGCAACAATACTAAACTGTGCGTTTTGGGTGTTGTATGGAATGCCGTTTGTGCATCCTCACAGCATTCTGGTGCTCACCATCAACAGCGTTGGACTTGTGCTCGAGTTTGTTTATGTCATCATATTTTATATCTACGCCACCAAAAAGGGAAGGGTACGTGTCTGTGTGCATTCATGGAACTGGTTGTGTTTCATACATACATATTTATATATAGATCTCTCGTTTGAATTTGTACAGAAGAAGGTATTGGTGTGGCTTTTGGTGGAAGCTGTGTTCTTCACCGCCATTGTTCTGATAACAATGCTGGCACTTCACGGCACCAAAAGAAGGTCATTGATCGTTGGTGTTCTCTGTGATGTTTTTAATGTCATGATGTATGCCTCTCCTCTCACCATCATGGTATATATATACACGCACGTTTTTTATACACACATGCTATCTCCGATCCTTCGTAAAAGAGACAGTTAACTAATTTGAAAAAAATTAGAGAAGCTACTAATAAATTACTTTAAACTACTTATATTTATCATTTTTGTTTCAAGAGCCGGAGGTAGTACATGTCCAAGGTTATATATTCGTTTTTTTTTTTTTTAAATCCCATATTTGGTGATGTGATGAACAGGCAAAGGTCATAAGAACCAAGAGTGTGAAATATATGCCATTTTGGCTGTCGGTGACTAACTTCTTAAATGGTTTGTGCTGGACAACATATGCACTCATTCATCCATTCGACATTTATGTCTTGGTAATTAATTAATATATTATTAAAGATGATTATTTCTTGAATGAAAGCTTTAATTAATTATGTTTTGTCCCATTCACTAATAATTAATGCGTTGCGTTTATGGTCGTTGCAGATTAGTAATGGGCTGGGAGCAGTTTCTGGCGCTTTTCAGCTCATATTATATGGATGTTACAGTTCTTGGAGAGAGGAAGAAGCCGTTTCAACGCCAAATCATATCCAGATTTCTAATGTCGTCGCGGATGCAACAAGTGTCAACGTGTGACGAAATCCCTCACAATATCTAAGTTTTTTGCTTTTCTATGGATCTCCCTTTTTGCAAAATTTGCATGTCCTGTTTTTTTTTTTAAATTTTTTTTTTACATTTGTACGATTTCATGTTTTGCAATATAATTTTAAAAAATTTCTAATAAATCGAGTGACAATAATTTTAGTTTGCAATATTAGGAGTAATAAGTAATAAATCAAAGTCTTCGTTGGCAAATAATATATAAAATCAAAGTCTTTTTTTTTATTAAAGACGGTAATTTATACATTTTTTTTTATGAAAAATAGTTGCAACCTTATCAGTAAAATAATAAGAGGAGCGTTTTCCTCTTGGAGTCATAGAATCAATAATGCTCAATTAGCTATTTTGATATACGTGAAATTCAGAATAAAGATATAATTGAATGGTTTAGAGTTAGACTGTCTATAGATCTCACTAAGCTGTGCGTAAATTGGATGGTTCATTTTAATAGATATAACATTTATAATAAAGATAATTTTACAATATGTAAAAAAAATATTTAGGAAATCATAAATTAAAAACTTTAAACTTAGCTCTCAAATATAATTTAAACTATCTACATTATATTTCAGCAATGAATACCGCTATGCAAACAGTCACTGCACCCAAAAATGTGAATGGTCACGTTATCTAATTCGAATTAGATATCATGATGACATGTTATTTACAAACAAATTAAAGAGCTAATATTTATCTTCTCATTCTTCAATCCTGAAAATACTCAATCGGAAAATCATTTTTATTATAAATGTTGAGGCTTTAAATTTGAACACTTCGATGATATCTGCAGATCTCTTGTAATTTCTAGAAGATCTATGAAATTAAACTTTTAAAAATAAAAAGAGTAATAATTTTTTCAAGTAAAATGAACGTTTTGTAATATAATTAAGTCAAAAAAAAATTATATGAATCGTTTCAAATGATTTGTATAGGAATTACATATATTTTTCATCTTTAAACTATAAGTTTCGGTTTCATTTTAATAACAAAATATCATCCGTAAAAATATATTTAAATATTCTAAAGGAGAATTTAAAATTGAATTCAAATATAATCTTGTTGATTTAATCAGAAGCCTAGAGTAAAAATTGTCCATACAATTTAAATTCAATTTAAAAAAACCGTTTGTTTTATCCCAATAAAAAAATTAAGAAAATTATCTATACTAATCTCATGTAATATCTATTACTCCTCCGCTTATAAATATAAGACCTATTTTACAGTGTAATTTGTATCATAAAATGAGTTTTATATTTATAACTGAGGAGTATTACTTTACATATGTAATGCAAAGTTGTGAATTAGGAAAGTCTCAAATATCATTATATAAGGGAGTCCCGCCCTGACTTTTTAAATCACACAAAACCTGTATATCTCTCTACCATCAATTAATTTTGTTCAGAAAACTAAACAAGTTCACCGAATATGGCAAGCGCTGCTATCGCACGTAACGTTGTGGGCATTTTAGGTTTGTCTGTCCTATATATCTTTTCTTTCCGCCCCATCATTTTTTCCTTTCCTTTTCTTTTTGCCGCTCTAATTTTTTTTTTGTTTAGAGTATCTTTCCACCTGAACGGTAAGAGATTAATCTCTCATAATACTGTCAGGCGCCGTAGCTGGAACCAGAACATGATGTTTAAAGTGTCCAAATCTCTTTCACTTACACCAACACTTGTTGGTTTTGCCGCTCTAATTTAAAAATGCAACAGTATCTTTATGCTGTGAGTTTTTACTTTTTTTTTTGGGCAGGGAATGTCATCTCTTTTGGGCTTTTCTGCGTAACCTCCCCGCACTTCTCTCTCTCTGGACTTCTCTCTCTCTCTAGGTAATAAGTATATTACTGTTAACTAGCCAAAATTATGGAATGTTAACACACAGGCCAACCTTTTACGGGATAATAAAGAAGAAGGCGGTGGAGGAGTTCAAGCCAGATCCTTCCCCGGCAACAGTCTCAAACTGTGCGTTTTGGGTGTTCTATGGAATGCCTTTTGTTCATCCTAACAGCCTTCTCGTCGTCGCCATCAACAGTATCGGCCATGTCTTCGAATTCATCTGTCTTGTCATCTTCCTCATTTACGCCACCAACAAAAGACAGGTTATAAGATACTAATATATTTTGTCTCTTATATTTATCTATTTTTTTTTAAAATAGTCTTTATAATAATAATAATTCTAGTCAATACACTTGATTAGTAAAGATATTTTAAAAAGATAACATCTATTTATTATAAATAATTAATTTAACTATTTTTTTTTAATTCATTCAAATTTGTCAACTAATGCTTACAGTAGTTTTAAGGACCGGAGGTAGTATATACGGAATAGATGATATTGTATATTAATTCCTTTGTCTTGGTTAAGAGTGTATATTTAACACCTGTTCTATATAATAATACCGTAATTAAACAGGCGAAAGGGGCAAAAACCAAGAGCGTCAAGTACATGCCCTTCTGGCTCTCTCTGACTAACTTCTTAAATGGATTGTGTTGGACAACATATGCTTTGATCCATCCCTTTACATTTACGTGCTGGTGATTAGATTCCGCCTCCTTCAACGTTATCTATTCCTGTTCCTTGTCCATATCCTTGAATGTGAATCTTCTATTCGCTGACTTTTTTTTTGGTGGTTGCAGATTAGTAATGGTCTTGGGGCAGTTTCTGGGCTTGTCCAACTCATACTATTTGCATGCTACTGTTCCTGTAAACAAGCACAACAACAGGGCGAAGATGCTTCAAAACCCAACGTGGTTCAGCTTTCTGCGCTCCAACATGCAAGCGCCGACGTCTGATTACAACCTTGCCTCAAATTATATATGTTCTTAAAATGTTTTTTTCAGCAGATCTATCTCCTTTTTTATATATGCATATTTTAGGAACTAGTTTTTTTTGGTTACTTTTGGGTTTCATTCGTAAGTATGATAATTTCGTGTTTACGCAATGTAATTTTGATAGTATTATGAAATAAATCGTTTTTTTTTGCCAGCAAGAACCCCCCCCAAATAAAAAAAAACAGAGAAAGAAAAGATACACAAAGCCACGCGCTTCTTTGGTTTTTAAAATATTTTTGTTGATAATATTTGCAACCAAAAAAGATGAATAAAATTTTTTACTACACAATATTCTCTTCAATTCTAAACATAGGAGTTAGTTAAGTTTATTATTTTTCTCCCAAACTACCCATAATAATTACATGTAATTTTTAATGTAAATATTTTTTTGATGGGGCGGAAACTAAATGTAAATGATGAAAAGAAGATATTTTTATGAAACCAGCACATGTTTATTTGCAAGTAACTAACATAATTTTTTCAATCTATATAAATTAGTTAACTGGCTCTTCCATGGAGTAATGAATAATATCACATTTTAACTATATATAACTGTAGTTGAAGCTACCTACGCAATGCTTTTATCCAGAAATATGCACAATGCACTTGGGCTGCTAAAAACTCGCAGTAAAACCAGTAGCACAACTAAGCAGTGTCCATAATTTGAATCAGCCATGGTCTCTGTTGTTTCAGTTGCATTAATTTTGTGGCCTTCTGAGTTCAAGTGGGTGCTTTAGCACTCCTCTACTTGTTAAAAATGCCAAGTAATGGAGAAGATCGCGAGGCTTTAAAGAAGGAGGAGCAATGATTAGCTTCATAAATCATAACTCAACAAAGTAACAATAATATGCTGTTATTATTACAAAGCTCTTCATTATCTAATGGCTTTTACAATAATTCGCGTCATCCACCACCATGATTTCCTCCTCCCCCTGCTCTTTCAAATGAATAAATACAAACTGAGCCTCTAAAATACAGAATGACATATCCCTCCGCCAACGAAAAATCCTTCAAGGTCCCCGATACCTGAGGAAACAAAAACAACCCTGAGGCTGATCCAGTGGGATCATACCTCCACCCTTTGAAGTGTCAATAGCTTCCAACATGGAAACCACCTCGTCCATTTCTGGCCTCCTATCTGGATTAGCATCCCAGCATCTTTTCATCACATTTGCCAGAGAGCTTGGGCAACATCTTGGTATTTCTGGTCTCAGATTCTGCAGTTTCATAACAGAAACATTTTTGCAGTAACAAGAGTCACATTTCCATAGATTGAATCAGTCGTAAGGGAGGGCTAAATTTGCAAGTCACTTAACAATTTTTGCCTCTTGCCTTTTGTTCAAGATATGAGCCTATATTTATGCTGGTGTGGCCACCTAGTGCATTTCATATTACCTGACGTACAACAGCTGATGTCACTTCCGAGAAGCTAAGATCTGGATATGGCATGTCACAGCAATATATCTCCCATAAGCATATCCCAAAACTGTACACATCACACCTTCTATTATATGGATTACCATTTAAAACCTGCGCAGTAAATATATCTTCATGTGAGTTCAGTAAATCATCTTTTAAGAAGTGAAATGAAACATGAACAAGTGATGCAAAGCCAAGACAAGCTGAAGATCATTTATAATCCTGAGATATTGAAACAGCATATTAACAGGTGGCCTACGGTGTCCCTAAGACGAGGTTGAAACCCATCGCTGGGAAAGTAGATGTTGGTATTGCTCAGTAACAAAACGCATGACGTCCTCTGTTTTTCTTTTCTGATCAACTATAATATATTGACGGGCGTCCTCATGTTTTTAGATGCGTCCTTATGATGGCTTTAATAAGACAAATGCAAGATATCGGTTAGATACTTGATAAACCAGTAGATTGCTGCCATGATGCAATTCTAGGTCTCAGTGGTTGTAGATCCAACCTTCTGAGAGTAATGTTGCTAATTTTGAACCTGTATTCTACGAGCAATTACTAGAGGCACTGTAGCATGCTAGATAACAAGAAAGGTATGTAGATTATGTAGGTTCTGAGTAACTATCATAAGCACCAAGCAGCATTTGCAATTTTGAGGACTTACATAAGCGAAGGCAAGAGCTACGAATGGGTGTTCAAAACAAGCCCAGGAAGGTATGTAGGTATTGGTATTGTTCATTAGCAAGGTAAAGGAATCAAGCATATACCTCAGGAGCCATGTAACCAAGTGTTCCAGTTTCACCAGTCATGTCATGAGGATTGGAAGCCTCGATACGAGCCACTCCAAAATCAGCTATTTTCAAGGTACGAGTCCTGTCTAGAAGCATATTTTCTGTTTTGACGTCTCTGTGGACAATCTTTTCCGAGTGAAGATAGCTCAACCTACAAAGTACAGAGCAGAGTTCTCAAGTTTAGAAAGCAAGTTTGACATCTTAAAAACTGCTAAGACACACATTAGGTTTAGGAAATGAACCCTCTCGCAAGATCAAGTGCCAATTGGACAACCACTTTAAAAGCCAGCTTCTTTCTCCGGTTTTTTATGAGATAAGACTTCAGGGCGCCACCAGGACAATATTCAACAATAACGCAACAAACATTATTGGGCATGCCTACATGACCATTTTCCATTTGTATGTGAAGCTCTGGTGAGTCCATTGTTGCTCCTATAAACTGCCAAACAGATTTTACAATAGGCATGAATGAGAAAATGTTAACATGGAAATTCGAACCAATATCAGAAGGAAATTCCACAAGAAGCAATTTCCTTCATCCTACTTGCACTTGACAGTTTAAAGTTCCCCAAAACAGTGCAATTAAGTTGTAACATAGTTTCATCTATGCATATATACGAAACAGGATCAATAACTGGCTCCCCACATTTGATAGGATCAAATGAACTTCAGCTCGACAACCAAAACAAGAAGCATAACCTAAACAAATTGGAACGAAGCGTCTTGTCATTCTAAAATAAAGAATAACAAATCGGTTCTCCATATTAGCAACATGCCAAGTTCAAAACCCATTTGAGATATATCTTTCTACCAGTTAAAATTCTCAAATCTCAATGCCAAAATAATGTATTGCCTAAGCTAATGCCTGATGAGACCCAAAAGACAGGACCAAACCCTACGGAAAGGATCTTACTGCAGGCCCCACCAACCCTACTGCCAACCAAAAAACCCGCACCCTCTGCAACTCCCAAAGGACACCAAAAAGAGGGAAAAAGGACAGCAGAAATAAATGTAGGCAAGAGTTATTAATCTGACTGAAATATGACCACAATCAAGTTAAGATATCACATGTCATGTACTATAAAGAACCAGAACAGTCCAAGGTTCAGGGCTTCAGGCCATATTTGCTCTCTACAATGTCATTCAATCTCCATGCTCTTCTTTTCATTCATCCTTCCCCTCCTTTAATCTTTTTTTTTTTGGTGACATCGCCTCCTTTAATTTTGCTTATTCTTTTACATCCCCCCCTTTTCCCTTCTACAAGCTATTGGCCTGTTCCGTACCTGAAGAGAGGTAAAATATGGTAAAAGCAGAGAAATGAGAGTTGGGATATAAATACTACCTTGGTTACATTAGGATGGTCAAGTTTATGCCACACAGCAACTTCTTGTGTAAAAGCTGCTCGCAGTGATGCTAGTTCAGCGTCTGAACGATGGCCCTCTTCTCCCCAGTCAAGAAGCTTAACTGAGAGTAAAAGAGAAGGAAAACTTATTTGGTATTGGAATCAGCTGCGAAACATTTGTACATGGCTTACTCGTGGCTGTTCATTTAACATAAAATAAGCAAGCTGCAGCTGACTTAACAAGTTTAACATAAAAGAATGGTAAGTTCAATATTTTTTTTTCTGAAAAACATTATAAAACAAAGAACGTCCCATATATAACATGATTACAATTAAAAGCATAAAAACTAGAAGGGCCACTAATTTCTTTTTCCCCCTGTAGTTTTACTTCTCAGACACCCCAGTCGAAGAGTTCCTGTAACAAGCACGAAGTAGAAGAATCTTTTCTGTGGCAGAAATGAATAATTATGTGGAAGCATATTGTCCAGTCGCTTCCGGTCGACAATTTCAACAATACTTTTTACACAGAGGGGAAAAAAACTAGGTGTATACTGGAAATAAACATGAACACGTGAAAGTTCCAAAAAGAAAAGAATATTAAAGTTGATAGATGTAACTGTCAAGCCACCTTGATCTTGTGAATTCTTCAAATATAAAATAAATACTTAGAACCAAAAGGGCAGTCAATCTTGTGATTCACGGATTTTGTGAATCTAGATCTATAAGGTTCCATTGCTTGCGGCTCAAACTCATGCAATCAAACGACTTAGTAGAAGAGTCAGTAAAATAAACAAAAGCTACCACTCGGACGTTTTATAAACAGCTCAATGACACGAGCAAAGTAGCATATGGACTCATGTAGATGTGAGTAAACAAAAAAAAAAAAAGTGCAGTCTTGAGCTGAGAATTACATCCTTATCTGGTTCTAAGACTAGAAACATGTTGAAATTAAAAGTATTTAGACAAATTTTAAAAAACCAGCAGAGCTGAAAGTAGCTGATCTTCTGCTTAACTCACTAACTAAAATTAGACCTAAGAATGACAGAATTGGAGGGAGATACAGAAATTTGAGAAAACTGACTCTACATTCTTTAAAATGTCTGAGAAATCTTGACATTCAGAGGAATTGGCTGTAGCAATTCGAATCCTCGAATTGAAGCTCCAAAAGGAAAACCAGTTGAGAGAGAGAGAGAGAGAGAGCGAGAGAGCAGGTAGAAGAAGAAGTGGTACCTGCAACGTCTTGGCCATCATAAATGCCACGATGAACTGTGCCGAAAGTGCCACGAGCAATCACGCTCTTGATGATAAGCTTGGAAGGGTCAATCTCCCACTCTTGCCTGCTTCCTCCAGTGGATTTTCCTCCATACTCGTCTTCTTCCTTCTTCTTGCTCTTCTCCATCGTCCATGCTCTGCTCAGATGCCTCTGAAGCTGCTCGTCCAAGCTCTTCAGATCTATCTGATCCGCTCTCACATACCCTCCACCACCCCCACTCTCACTCTTCTCCTTCATCTATGACTCTTCTTCTCTTCTTCCCAATTCAAAAATCCCAAAACTAAGTCGTCCAGACCGTTTCTAAACGTCGAGACGAAAGTTAAGGCTTTTATTTTGGGTTCGAAGTTGGTTCTACGTATGGTGTCATTTTGGGGTGGTGCTGGTGAGGCTCATAAATATAAAAATGGTGGCTTTCTTCGAGTACAAGTGCTCGTACCAGCGTCTCTGTGCCGCCCTCTCTCAATAATCCATGTGGGCACATGGATTCTGCCTGAACACGACGTGTGTTTCTGTATGAGCTCTCAGTCTGACCCACCACCTCCACTTCGTTTCTCTTCCAATTTATAATTTATTCAAACCCAGACGTCTTTTTCTGTCTCTCTCTGCCTCTGCCTTTATATATATATTTTTCTTAACGTCCTTAATGGAATTCACGGTCATTGTACCTTTACTACAGGAAATCTCCCTCAAATAGGACTTTGCTTCATTAATGAGGGATCATATGCCATGAAGTTTACTCGCGCGCGCGCGCGCGCGCACACAGAGAGAGAGAGAGAGGGAGGGAGGGAGGGAGGGAGTTGTCATCATGGATTTATGACTTAGACATGATTGCCCCACTAGCACTGTGATGATCAATTGATCATATACCTCCAAACAACGAGCATGCATGGCTTGCTTTTTCTTTTCTTTTGGCCCTCTTCGAGCTGTGATTTTCGATTTGTTCTGGCTAGTGAATTATATCATTTTATCTTAAAAGTAAGTAGCACAGACACAAAAAGCCAAAAACAAAAACAAAAATCTTGCAGAAGGGCATATTAAAGGTGAATTCTTTTTTGGAACTTCCATTGGTATTGAACCACCCGAAATTTCCTCATGAATTCTCAGTACGTTTGGGTATCCAATTTTAATTCGCCAATGCCTTTTCTTTCTTATGTATTATAAATTAAATTTTACTCGCGAAAAATCCAACTAAGTATGCTGCGTATATTTTGCAGCTATAATTCAGGATTATTTCCAATGTCAAACGCAAGGATCCCTCAATTTTTGTGGAATAGAATAGAACCTTAAACTGAAATGTCAATTTACATTATTATGTTATGAAAAAAATTATGCCCGATTCTCACTGCTCATTTATTTTTCATCCATGAAGTCGATTTTCAACTCTTTTACCAAAAAAATGATTTTTCCCAAAAATTAAACCCCATATCCCCTCCCAAATTAAATAACAACTTACTTTTGCAAACAAGAATTAAGGTAAAAATATATTAGTATAATATAATTTATATTTGAATAGACAAATAGACAAAACTTATTTAGACTGTTAAAAAATTAGTTTCAAAATGTTTAAATACCAAGAAAAGTGAAAAAAATCAAAAGTTTAAAATTAAAAAAAGTTTCTCCAATTTTAAAATAGCTTTTGAGAAAAAAAATCAGTTGGTTTAAAAGTGATGCTAAGTATTATCAAAGCCCCTAAAATGGTTTTTTAAATAGGTGTTTAGAATCACACTTTAAAATGTACTTCTAAAAAATTGAGATAAAACCCTTCTCACATATTTATTTTGAATCATTTCAAAAAGGTTAATCTAAACATCTATAAGTCTTAAAAATCAGTTTGCAGCCTTGCATGGTAATATCAAACTAGCACTCTAATTCACAATAGCGTCCCACTGACAAGGCAGCGTGGATGCCAACTATTTCACCTATATATATAGTTACTTTTTTTTTTTTGGCCAAATATATATATAGTTACTGAAACAAATCATTTTGTGTCATCTAATAATCCCACGTCGACATTCTTTCCCATTCATTTATTTCACTCAAGTTAAAGATTATTTCAGAATTACAACTACCGTTGTTTTATACCTCATCTGACAAACTGCTGATTGCTTTATTTTATATTTCATGGGGACCTGTCACCAAGATTCTTCTTCCATGTTTTTACCAAATCAAGAAACTGCTTTAAATAGTATACTCATTCATAATACAGGAGAAGCCAATCAGCCATGTTTCTCTGGAATATGGAAACTTTGGAATCAATTAATTGTAAATCGTCCTGTAATAGAGTGGCATATAAGCATTCTGTAAATAGGAGTTGCGGGTTCTATGTCATTTATAGTTTTAGTATTTCCCTCTAAATTATATTTTCAAAAAAGAAAATAATTAATTAATTGATCTATAAAAATAAAAGTGGGTGATTATTAATTGTCGTTGACGTGGGATTTTGAGAGATTGGGTGTCACAACTCACTGCGATAATCAGCAGGCATCTGTGACGTGAGGACGCAACTTTTTTCAGAAAAGAAATTATGAGGACAAGCTTTTCATCTGATCATTGATGGATCTGAGGAAGGTTGCATCTCATTTTGTCAAAATACTCTGACCTAAACAAAAAAAGGGAAGATGCAAATTAAATTAAAGCTCATGAGAGTCATATATAGCCAATGAATGTGCTCTATACTCATATACACAGATCTTCCTGATGCTCATATCAATCTACTTAAAAATCTTGACTGATGAAAGGAAAGGCTGCTTCTTATTAACGTGTCGTCTCAGGAGTACTACTAAGTAGTACCTTAGTATTAATTTAATTCACGAGCATGACTAATTCAGGGTTTTGATGCCAAAGGTGACTAGAGATCCCAAGGCAGGACACTGGCCCACGCCTGATAATATGAAACGAATCTGATGCAGACATACAGATAAATGGGTTATGACGAATCATTTCTTAATAAAATTTTCAGTCTCAATATGAGTGCGTGGGAGTGTGAGATTAGGCCTTAGAATCAGTGGTCACATAAAAGGCCATAAACCAATCATGATTCAGAATAATGATAATCGTTTCAAATTTCATCACTAATTAGCGTGAGAAAGAATATCAGGAACGTAAACCAAGAACCAAACATCATAAGATTGAAATTTGTACAATAGGGGTTAGGTGCATGTGGTTGCCAGTAAAAAGCTGTAATATCTTTGAGACTTTAATGTAAATAAGACATGAAAAGATGTGGTAACATACTCATGAATCAGGAGGACGTCATTCAACTGGCTCATTCTTAACACCCCCCTTCACGGTAATACCCGTGATCTAACCAACGCGTGCCTGTCAGATACCCATTCATCCTTTTTTTTTTTTTGTTCACCCGTAAACTTTATTTTTAAAATAAATAAACAAAAAACTTTACTAATAGTCCTATAATACATTGTTGACTCGGTTGCATCCCCCCACAGCCCTGGAACGACATAAACCTTACTAACAGCTAGAAAGATTTACGTATGACTTGCAGAACCAGAAAAAATTCATGATCTATCAAAAGACACACATAAAGTTAAGATTATCAGTGAGGAGACAACTGGCAATCCAACAGCAATAAATAAAACAACCTTTGTGCCTTGTGCTTTTAATTACAAATTCTCGTGAACAACTTATAATCAAAGTCCAATCAGCCTGCTAAAAAACAAGAGACGTGCAATTTTTGACCTCTCCCCCCCCCCCAAAAAAAAAAAAGCCAATATGTTGATTGATGCACTCATCAAGTTTAACTTGAGGCCCCCATTTCACCAATCACCAGTGAGTGTTTTGAGATAACTTGCGAGGATTGTATTGGACAAGACACATGGGAAACTTGGCACGTCCACGTACACCTGAAATAGGTCCAAGTTCAACATTGAAAAGGTCGAACCACATATATTTGATTTGATTGCACTTAATTAGAATCACAGGTCGAGCCCCCACGTTAATGTTTTCCGGTGAAGGCAGGATTTCCCTATTGGTCATTGGATCATTTCTGCCAACCATTTTGCTATAGCCCACCAGTTTGTATCAGGACAAAAAGCGTCAAGTACGGAGTTTATGGATCGAATTCTGAAAGAAGAGCCCAAGCTCAAGTGGATCCATTTTTGGGTGGACCAATGGATCCATCTTTAAAAGCACAATCTATAAGCTCCATACAGGGTAGAGCGCATGATAGCGTGGTGTGTTGCAGCCAGAGAATCCTTTCCGCACCAGATAAGGTAACATATATAAACGAGAGGCGGACAGGAGAATCAAAGAGATTAACTACAAAATTTCCAGTGCCATGGTGGTTTTAAAATCTACTCCTCCATTATCATCTCTCCAGACCAATCTAATTCTTTTCTTCAACCTCTCATCCAAGCACACTTCGTCTTCTCTACTATTTCTCAGCCATGCCCACCCGAGTAGAACCACTGGATCCTCCAGACTCTCCATTCGGTCTTACATGGATAAACCCGATTCTATTTCCAATTTCGCTAACAAGGTCATCGGTTCACTTCCCGTCGTCGGCCTCATAGCAAGGATTCTCAGCGACGAAGGAGGCGTTGGCGGTGACATTATCGATTTTGCTGAGTTCCGAAGGCGAGTTGGAAAGAAGTGTACCATTACTGATTCTAGAGCTTTCTATGAATTCCGAGATCGTCGAGGACGGGTAATAAGTTATATGATTTCCCCCGAAAATCAAACTCTAACATTGATTTTTTCATTTTATGTTTAAACTTCATGTAATTTTTTCAATTAGTATTATTATTATTAGTTTTGTCCGCATTCTAAATATGAAAAAGGATTTTACTCGTATATGACGTACGATGTCCTTTACATTAGATAAGATTAGACGAGTAAGCTTTAGTCCTGGGACAATGTCAGTTTCATCAAAGCACTTTTGAGGTCCTACTAGTTTAGGTTTAATAGCGAGGCTGAATTGAAAAGTCAAGACTGTGAGACCTTATTATAAATTTTTATATCATAAGGACTGATTTGAAGATTTAATAGAATTATACAGACACAAAAAGTAATTTAACTTTGATTTATAATTCGTGTTGTCCTATTCTAATTCTTGCAACCTGTCTGAGTCTGTTCAACTTTTTGTTGCTCTCTGATGGTGGATATGGTATCAGTTGCTTTTGATTTTTGATGATTTGAAGTGCGATTAATGAATGCATGTGAGGATGTGCTGTTGACTTGGTGTTAATTTTATTGTGGTTAGGCAGGGGATCCTCTGTATGTTCTGTTATGCAGTTGGTTAGCAGCAGTTGGTGCTGGTCTACTCAAGTCTGAGGAGATTTTGGAAGGCGTTGCAAGGCTACGGATCTCTAATGACATTGAATTTGAAGAGCAGAACTTCATCGCTTTAATGAATGAAGCCAGAGAGGTTAGTCTATTTCCATATATCCATCTGTGGCTTCTGATTTCACCATTCATGTTGGGCTGAGTGGAGCAAGTCATGTTGACGAAGACTGAATGAATTATATGATTTCAAGCCAGAAATCAAATCCCAACATGAGGCTTTATTGTTAAAATTTTTCAGTTTGATTCAAAATTTGATTTTCCCATTTTAGTCCTAATAATCTCCCTGATTCAAAATTCAGAATGTTTTGAAATGGAATTGATGAATGCAAAGGAGGTTCTTCTGACTTGGCATTAACCTAGTTTGGGGAGGCGTGGATGCTCTGTTTGTCTTGCGTCGCGCAACACTGTAACATATGAACTTTTTCAATCATTTAATTAATGTTTTGATGAGTGCTATTACCTATTAGGTTGCATAGGAATGTCATGACCTTGGGAGGGAAGTAGGGTTAGTACTATTTGTTAATTTGTTGTTCTAGAGCCTGAGCAGAGTAAAAGAATCAGTACTGAGATATATGGCAGGTGTTATTTGCTGTGAGTTTCACTAGTGTCCCATCTGTAACTCTCGACATATAGTATACCTGTGGCCTAACGGCACCAAAAATGATATTGGAAAGTGCAGAGACGAGCAAGGCTGAATGCTGCCCCTCCTTCTATCCCAATGGAGATTCGAGTTGAGAAGGCTCTCGATGCTATCTACGTGTGTTGCTTCGGAAAGGATCCCATAGAGGATGAAGACGAGAGACTGCTGATTATAATGCTGAGTGCTGTGTTCCCTTCAGTTAAGCAACCGGAGATCCAGCGGATGGTCAAAGACAAGAGACAGAAAGTGGAAGAAGGGGTTGAGGAGGACTTTGCTCCCCAAGAAAAGCCCTTGCCAAAAGAGGCTGTAGAGCTGCAAATGAAGGACCTTCAATTTCTTAAACAAAATAGAGACACTTAACTAAGCGATGCATGTCATGATGTAGTCGCATTTTGCTCTGGACAAAAATGTGTTGAGAATTCCTTTCTTCCTTCCTTTCTTTTTGTAAGCCAACTGACACGACATTTATAGAATCTTCAGCTGTGCTTACTGTCAGAACTTACAAGTATTAATGAAATACGGAGTAGCTTCTAGAGCGAGCATCAGCCGCTGTCTGAGTACCCTCCAACATTGTTATTTTTCAGTCGTCTCCATCAGAAACAGAACACCTTGCACTTGCACCTTTATTAACCACCGTCCTGGGGATAAATATGTGAACATATTGCATATGGTTACAGAGGAAAGTGGAGACCATAGAGAAGAAAGATGACAAGTAATTTAGTACTGTTGAAATTCATTATAAGGAAAATATGAAAAGAAAAACATTTAAATTTAAATTATATAAAAATATAAAAAAGACATAAAAATGCTTTCCTCAAACAGTTCTTGGCGGACATGGTAGAACCGTAGAAGATTGAATTCTGAAGGCTGCTGGACGCTTTAACAGCATTTTTAAAAAATTGTTTCTATGAAAAAAAAAAAAATTCTAATTGATGAATCGTGCGCTGATGAGTGCCTGTGACTGTGTATCCGTGTCATCTCCCGGAAGGCGTAATCACATGCGGAGGTTGGGCCCACCAGTTCCTGAGGGTTCCTGACAGCTGACGCACCATGCGGCTGTTGAAGCAAGTTCACAAAAGCCGTTGATTCTGGACGTAACGGGGAAGGGAGACAGTGGTCTGCATTCTGCAAGTTCACTTCTTCGCTTTTACCTCCTGGGGTTTCGAAGGTGAGCCATGGATCCTCCAGCTGCGCCAAGCCCAACTGCGACTCAGCGTGATCAATGGATCGTAGAATCTCAGGTCTACAAGATATACGAACACTTTGCCAATATTCCTCCCAACGCCCAATCCGTCATGTAAGAATCTTTTTCTTCTCCATCATTGTCGAACCCTAGCTTATTCAATGCCCCTATAGCTCATTATCCTCGATTCTAGGCTGGAGCTGCAGCGTGATAAACACATGGAGTTCCTGGAAAAAGGTCTTAGACATCTGGGTTCTGCGTTTTGCGTTTTGGATGCCAAGTAACTCTTTCCCTCCGTCGCTTTCTTTTTTACTTTAATATAGAGTCATATGAAGTCTCTGTTGAACTTTGTCTGTGGTTACTAACGGTGCTTGCTTTCGCACATCTATTAGTGGGATAACGGCTTGATTATGTTGAGTTTGTGTATTGAAACTTATTTTCTGATTCCCGCCCTTTTCGGTTCTAGAAATAGCTATTCATCACCTTAAAAATTTTGTGTAGCAGGATGATAATATCTACTTCTTATGATCTGGTTCTAACCGTGTATAATGGAGCCATATTGTTAAATTGTTATTTGAGCTCTCTGTGGGGTCCAACAAGCGCGGCAGACTAAACATGCCTTGTCTGCAGTCTCATCCCCATTTTGGGGGTGGTAGCCTTTTTTTGGCATCATAAGCACTTTTGTATCTTGATGGCTGCAGCCCTGTAATTTTCATAAATTTATGATATCCTCATCTGGGACCGTAATTTCTTCCCGAGTTTATGTCTCGGTCTTAAATTTTGTGACATGCAGTCGACCCTGGCTATGCTACTGGATCCTTCACTCCGTTGCTTTGCTGGGAGAATCGGTTGATGATGAACTGGAAAATAACACCATTGATTTTCTTAGTCGTTGCCAGGTGATCTCATTGCTTTGTTATCTTGCATTTTCTGTAAACCTGTCTTATAACTTAATCTCTCTCTACGTGACTTTCTTGTTCTCTCAACGTCTCTTTCCTTTCTTGCTCCCTTTGTATATGTATATGAAAATTAGTTGAGGTTGATATGCTTTGCCTATCTGTAATTTTAATCAGGATTATCAAACCTAGTCAATCCTATAGTTGTCATCATGTTAGCATGTCATGTTTAATGATATATATTGAAAAAGAATTATTTAAAAAATAGATATTTCTTTGATTTCCTCTCCATTATGTGCTTCTCATCCCCCATACTTGTCTTATATTTATTTTATTTCTTGCAGGATCCAAATGGTGGGTACGGTGGGGGACCTGGCCAGGTACACGACTACATCACTTTCTGGCCTATTTTTTGTTGAATGTTAAGCTATGGCCTTGTTGGATGATACAATGCGTACCCATAACTTGTTAAGTAAGAAATGCATATGGTATACCTCTATATTTAGGCATTATGTTGCTGCTATTATGTATGCAATGGGAGAATATAGAGTATACCGTTCAAGTAACTTGATTACATGGCTTTAGTGGGCTTTATTGTATTGCTTTAAGTTAAAGCCACTTTAGTTTAATACGCTTTGGGCCACCTTTTTAATAAGTTTCTCTTTTTGTTGTTGATAAATGAAGTAATACTTACCTTTGTATTTATATGTTATATTGCTGCTGTTTGAATACGCAATGGGTTGGTTCATAGCAATAGCAGAGTGTTCAAATAACTTGCTTCATGGCTTTAGTTGGCTATTATTGTATTTCGAGTTTAAGCCCCTTTAGTGTAATATGTTTTAGGCGTTTTCTGACAAGTCTCTCTTTCTTCTTTTATGTTGTAATGGTTGATATATTTGAAATCTCCTCAGATGCCTCATCTTGCCACAACTTATGCTGCAGTCAATACGCTTATCACATTGGGTGGTGAGAAAGCTTTGGCGTCAATTAATAGGTGGTCAGTTTAAACAAGTTTCTGTTGTTATATTACATTATACGCACTTTTAGCGTTTGGTTAGCTATAACTGTCTGACATCTTGAAGTGAACATGTTATTTTTTTATATATATGATATTCTCAGAGATAAATTGTCTGGGTTTCTACATCGGATGAAACAGCCAAATGGGGGATTCAGGTTCGTATTTCTCTTTATGGTTTGAATTTACTAAAGACATTTTGATAAATGACTGTAAATCACAGCCATTCACATTTTTTTAATAAATAGTGGGCAACTTTGATTTAGTGATGCCTATGAGTCCATCTACTTAGAGAAATATCATTTTTCACCTGTGGCAAATTTTGGTTGTGCGTGTGTAACTCTGTGAGTCAGTTGCACACAAATCAAAAGCTGCCACTGGGTACAAGTGGTTTGACTCTAAGTCAGTGTAAAAAGCATTTCTTGATATTAATTAATGTCCTTGTTGGCACACTCAGGATTTATCTGCCCAGCCTTGAATTAATTCGTTTTTTTACCATCAATACTTTCTTCAGGATGCATGATTTAGGAGAAATTGACGTTCGAGCGTGCTACACTGCCATTTCTGTGAGTTTGTAGTTTGGTATCTCTATCTTAATGTTGTGTTTGCTCATGTTTAGATATATATATTCAATCTGACGTGGAACTTTGTGGATGGCATAACGCTTATTGCTTACTTCAATGGAGTGTTCTTTTCATTATCTTGAACTTGGCTTTTACGTGCATATTACTAACTAAAAAGTAAAGGCATGGTGTTAAGACTATGGGCTAATTGACACCATTTTCCTTTTAACCTCTACTGGCTTCATTGTGGGCTGAGATTTTACTATTGATGGCATATCATCCCTGAAATATTGACTATCGTTCATATTATTTCTTGGTAAAACCCTTTTTGGTTCTATACTACACTTCTTAATGGTTTGAGCTTGGTTAAATGCCTACTTCTCCTGGTGCTTTTTGGTTTCTTTGGAAGACAAGTGTCGCATGAATGATGAGTTTATATTCATCAAACAATATATTGAATATCCAAAATACATGTTTTTTTTTTGGGGGTTATTTTGCTTCTTTATTTGTTACCAGGATTGTTTCTATGGCATAGAATTTAACATCTTGTTTGAAACAGGTTGCAAGTGTTTTGAACATTCTGGATGATGAACTGATCCGTAATGTTGGAGACTTTATTTCAAGGTTAGTTTGAAGCACCATTAATTTTATTTTGCTGTAGAACATGGCTGTATGTTGCCATCTTAGATGACGTTGTTCAGAACTGAAACTTCGTATGAGTTCTTCATTTGAAGATACTTCTTAATGATTATGGTGGTTGTATGGTATGTTGGATTAATAAAATTCTGTCTGGTTTCTAGAATCTACTGCCTTTGTATTGCATTTAGTAATTAGTCAGTGTTTAGTTGGCTCATTATATATTTTAGCTATCCAACGGTTGTGTTTACACTTTTCTTTTGAAATATCTTAAAACTTTAGTACTACAGTTATTGATTTGAATGCTTTATAATTAATTTGTGGAATGCCATTGATTTCTTATGGTCCATGTTATTTGCTCTGGCATTTCTCTGCAGCTGTCAGACATATGAAGGTGGCATTGGTGGGGAACCTGGTTCTGAGGCTCATGGAGGGTATGTTTCATTTCACCCTCTGCCCATTAATAACACTATTAAGAAACTCGTTCAGCAAACTTGCTTTAACCAATTTTTCTTGAGATTTTCCTTCTACATGAACCTTAGTATTACTCTTTTGACCATATTTTCATTTTCTTTCAAGCAAAACTGATTAGCTTAGGTTGAGATGATAATGATGTACTCTTCTTTTCTCCCTTTTCATTGCTTTGCCTAGAAAGTAAAGAGTAATTTTCCCCCAATTTTGTTTTGCATTTATTCCAATCCTCTTGGTGAATTCGAAAAGTGCGCATTTGTAATATTTTTGTGGCTAGCTTGTGGATTTGCATCTTTTTGTTAAGTCCTAGTAAATTTTGACTTTGTTTTACCAGGTATACGTTTTGCGGATTAGCTACGATGATTCTGATTGATGAAGTCAATCGCTTGGATCTGCCTCGTTTAACTGTAAGAGGAATCTTTCTCACCTTATGGCTTTCAGTTAGTCTCAAACATTTCTTTTGAGGTTGCCAGTGTTGTATTAAGTACTAATCTGAGTTGTTGTTTTAGGAGTGGGTAGTATTCCGGCAAGGTCGGGAGTGTGGATTTCAGGGGAGAACTAATAAATTGGTTGATGGATGCTACTCTTTTTGGCAGGTGACACACACACACCCACATTTGGTTATTTGTCTTCGTAACATTGATTGAAATTTTGAAATTTGACTGCTAATCAGGGTGGCGTTGTTGATCTATTGCAAAGATTATATTCTATTATTGAGAAAAAAATGGCAACCTTAGCAGCTCAGAAAAGTGATTGTGCTGATGAGTGTTCACAGATTCCTACAACATCTGACAGATTGGAAGGTATGTATGGGGCCTCTCACGATGAAACTTGCCATTCTGGGAATCGAGTCAAGCTGTAGGCTGATAGAAGCATGGATTCTTCTGTGTTGTTTAAATTTACGCTTGATGCCAATATTTCTCTCTAATTTCTTGTTCCGATGAGCTTATATTTTCACAGGTGTGAGGAGGTCCTCTTGGGTTAATTTCAACAACATCGGTTGTAATTTTCTCAAGGGACCCAGAGCAACGGAGCCTCTTTTTCACAGCATTGCCTTGCAGCAATACATTCTTCTATGCTCACAGGTGTGAATATGTTCTACCTACTGGGTTATCTTTAATCTCTGCCTTTATTTTTGGTCAGTTTCGGTGTCATCCAATGTGAGATTCAACTATTGGTATCATTCAATTGCGCGTTAGTTTTGATTGACATGACAGTTGATTTTGAAATGATGTGGTTGATGTAGGAGCTAGAGGGTGGATTGAGAGACAAGCCAGGCAAGCGGAGAGATTATTATCATACATGTTACTGTTTAAGTGGGCTTTCATTGTGTCAGTATAGCTGGTCAAAGGACCCAGATTCTCCACCGTTGCCCAAGTCAGTGTTGGGCCCTTACTCTAACCTCCTTGAACCCATCCATCCCCTTTTCAATGTTGTCTTGGATCGATACCACGAAGCCCACCAATTTTTCTCTGGCTTCTCCTGACGGTTGACCACGTTTTATTCTGTTAGCTATAACTGGAACCCTGTAATTTTTAGGCTGCAAATTGCTTGTTTTGAGTTTCCCATTGGAAGAAAAACATTCTATGGTTATTAGCAGCTTTATCAACTGTTTGGTACGTTACACGAATCTTAGAAATGAGTTACGTTGGACTTCTCCGATCCTTATTATAAGACCCAATTTGACTTTTTATTTGGTCCTAATTATAAGACCCAATCTATTTTCTCTTTTATATTTATGTATTTTTTTTCAAGATAATCCTTCTAATAATGATAGTTTTAGCTAATATACTTAATTAGCAAGGATATTTTAGGAATAACAACACTTATTTATTATAAATAACCAACTTAACTTACTTCCTTAATCTCTTCAAATAAGTCAATTGGGTCTTATAATTAGGACTGGAGGAGTATATGGCTCCTGAAGTTTGTCAGGATTTTTAGATTATATTACTTCCTATCCTAATTATAAAAATTCGTTTATAACATCTTGTACATTTTTGGGTTTAACAAATTTTAAGTACTATTTCTGATCTAATTATAAAATCTTGTTTGTAGTAGATTTTACAAATAAGATATGTATTATAAATAAAATTTTATAATTAAGACGGAGATAATACTTAAAATTTTTTAAAATTAAAAGAGTATAAGATGTTTTATTTTTAACCCAAAAATGAGAATGAATTTGCAATGCAATTAATGGCACGGGATCCGAACGCTATTTATTCTACCCATCCTTCGGGGTGGTCTTTCTAGACAGCTGGTTCTGCTCCGCGTGGCAGCACAACTCTGGGAAAAGTAATCAAATCATTACAACTCATCCGTTAGAGCTGGCCAGTTAACTCTTGCCACGTGGTGACATTGAGTTCCGAACCTGTAAAAGTTGCGCCGTCATCTGCTCTGTGATCACGTGTTGATTCTTTTCGTGTACAGAAGCCGTTAATCCTGCCATGCTGTGGCTGGGCCTCTTGCGTCCATATGAATAAATGGACGTTCTCCCGGTCACTTTGGAGATGATAAGAATGGGATGAGAAATATTTTTAGTTTTGTTTTTGGGTGAATGTTTTCAGAGTATTTTTAAATCTAGCGTATTAAATTATCAACCAAATTCACTCAAAAAAATTATCAGCAATTAAAATATTCAGACGGGAGCTGTTTTCTTTAAAGAAGTAAATTTAAAAATGTTTTTATTTTTTTGAAAAGTCTACTTTCTTAAAAATAATTTAAATTATTATTTATTTAATTCATTTTATAAAAATGGTTTATGTTTTGAGATTTAGGTTTAAACATCTAAATCTTCTGAATTTTAAAAGTGATATTGTCATAGTGATATTAAGTCAGTAATATTTTATTAGTGATATTATTAAGGTACTTTCAATTTTGATTGAGATGACCGAAAGTCCAGAACCATGTCCCCAAAGTATCCAAATGTTTACTTCCACAAAAAATTAAAATAATTATATTAAATTTAATGAAAATAATTAATAATGCATGATGCAGCTGTTGAAGACTAGTGAGCAGCGGGAGGTGAGGTCGCCTTCCTCGTTTGCGTCAACATTCTAACTCATTCCTCTGCGACCTCCACTTCCTGCACATGAATTTCCTTGAAATTCTCAACTATTTTCATGTCAATTCCCTATTCTGCCCTCTTCATTTCCTCAAAATTCCACTGCCGATCACGCGGACACGCACCTCTCTCCTCTTCGTCTTCTTCCACCCTCCAAATATATAAATAAATACATTCAAATCAATTGGAGCGATCGACCCATATCTCTGTAGCTGTTCATAAAGCCCCCTCCAAAAGTCTTGGTTCTTACTTCTCGGAGAGTTCTGCTGGCAGCCCCTACATATCATTGAGGTAATTTTTTTTTCAATTGCTTTTCTAGCATTTGATGAACTCGCTTGCCTACGGTTCTTTGGTCAGTGTTCGCATTTTATCTTTTGGTTGTTTTCAACTCTGATTACTGAATATTGAATTTGATAACGCTTTATTTTTGAAATGCTAACCAGCACCTGGAAGGAATAAATGACGCGCATCCAGTTAACATATGGCTGCTTCTGCTCCTTGATGTAAATCGTATTGCGCGTTCCATTCCTTTCTGTTTTTCCTTTTTGCTTCTTCGTTGGTTTTTTATGGATACGTCATTTTCGATCGGGATTCCCTGGTTTTCTTCAAATACTACTTCCGAAAGAGAGAGCCGATTGTGAAAAGGAAAATTTGTTTGTTCTCTACTTGTAATTGAAATGGATGGATATGCCTAATTTTACGGTGTTTTCTGCATTCCTCTGTTGTAGGATTTCAGCCATTTTTCTTGATTAAAACAGTTCGATGCCTGGATTAGCAATGAATGAATTAAATACGAATAACGCATCAGATGAACGTAGTGTGGGTTATACGCCTCATAAGGAGAAATTTACTCAACAAGTATCACCGAGGAGTCCACTTAGCTCAAGTAACATCCGCAGTGGCTCTATTGATCTGCCTATTGATGGGTTGGTGGACAACTCTATTGAGCAATTGTGTCGCGATGTGTGTGAATTGCTGAGTTCTGATCACTCACCCTCCAGGGTTAGTTTTTACTCATTTGGTGAAGAGTCAAGGATCGATTCGGAATTACGCCATCTAGTTGGAGATTTTGCAGGGCTGGAGATTACAAATGAGCTAGCTACAGAGTCCAAAGAGGAAAGAAATACTAGCGGATCAACTCCTGAAAAAGATATCGCATCAGATGGTAACAAGTCTACAAAGAACAAGGACGTGAATCAATCAACCAAATCAACCTGCAAAAGCAAAAACTTGCGTGAAAAGCCATCTATTGGCAAGAGGAATGAGAAGAATTCCAAAAAAGCAAGTCCTCTTTATAATCTGAAGAATCAGAGGAATGTTGGTTTGCTTGGTGTGAAGTCGCAGAATATGATTGAAGGACCTATTGACGACCCAGAAACGGGACCACTCTTACTTAAGCAAACAAGAGAAATGATCTCTTCAGGTGAGAATACGCAGAAGGCTCTTGATTTGGCTCTTAGAGCTCTGAATTCGTTTGAGATATGTACAAATGGGAAACTCAGTTTGGAAATGGTTATGTGTTTGCACGTCTTGGCAACAATATACTGCAAAATAGGACAACATAATGAAGCCATTCCTATTCTGGAGCGTTCCATTGATATTCCTGTTTTAGAACATGGCCAAGACCACGCACTAGCTAAATTTGCGGGGTGCATGCATTTGGGTGACACTTATGCAATGATGGGGCATATGGAGAATTCAATATCTTTTTACACACAAGGTCTGAAAATCCAAACACAAGCCTTGGGAGAAACAGACCCAAGACTTGGTGACACATTTCGTTATGTGGCTGAGGCTCATTTCGAAGCACTGCAGTTTGAGGAGGCCAAATATCTTTGTCAAAAGGCTCTTGATATTCACCGAAAAAATAGGTATGCCACTTCCCTTGAAGAAGCATTAGATAGGAGACTCATGGGACTAATTTGTGACTCAAAGGGTGATTATGAAGCTGCCCTTGATCATTATGTTCCAGCTAGCATGATCATGGCAGCGAATGGCCTAGAATTAGATGCAGCTTCAGTTGATTGCAGCATTGGAGATGCCTATTCATTTTTGGGACGCTATGATGACGCAGTTTTGGCTTATCAGAAAGCACTCGCAGTGTTCAAGTCAACAAAAGGGGAGGATCATGCAGTTGCTTCAGTTTATGTACGTTTAGCTGACTTGTACCACAAGACAGGAAAGCCTAAGGAATCAAAATATTTCCGTGAAAATGCGGTAAAAATTTTTGGTAAGACAACCCTGAACCCTTGGATCCCCTCAGAAGAGATTGTAAGTGGGTTAATAGAAGTTGCTGCTACTTATGAATCGATGAATGATTTAGAGCAGGCTGTGAAGTTACTGAAGAAGGCGTTGAAGATATATGATAAAACCCATGGTCAACAAAGCACTGTCGCGGGAATTGAAGCCCAAATTGGGGCTATGCATTATATGCTAGGGAACTATTCTGATTCTTACAGGAGCTTTAAGAGTGCTATTGACAAGTTTCGTGCCAGCGGAGAGAACGAATCTGCTTCGTTTGGGATTGTACTGAACCAAATGGGTCTTGTCTGCGTGCAGCTTTATGCGATAAACGAAGCGGCAGAAATGTTCCAAGAGGCTAGGAGTATATTGGAACAAGAATATGGCCCATATCACCCTCACACCTTAGGGGTGTGCAGCAACCTAGCAGCCACTTATGACGCAATGAGCAGGTAACAGTTAACACACGCTCCTTCTACATATCTGGAAGTCGTTCGCTATTGTTTTTTCATCACTATAATCAGAAAAGAATGCTTTTATTTGTGCGAACTACCATTTAATGATAAAATTTATACCTTATTTGAAGATTTGCATGCTTGCTGAATCTTGATGTGTAGTGAAAAATGAAAACCTTAAATCTCATTTAAAATCAACGTTAAACAAATAACATAATTTTGATTGTGACGGTAAGATTGAGTTTGATGTTAAACTTACAGGAGGGAAATCCTCTTCAGGCCTCAGCCTTCTGTAATGTGTTTTTAAATATTAATAATGCAATATAATTCCAGGATCAAAAAGTGTTAACCTCGCTGAACTGTTTATTTTTAATCCAAAAATATTTAATGGGCATTCTTTTATTGCATTTAAAAGTTATATGTATGGATTTTGCGATCAAAGTTTCATTTGAAGATCTTTTTTTAAGTTACATATGGATAACTTGAATTTTTCCGGGTACGAATGCTAATGTCTTGTATCCGATGGTTTGCACAGGGTCGACGATGCCATAGAAATTTTGGAATATGTGATTGGCCTGCGAGAAGATGAGTATGGAACAACAGCTTCAGATTTGGATGATGAGAGGCGCAGGCTGGCAGATTTGTTGAAAGAAGCAGGCAGGGCTCCAAAAACGCAACATCGATAACACTACTTGAAATTTCGGTCAATTCCATCTCGTGAAAAAGACGGCATAAAGATTATTGACGCAGATAATGCATATAGTATAGGATGAAATTAATTGCTTTACTTCTTTTGATCATCATTTGTAAAGTCAGAAAGTCAATAAATAAATAAATAAATAACTACAAAGTGGAAATAATTTGCTCTTCCCCGTCATCTATCTCTCAAAAGATTCCCAGAGTTAGCTGCGTTTGCATGTATTCCCTGTACTATAGATAACGAGGTAGTTTCTTATTTGTTTCCTAGCTTCTTGTAAAATAAAAATAATTTCAGTAATAAGAATGGTTATAGAAGAGAGGAATTTACAGTCTTGCCCTTTGCTGTTGAGCCTAATCAAAGCCTCGAGATATACTTCTACACATCGCAAGTCGAAAAATGGCCCTGCGTCGATCTCTGGGTTTGCCGTTCACGGTGGCCTATCTTACAACGGCACGAGGTCGAATCGGCAAGACTCATCTCCTGCTTCTTCATTCCCATCAAATAAATGAGGTATTCCAAAATGCCCCTCCTCTTTTGTTCACCAAAAACAAGAAACCGATATTTACTTCGAAAATTTTTTTAGCAAAATTTGTAAAGTGCCATCATTTTCTTTACATATAAATGTATCAAGTTCTTTTCATCAATAAAATTTGCCCTAGACATTTTTTCCCATATTTTCTATTTGTTACCACATGCATAAAAGTAATTTTCTTATCGTTCTCTTGTTGGCCTAAAAACGTTCATCCACAAGGGTTTCATGAAAAATACTTTACGAAAGGATAAGTAAAACCAAGGTGTGTTGGATGCCAAGATGTAACTGTCCATCCTTTTATAAAAAAAAAATAAAAAATAACACTACTAGAATTGAAAGTAACATTATCTACAAGTATAAATTATAAATTATAAATACTCAATAATTATGCATTACTTAACTCAAAAAATTAATTAAAAATTTTAAATAAAATTAAAAGAAATAATTTCTTAAATACATTCATGATCATAAAATCAACTTATTGTACATGTAATCAGAAAAAAACAATCCAATACAACCAATTAGTTTTCATAAAGATTATAATTATAAATTATAAATATATATTTGGTAATAATATAGAGACTACCTCAGATTTTTAATATAAGAGCTACTTAGACCCTAATTTACATTGTCTCTTACATTTATCCAATTTTTTTAAAAATAATTTTTGTAGTAATTACACATGATAAATGTTCTATTAAATTATAATTTTAGTTAATACACATTATTAGCCAATATATTTTAAGAAAAATAATACATATTTATTATAAATAACTTAAACAAATTTTTTTAATTTACTTTAATTAGTTAACTAGGAGAGTGGTTTTCATATAATACGCATATGTAGACCCATTAGGGCTGAGCGGATCTGATCTCAACCCAGCCCGATCCAGTCTCTCAAATCAACCCGATATACGACAGGCAACCAAGACTCCCATGCTACCAGACTGATTACACACCCTTGCTCAGGCCCAAAAAAAAGAGAGATTAAACACCCTTGCCTCTTGTTAAAAGAATATGATTTTCATTATAAATATATTGACTATATATACATTTATAACTATCATTTATGCAATACACAAATGGCATAACACAGCTTGTACAGTTTTTGCTTATAATGTAACTTTCTCTAGATTTATATAGATAGTTACAAATTTTTATTAATAATATTGAAATTCTATGCGTCACCTGCTCTAAGATTAGATAAAATTTTAAATATAAAACTTCAATTCATTTGTTTTATCAAACTCTAATATTTTTTTCAAACTACTATAAAAGTATTTTAAGGAGATCACATCATATTTATTATTAAAAAACTAGTTTATTTGATTTTCTTAATATACCTAAATTAGTTAAATAATTCTACTATTAAGAATTAGAAGAAGTACTAATAATTAATAAGAACATAACAGCAACCAGCTAAGGGCGAGAAAAAATTGAATAAAATGAAATATATGGACCCCATACGCAATCATCCAGGATAGCAGGCATGTCATGATTCATCAGGCTTTTGGTTCAAGAATAACAGGGATCTTCTGCTTCTGGTCGCCTCGCAAAACCTCTACGATCACCTGAATATGAACATCATTCAAATAAAAAATAAAAAACTCATTACACTGATTAGATTTAAGTATCCATATACAGGTTGATTAAACAGACATAGCAACAACAATAAAATTCTTGCGTTTTACATCTTTTTTTTTAACAGCTGTTTTACATCTGTTTTCTTAAAATTTCAGAGTTTTTTTTTTTTTTTTTTTTGCACTCACAAATTCATCTAAATGTTGCGAGAGTTCAAAATAGGGAGACAGACAACATTGCTACGGGAGATAACATTAGGATCATACCTTGTCGCCCACTTTACACTGATCAAGAACTCTGTACAAATCACTTCCATGAGTAACCTTTTTACCATTCACGGATGTTATGATGTCGCCTAAAATGAGTCTACCATAGGCATCACGTTTCGTTGGTTGCAAGCCCTACAAAACACAAAAAAGTTTAAATGTTGCAGAATTTTGATGAAAAAGCTACTACCTCCGGTCGTAATTATAAAAACTTATTTATAGTCTATAAACAAGGTCTTATAATTAGAACCAGAGGTAGTATAATGCTATAGGCAGACATGACCAAAGAAAGTTAAACAGGATAAAAATAAGCATACGGCTTTCCCAGCTGGACCGTCGGCAGGAGCATCCAAAACAAGTACCCCACTTACACCCAACTGCTCTACAGACTGATCTGGTGCAAACTTGATCCCTAAAATAGGTCTTGCGACCTTCCCAAACCTCACCAATTGATCGACGATGCCACTTACCTAAATATGAGACAAGTGATAAGTGATCCATATTAGAGGATGACGAAAACAGAAAGCTATGTTTTTCCACATCTCCAAATAGTTAACTTCATACAAAGCAAGGTTTAGTTTTTTTTTTTGGGGGGGGGGGGGGATAAGCAGGGTTCAAGTTAGAACTCACTGTGTCCACAGGAATAGAGAATCCAACGCCAGATGAGGCACCAGATGGGGAATATATAGCTGTGTTTATACCAATAAGGTTACCAGAACTATCCAATAGTGGCCCCCCACTGTTCCCTGGGTTAATCGCAGCATCAGTCTGTATGACATCTTGAATCGGCCGGCCACTTGCAGCCGAACTAATTTCTCGACGAAGTCCACTATTTAAAAAGGAAGAAAATGCAAATAATCAAACATAGTATGCGTACTGAACAAGTGCACAAGAAAAATGAACTTTTCTATTCACCAAAAAGATGAAACACGTCTTACCTTAAAAGGTGAAGGATAAGGGAAAAAAGATAAGAGATTACCCAAAAAAAAAAAAAAAGGAGGGAAAAAAAAGAAGGAAAAAAGATATCCTCGTATAAAGCATTTCATCAAAGGGATTAGAGGCATAAGTCCCTGCCCATAATTTTCTATTGACTTGTCAATTTCTTTCTTATATTTTAATCTGTGCTTTTAGTTTCAAAAGAATTTATTCTAAACACGGGTATGAATTCTCTAGCACGCTCCTCTGTTTAATCTTATCTCCAGTTAACACATTAAGATTTTAGTTATCATGTCCTCCCACACCCTACCAATCTACCATCCCTTTTCCTCTTCTTTCCTATGAAACCTTCTCCCTTCTCCAAACCTGACTTCTTTCCCTCATCCATATAACTTTAAAATAACCTTATTGACAGGCTATTGGAGTCTCGGAGTTAATGCTTCATTTTTTGAGGGCACAAATACCAGTCATGGACAAAAAGGAATTAAATGTAACTTAAATATGCACATCACTTCAGAACAGAAAAACACAAACAAAAACAATGCATACACATTACGTCATTCCAATTTGATAGGAATCTGTTTTGACATTGCTTTGCTTCAGTAAAATATAGTATACATGCCCAATTTTTTGTTAGGATACATAAACGGATAATTCAAAGTTCAACATAAGAGTTAGAAATTGCAAAATTTAGATAGAATGAGGTTTTATTTTTTTAAAAGGAAAAAAAAATCGGTTGATTGGGGCTCAACGTTTATACCTGATGACACCAGTAGTAAGAGTATGGTCTAGTCCAAACTGCACATGAATAAATGTCAAATTGGCCAAACAAATAATCAATTATGTTGTCATATGTAGCACTCAAGTTATAGATGATTATAAGCTTCACTAAGCAGTGCAGCAGTAAACATATTTGAAAAATTTCAGAAACTAAAGCATGACCATCACGATTACAATTTTAGCATCTTTTCTACATTTTTCTAAATAAAAAAAAATCAGTGTTTTCATTTTTATATTGAATATTAAAGTGCAGGAGCATTTTCAACTCACTAATCTTGAGCAGTGTTTTTGCATAAAATGTTGAGGAGAAAAATTAGTACTGTAAAGGGCGCAGCAATACTGAATATAAAGACATAATAAATAAAAATGGAAAATCATTAACAAAAGACAAATCGTTAGGAAGTGAATATACAGAATCTCCAGTTTCATCTAAAATTTATCATAGATCTATAAATTGGGAATAACAGCATTGCCATAATCTCTGAAATTACAAAAAAAAGAGTGGGTATTGTTATCACGGAGAAAGAGTAGATATTGCAGTTTGTATCAGCAGAGAACAAATTTGTACTCACTGGGTTCCCAATAGCATACACTTTCTGACCAACAACCAAGTCATTAGAGACACCAATAGGTATAGGCCTAAGTTTGTCTTTAGATGCATCAACACGTAACACAGCAACATCCTTATCCTGATCAAAGCCAATGATTTTTGCATCATATATTGTCTGGTCGGCAAGAGTGATCCTGCAAATTACCAGAAGAGGAACAATTGCTTACTGAGGCATGTTAAACCATCGTCATATAAGAATTCACAGTCAAGTTTTCGTCTCAATAGAGGCAAGGGAATCAGTCATATCACTTGTCAACTCAATGCAAAACAAACCATGATGAACTAAGTGCAAACACTCTCATAGCATGTTAACTTTATTTAACTGATAAATGATAATAAAGTTAATAAATTCACTAAAGTAGAAAAATCGTTCAGACAAATAATAAACTGAGATATATTGAGGAGAGTTTTTGACAGAATGATGGGCCATGTACTGAGATTCCGAGCTCTCATCCTAATACTTGAAATGAAGATTAAAAATCCATTGCGAAGATTTCAAATTTCTAAAAAGAAATGGCAAACAAATAGAAGTTAGTAATTTTTTCCCAGTTTTTTAAACCAAATATAGAAGCAGCAACTCTACCTTATTTAATTTGTTGCCATTAGGCAACTAGCATCTATATATGTTCTGTTTGACGTCTAGTTGCAGAATTTAAAGTTCCTAGCATCAAATCATTCTGAAGCCGAATTTTAAGCGGAACAAACTAACTTGATCGAAGGATTCAAGTTTCAAAACCAAGCATCTGACCTGAGATCAGAAGCTGCGCGGATAACGTGATAATTGGTCACAATATGACCCTCTTTATCCCAGATAAAGCCCGATCCAGAGCCTTGTGGAACCTCCAATACGTCCAACGTAAAAGCATCCTGCCTAAGAAATAAGAATCCAACCACTCTTATGAACATTATAATTCACATTCAAAACCGAAAAAATCAAAAAAGAAATTATAAACAGAAAAGATTGGTCAGGACTGATTAGCTAGATGCTTACTTGGCAGCAAGATTGGTAATGTTTACAACAGAGGGAGTGTTGTCTTGGAAGAGACGAACAGTAGCGAGCTCATCGGACTGCAATTTCCTCGGCGAAGTGACCACGAAAGCAGAAGCGGGACCAACATCGGCAAGAAAGAAGGAGAAAGACAGAGCAATGGAAGTGCAGAGAAGTAGAAGAGAATCGAGTTTAGGAGGGGAAGAAGTAGTAGTGATTGATGAGGGAGGGAAGCGTGAGTTTCGAGAGAAAGCAGGACGAAGAAGGGAAAGTGTACGGTAATTGGGAATGAAGGTTTTGTGGAGAAGACCAACGGATTTGGAAACGAAGATTGCAGGTTTGTAGCGTGGGAAGCGAGAAACTGTGGATGTGGAATGTAAGTATGTGGGAGAGAAGGAACAAGCAGGAGCCATTTCTGTTTCGACTTTCGAGGTGGATTCTGAGCTTCGCTTTTATACTATATTCTTCAAATAAAAATTCAAAGACGTAAACGCAGGTTGCCTCACGTTTCACCCAGTGTTTGGGCGTACGCCTTTTATCAGAATTTCAATTAAACTATAAAATGGTTGTCTGGAAAATAGGATCATAATTACAAGTTTTTGCAAAAACTTTTATATTTTTTATAAATAAAAATTTAAACAAAATAACAACCTAACAACTCTGCTTAATCTTGGAAGCTACATACAAAGTATACTCCATCTCAAACCTTTTGCTTAAAAACATGTTGTTATCATCGTTACCCAAGCTCTACCGGATACATAGTATACACATATAGATGCCCGAACAATGGAAAATTATGATTGTTAAATCAAAATTTAACTAAATAAAACATAATTAAGATAGAGTATCTGCATCATTCTCGTAAAAGAATTAGATTTACTTACAGAGTAAATACAGGATGAATCCAGGACGAATATAGGCTTCGAGAAAGACAGGAGCAAGATGGCCCATCCTCTTCTAATAAATACAGGACGAATCTTCCACTTCAACAAGTAGCGGTTTATGGGCCATATACTCATCATCAAGAACACTAATTTAGTGTTAAACCAATAGAAGGACTCACTAAGAAGTAAGAATCCTATGAATAATCTCAAAATCCCAATGTCATTCATCAAGAAGAAAGGAGGGAACAAAACAATAACCCAGCAGTCTTGGTTATGTTATAGGCATATACGCGTTGTGTAAGCTGTTAAGTGTAACGTGAACAAAACTCCACCTTAGCTGTAATATTCGATGATAAAATGAAAAGTATCCGCGGGAACTACAAAATTTTATCAAGAGGTCTTAACTCTCTCGGTACCGCTTCAAAATTTCCAGCATCTACGTCAGACTGCAGCATGGGCTGCTTCCCCGTTTTCCAGAAAATGCCCTCTGCTAGGTGCTCTTTGTTCGGCGTGAGAAGTACATAATTCGGATCAGCCCTTTCGTAACTGCAAAAGAAGTGAGAGAAGCGCATCTAAATATGAACGTGACTTGTCCCATTATGGCCGAGTACAATAACACAGCTTATTACGCCATGAATTACGTAAGGTAACACAGAGTTTTCATTTTTTATGCCGCAACATTGCGTGCATCTATATTAACCTAAAACTAAATTTGCAGATAATCTGTTGAAACGAAAGATAGAAGTTAATGCAAACAAATGAACCTGGCTTCTCTAAGACTCTCGCTGTGGATGCCAAATCCATATTGCATGTTACCATCAGCACGATCTCGAGTGGCTACGTAGAAATAGACCATACTCAGTATTCCAAACATCCGACACCAGCATGATACATTACTAAGAGCCAAACCAGGAACCCATAGACAAAATCAACCACAATAACTTATACTACCTCCGGTTTTTTATATAAGACTATGTTTGACTTTTATTTGAGTCCTAAATGTAAGATCCCAATCCACTGTCTCTCATATTTATACATTTTTTTCCAAAGTAATCCTTCTAACAATAGTAGTTCTAGCTAGTATACTTAATTAGTAAGGATATTGTACGAAAGACAATACCTATTTATCACAAATAACTAACTTAACTTCTTTTCTTAATCTTCTCAAATTAGTTAATTAGCTCTTATAATTAGAACTGGAAGTCGTACTATGTTAAAATATATATACTTTTCACTACGTTGAGGTAATTTTAACCGTCCCTTTAGTCATGCAAGGGTTGCACAAAAATTACCACGAGGTGAACTAGCATATCCAATGCATGTCACAGGATGAGACAAAAATTACTTCACAATTATAAATATCACCATTTTCACGCCTACTGCTTCCTACATTGGGATGCCGGAAATTATTTTTAAGAAACGGAATCCAAATATTTCAGGGGAATGAGGCAAACATGGATTCTATCATCTAAAATGCAAATATTTCAGGGGAAGAAGCCTTAATGCAAATCCACACCTGATGGCAATATATTCTATATAGGCGAGGGGATAACAGGTATAAGCCTATGGTATGCGTGGTATAAATACAAAATGACAAGTTAGGGTATAGAAATGTTGTATATCCTCCAGGCCAGGGACACACATGTAAGAACCAATGGAAAAAGAGGAAAAAGAATGTAGTGAGAATGAAAAGAAGAACCCCTCCAGAGACACCTGAAATGTTGAAAGTAAAAGAAGGTTTCCACCATGACTTGAATGCCAATGCCATTGATAAGCTACGATGTCCAACCTTTGCCTGAAAAAAGGGCGATAGTCTTGTTGAATCCAATCTAATCCATATGCACCTGTATATCATAGCATCAGCAATTTACCTTCAACAATAGGTTTTTATTCGCTTGCCAGGATGCTCCTACTTGAAAAGTGGAGTCAGGGATGTTGTTCGATGTCATAGCATCATCAACACTTTCACAAAAAGAAAATAAGATCTTACTTCATCAGTGTACACCAATACGAACATCTACCAATATCTGATTTTCTTTTTTCCCACTACCTTGTCTGTAACTCAAAACCAAAATCAATATAGTTTGTGATTCCTACTACATCCTCCTGTTCAAAGGGATTCTTCACCTGTTCAATTCAAGTGAAAGACTCACTCAGCAAAATATTCATTTATAAGGCTAACCTATCAGTTTGAGACTGCAACTCAAAGTCAAAAAATAAAAATCTCATTACAGTTAGAAGAATAAAACAGTCAATAAGAGAATGTAAGTAGCCTCTTGGATGGAATTGTATCAACAAAAATACAAAATTGAATAAGATCGAAAGGTCAAAGCACCCAGACATAGCCAGGTGCTGGGTATACCATATAAGCCTCTAATTTAGGTACCTTTACGAGTACAGTGTACTCAACTTGCCAATTAAAGGGACATATCCCAAGTTTCCAGAAATTACAAGTTTATTCAATAATGTACTCCCCGGTCTTGAATATGAGGTACAAATAACAACCTTACTGATATTAACAAAAGCAGTTAAAAGTAGTTAGCCTTCTTAAATTTGTCCCAAATTTAAAATATTTTCCACAAATGGCCCTGATTTTATGTTTAAACATCTACCTTAAATTTAATGATACATAATTACTATTCCTACTTTGACGTAATGATTTTCCACACAGATTTCCTAAAATAAAGAGCTTCACTAGAATAATCATTTAGTGCACCAAACAGTGGCTATTTGCTCCTTATAATTTAGACCAAAACAACTCTTCCAGGATTCCCTTCTATTCAAGACCAGAGGGAGTAATTATCAATAGCAAATGATTTTTGCAAAGAAAACAAAGCTATAGACAAGGAGATAATTTTTCAACAGGTCTCATATTTCATAACACCAACCACCCAGTTTTCAACAGGGAGTAATTATCAGTGCTCATGCTCAACATAATGTCCTTCAACATAAATGCAACTGTTATGCAACAAGAAAAATCAGACATCAATATAGGGACAGCAACCCACTGAACAGAAAAAGAATAAGAGAGGTAGAACCAAGAAACATACCCGCCTTTGGACAACCATATGTTGATAAAATGAGGCAATAAACTGCAAATTGTTTAGACTTAAAAATTTCAGTGCACGGTTCACAAGATTTTAACAATTAAAATAAAATGAACTAACGACACATCCAGTTGGCTTGAAGTTAAATCACACCAGCTTGAGTTGAATGCATATATCAGACAACAGGTCAGTACAAAACTTTATGTTACTTCCATAGTGGTGATTAGTGAAAGTTTTTCATAATACCAATCACCAAATTCAATGAGCTTCATGAAGCAAACAAAAGATTAAATAGTCAAAATAAATGGAAAAATTGCCAAACCTAATATTCAATTTGAGATCCAACCAATAAATAAATAAATTTGAGAAAGAAGAATATACCTGAGAACTTCTAACAAGCTCAAGGCCAAAATTGAAGGATGGACTCAAGGGGCTGCCGAATCCCAGCCCATAACCAATGGCACAACTCCAGTTCATCAAATTTGTGAGCTTTGAATCTCCATCTAAAGAAGCAGAATCAAAATAAAAAATTTGCACACAAATTACTTAAGAGTTAATTCACACATTTTCTTCTAATTATAACTTTTGCTTCACTCCATTAAATCCTACATCCTCAAATTAGTTTCCAAATCCCAAAAGGAAAAAAAAAAAAGCCCCAAAATGCATGTCTATCTTTTATACAAATTCACAAGTTAAGCTAAGCATCATAATTCACCTACAAGGGCACACTTCAATTCGACTCAAATGAATTGCAAGCATCATAACCCTTAATATGTACAAATCATCCTGAATGGAAAAATTCATGCATCAATGTCAGCTCCCTGGCAAAAGCAGCGGATATGCAATCTTTTCTTGTATGATTGCAACCTATATGCTGATAGAGAACCAAACTCAAGGATGCAGTAAGAAACAAACAATAAAAATAGAATTTAAGGCTAATTGTATCTCTGGTTTTCCACCGAACCATATCACAAACATCAACCCAAGAAAAAAATAATAATAAATCCACAGAAGGAAGCAGCAAAGGAAGAAAATAGACAGGTTCTCGCACAATCTGAGACTACTATGTATCTCCCAAAACTATTTTGCCCTTGAAACACCTTTTCTATTTTTATTCTCTCATAACTATATCCTAACTTCCCTTACGGGTGCTCTCCTTACTAGCCACGTGTCCCAATATTTCCACCCCAAAAATCCACATAGTTCTTCCCCTTACCGGAAGCCTTGCCCCTTACACTTATACACCTTAAAACAAAGACTTCTATCATGCCTATTCTCAAATCAATAAACTTAAAAAACAAAAAGAGAAGGAAAAAAAGTGGTAAGGAAAACAAGTTAAAATGAAACACATAACTAGACTACCAGCAGAGAGATAAGCAAAGTTCAATGTATGCACCCATAACAAAGAAAAACTGCAACAGAAGCCGTTCTACTACTTCAATACTTCTAAACAAGAAGTCAAAGGTAAATTCAGCAATCATATCTTAAAGCCTTACGCTGTGGCTCATACTGCACTCCAGCTGTCACCCTTCCCATCCTGCTGACCAACCATGCACTTTTTGGCATTTCATCTTTCACTGCAAAGCATGACAATCACATAACATATTCATAATCATTTCTTCTCTCCAACCAGATCGTAAGGCAAAATTTCCTTCCAATATTCCAATCCAGAGAGTAAAATTAAACAAACATGGGAAGAAAAATACAGCCAGGTATCCTCAAATTTTTGCAGAGCCAAACATCCTTCCCAGGAAAATTTAAAAGCGCATCACTTTGGTGGATTTAGGATTTATTCTTGAAGCGTTTGAACCTACTTTAGCAAGGAGAGATACCATGCCATCCCTCTTTACCGGCTAGACAAAATTTCTTAGTTATATAGTATTACCTTTAATTCAATAAAATAAATCCCATGTGCAGTTTATAATAATAATACAAGCTTTTAGCATAAAAGTCACCTAATTCCTATTGAGAAAGATTAGAGGCAGCAAAGGAGGAGAAAATGGTAAAGGAGAGAACGAAGCCATTAGTTTCCTATACTAGTCTTTCCAATATTTCGCTGCAAAGCATATAACTTTTCCAACAAAAAATTAGTTAATAGCAATGTGAACCAAAATCAGAGAAGGTTAGCGGTATAAGAGAAAAAAATGACAAAATCTCAAGTGTCACATGCAGATGCTTGCATTTTCTTGAAATCCCAGAGGCTCACATAATGAATCAGCATGAAAATTATTGTACAGAGAACTCCTATAATCATAATCTCGCAAGGTAAAACTTCATTAAAATGAAAGTCAGGTAACATACTAGCAAAAGGCATAAGTGAGACTCCACAAGAAAGGTTTTTAGAACCATATCTCAATCCCATCTGGCCATAGTCTTCTGATGATTCTCTGTAGAAATGGTTAGCTTCATGAACAATATTATATCATAATGTAATGCTTCGGATGTACAGAATACCATAAAAACTCAATCCATATGCTGCAACCAGTGCACCTTTTCTTCAAAAGCAAAGGGAAAATTCCATAAGCTCCAAATCCATATTTTGGATAGTAAGCACACGATCTCATCTGCAAAATCCTGAAGATATAGGATGCATAGTCTTTACTGCTCCAATGGCCAGAAATCAACTAGGGGATGGAACGTATGAACTGGAGCTTTATATTTCAAAATAAGAGACCCTTACTGATCAGAGTTTGACACATAAAGGTCAACGAAGGTATGAGGATCATGAACATCACTGTACATTCCACCAAAAAAAAAAAAGAAAGGAAAACTCAATAAGCTACAGAATAAAGGCATACATGTAAAAGCAAGACTGGAACAAAATCACAATACCTTTGCCATCGAAATAATGCATTCCCTATAATATTCTCTTCTGGTTTGTGATCAAGAGGACCTGAAACCTAAACAGTGAACAGGTTAAGGGAAAGTGATTCTGCTCATGACTCCAACTTCCTGATTTCATAATCAAAACCAGAACACAAAAATGAAAAAATATATATTAAAAAAAACTAATATCTTTCATGGATACTGTTGCAATAAGATCCACATGAGGATCATCAATTGGCTTTAGCATGATTCTTGTGGTAAAATGCCTTGCTTCCTGAAAGTAATCCTCAAAAAGGCATTTCAAAGCAAGTTTCCCAAATAACAACTTGTAAGAAGGAATCAGCATCCTGCATCATCTCAGATAACTATATATAAGAACCATATAATGCACAGATGACGTTACTACCACAATGCAAAGAGTGAGGGGAATGCCATGCACAATATAACAATGGATAAACACAATAAAACAAATCTGAACCAGATTATTGCCGTGTGTACATGATTTAGCGCACAGACACTATTACTACAATAACACATCGAATGAGGGGAATGCAATTCACAATATGACAATGGATGAACACAATGAAATTGAATTTGCATATAACAAGATTGACGCGCCCATTAGGGTTCCCATATTATCCACTACATAGGGCTAACTAACCGAATTTCATAGCCCTTTTCCAAAAGAAACATAAATTATATCTAAATTTTGAATTTCAAATAGCGACAACTATGATCCCAAAGAAAGAAAATCAAAATAATTACAAATGACTGTCACACAGGACCTTTGAGTAAACTGAACAGAAAAGAGCACAAAATGCGGGACGGGGATATATGAATTCAACAGAAATGTGCGAGTGAAATGAATGAGCGGGTGACCTGTCACGAGCAGCAAAGGGAGGGAAATCGAAGAGAGGAGGCACCAGCACCACCGGAGGAGGAGGTGGCTTGTCGACAGTATTCCCCATTGCTCTGTGCTGCGTCTAGTGTTTCACTGATTACAACAAAAAAATTTAAAGGGCAATAGAGGGCGCGCACCAGAGAGTGTGTAGTGCGAAGAGAAGATACAAGATTAGGAAAGTCCCAACGAACTGAATCGCGCCACCGCCTTTCTCGTAAGTTGACCGTTTCAACTTCCAAATTTGATTCCTGTTCAAAAAAACAAAAAAGAAAAAAGCTTCCAAATTTGAATAGCATTTACGATGGGCTTTTTGGGCCTTTATTTAAGCTGGGCAGGCCTGTAAGTTTTTAGCTTCACTTAGACGAGAACGATAATACCTAACCTTGTCTATTGGGTATATTTCTGGTTACATTTCTCTGTTTTCGGTTACAAAGATTTATATTATCGCTATTCAATTATGTATATGTGCTGGCAAAAAAAATAAAAAATACTGCTCTTATATTATCGCCAAACTATTATATTATCGCTGTTCGATTATGTATATGTTCACTATTATACGCATGCTAGGACGTAATTTACACATGACCCCAGATTTTTTTAAGAAATTATTTTTTTCTTTTATTTTTAATGCGCATTTAATGCCAGAATATAATCATTTTTCTTGCCTGCGTTCTTCTTTTTTTTTGACACTTTTTTCTTGCCTGGTTTCACTTTGCTGCCATGATTAGAAGTTTTATACTCATCAGATCCTTAATATATGACTTAATTATTGAGTTAATTTTGATTCTAAATATAATACCTATTTCTTATGTTTATCAATTTTTCTTAAATCACCTTTATGTATACTCTTTTAACCATAATTAAATAGAAGAGGGAGAGAAGAAATTAAGAAAGATGATTATGGTGTTTTAAGAAAAACATATCATATTTCTTATAATTAATTAACTTACGTAATTTTTTTAATCTAATCAAATTAATTAAATAAGTTTTATATTAAAGATCAGAAGAGTGTAAAGAATTTGTTTTTACTCAATTACTCCCACGCTGGAATGCAAGTGAAGCTTCCAAAAACGCACTGATTCTATATAAAAGAAAAGGCAATGCAATTAGAAAAATAGAAAAAATTACTCGGGTGAGATTTTACCGGTAATTTAAAACTAGAAGAAACTTTCACCGGAACTCGACGCTGTAATTAACACATTAATAATACAGAGTCGTGAGCTTCCGTGTTTCGGGACCGCTACCGCGCGAGGGCGGGTAGGCTTTTCGCCTTTGAAGATCGTTCCAGAGAGAGGCGAAGAGAAGATCGCACGCAAGGAGGACGAAGATCGCAAGGCTAGAGAGAGTACACAGCGAGGCTGAGAATACGAAGCATAGCAGGCATGTCATTTGTGAATCTATTGCCTCTATTTCTCCCGCTGATAAACATCTTCTTCCCATACTGGGGTAAAACGTAGGGAGCCAGCTCTAGTTATTTTATAGTTGGAGGAAAAAAACATTATACGAAGGACCACTAGTAATTTTGTCCTACGAAAAGCAAGTGGAACTGGCATGTACCCAGCTAAGTCCAAATTAATACCTATGGCCCGTGTCCGATTCGTTTCGTTCCATCCAAGTTCATGTCTTCTCCTTTTGGAAGCCTCCGCTTCCCTGGTTTCATTTGGATTCTGGTTAATCCAAGTTTATGCGCAAAACTATAACGGCAGCTAAAACCTTCCCCTCTCACTGCAGATTGATGTCCATACGAAGAGGGTAGATACTAGAATAATGGACATTTCAGACTTCAGAGCAGATATACGAGCCGTGTGTGTTCAAAAATTTCGTCTTTGAGGTACTACTTTGCCTGCCCCTTTTTTCTTTTTATGTTTTCTATTTGAGGTATTGAAATTAACGAGTCTTGGATTTGGGTGGATTGTGTCGACGCTTCTTTTTTGGTGGGCTATGCATGATTCATGGGATCTTTGAAGTTTTTCATTTTGGGGTATTCTTATTGATTTTTCCCAGTTTACTGTGAAAACTTTATTTTTGCTGAATTTCATGGGATTATCAAAAAGAAATTGAAATTAAGAAAGAACCGGTGAGCATGGGGATGTGATTTTGATAACGAACTTTTGATTTCTGTTTAATGTGCTTACTCAACAATATATTTCAGGAATTAAGTGCTTCTATTTAATTGAATATGTTTTTCTCGTTCCAGAGTAGATGTACAAATCTGGATAAGTAGTGACCTGATCATTCTTTTCGGCCATACTGAACATGAAAGTTGAAGCTGAATGCATCGCTAGGCTTTAGTCTTCTTTCTCTTAAATCAAGAATTTGGTATTAATTTATCATGGCTGTAGTCTCAGGTGTAGAGAAGGCGCAAGAAAGGGGATGTCTCTTCGAATAAAAGCTGTTGTAGATAGGTTTGTAGAGGAGTTGCAGGAAGCACTAGATGCTGATATACAAGATAGAATCATGAAGAAGAGAGAGATGCAAAGTTACATCAGGGAACGTGAGCGTGAAGTTGCCGAGCGGGAAGCTGCATGGAAGGCTGAGCTTTCTCGTCGGGAGGTGTCTGCTTCTCATAACTTCTCTTGTTTTAATGAGCACAGAAGAAAATAAAAGTTGTACTAACCTAGAGCCCACTTTAATTTAAAATATTGACCTCTTGGAACTTATCCCACAGAAAATGAGGATTTCCTAGGAATTACATTTTTTTTTTCCGGGTGGACCCTAGGAATTGCATTTGAGAAACGAAGGTGTTATTTTTATTGAAGTATCTTCACAAGAGTATGCCCGAAATCTGAGTTTCCATGGATGAAGTGACCCCCAAAATTTAGGCGATGGAATTTTAGTTTTCCCACCCCCTTTTCTTCAGTTTCCATCTCCTCTCCTACTAAAGCTAACAATTTTACCAGCCCAAAATCAAATTCAGAGCAAATTAACTGGGATGATTTGATCTTTAAGCTTGTTCTCTCATTATTCTCCTGTCCTATGTAGGCACGTGGGTACAGAGATGTTATTCTGTTATGCTTTCTTGATGCTTTGAAAGAGAAGCATGCTGAATGACCCTAAATCATTTTATGTTGCAGGCAGAGATTTCTCGCCAAGAAGCAAGGCTGAAGATGGAGAGAGAAAATCTTGAGAAAGAGAAAAGTGTATTAATGGGAACTGCATCAAATCAGGATAATCCAGATGGAGCTCTTGAAATCACAGTCGGTGGCGAAAAATACCGTTGCCTCAGATTTGCCAAGGCCAAGAAGTGAGGCTTTACTGGGTTGGCTCCAAGAAAATGAATACGAATCAGACAGTAGATTCTCCAACAAATACCTAATGTGAGGACTATGGAGAAATATTTTTGGAAGATTCAGTCATTTTGAAGCTAAAAGAAAGTCACTTGCCATGCTTTTTGTTGGAAATTATGTGTTAAAAAGGGGATTTTTCAAGTTAAATAAGAATGATAAAAAGTGGAATATAAGCGTGGTCTCCCACAAGCTGCTGCCCGTCCATTTTCTGGGAGGAGGCATCTTTTTCTCTAAAACTTCATCTCTCTCTAAGTTTCCCTCGACAATGCTACTGAATATTCCATTTAAGGCAGAAAGTTGAAATTTGTAGCATATGCAATGGTTATAAAGATACTTGCAGAATTTTACATTTATAAATCCACGGTAGGTATGTAAGTAGAATAAACGGTGATGCTCGAGGATAATGACAGGTAAAGGATCCTTTCTGACTTCTTACACTACAATTTTCCAAAATATTGTCTTCGTAAACTCCTGGGGGGATTAGAGAGGTCAAGAAGCTAGAAAGGAAATATGTAACCTTGCTATGGCGAAATGGACCACCAAGAATTTAAGTAAAGAGGTTCTTATTCATAAATGAGTTCGTAAAAGTAACACAACATAGTTGTAGGATCAAAGCTCAGAGCAGCTCTCTTCATTGCAGGCGCGGCCCGGAGTGGTGGGCATATCTTTTGCCAAACAATAAAGAAAAATACAGAAAAGAAAGGCTTCGTTTAACACTTTATTTCTCTTCATTTCTTTAGTAAAAGGAACTTCATTATATACAGCTAGCGATGGAGAATCATATACATCTATATTTATTTGAATCTCCAACAAGCCCATCATGAACAAAGTACATTTTAGCGGGACAAAGTACTAGATTTAGGGCAGCAAGATGAGGTCAATCATGGCTCATGTTCACGCAGAGAGAGAAGGAGAAAGGCCAAACTGAAGGGTCCAAAGCTCGAAACCCCCCTTCACAAAGTCATAGTATCCTCCTTTCAGAACCAGAGTTTTGTTCATCAATCCTTCTCTCACAAATGGGTAGGTCAGCAGGTTTCCCAGTGAAACATTCACAGCTTCCTGAAAAAGCGTAAAATCATTATTATCAGCGCTGTCATCTTGACTTGTTACTATTTCTTATGAGAAATTGGTAGCTTCAATGATTCCTACCTTCTCACAATGGGAGCACAGCTCTTGGAATGATGCACCAGCATGTGCTGATTTTACTTTCGCCTTTGCAGGTAAACCAAGTTTTACCCAGTCTTCTATAAATTCACTGCACACCACATAATAGTAACAGTAATTACAAATCGGTCATTTTATGATCAATGTTTTATGTTTGATCCTTTCCATGTCTCTCAAGATTATGCACCAACACTTCATGTATGTGAACTTACGTAGAGGTGGATCCATCATCTGGAATAGAGAGAAGACCCTTAATACCGCCACAAGCACTATGCCCAATGACCACAATGGTCTGAACCTGTACAAAATTATAACTGTCCAGTCAAATTGTGAAGGCCCCCCCCGGGGGGGGGGGGGGAGAGGGTCTGAGTCTCTTTTAGTATTTGTAAATTCCCAAGTAAAGATCAGGAAGTATGTACCTTGAGATGCAGAACTGCAAACTCAATGGCAGCCCCAGCTCCACAGTATTTTGTCTGATACATCAGAGCAAATCAGAATTTAACATGTCTGAGATTACTAAATGCTGATGCTGTGAGGTAATGGCCGAATTGTAAAACAGACCTGGTCATAAGGTGGAACAATGTTAGCAACATTTCTGACCACAAAAGCCTCTCCAGGCTGGAAATCTAGCACATGAGATGGGCACACCCTTGAATCTGAGCAAGCAAACACCATAAACTGCAATCTTGCCATAATTAGACTCAATTCAAGCTCATAAGCGAGGAAGTTTCAGTGAAAAGTTAGTGTTTGATGCAAGTAATTCTGTGATACCTTTGGGCTCTGGCCCTTGGAAAGTTCACCATACAAAGCTGGATTCTTGCTGTTTAAAATGAGAGGAATAAGAAAGCAGAAAGAAAGGAAATTGGTGGTGAAGTGAAGGAGTAATAAGTAGACACAAACTCGTATTTCTCTCTCTTGAAGTGGGCAAAACCAGTTTTGATCCTTTCAGATGCCTCAGATGATGCCACGCCATTAACTGTTTGTGTTTTTGTCCCTAATTCAGCTGTTATCTGCTCTACTTTTGCAGCTGCAACGGCTCTCAGGTCACCCTTCTCTCTGTTTTCCATTAAACACAATGCCAGTCAGATTCCAAAGTTATGAAATTGCATGTGTGTGTTTGTGTGTGTGTTCTCCAAGCAAAGAATGCTTGGTTACCTCAGAAGTTTCCCGAGTTCTTCAATGGCTTTCTCGTACTCCTTCCCCATATCCTCTCTCTACACAAAACACCAAAATAGTCAGTTGAAACTCACTTCCCTTACATGTCTTCGCTATATATACAGTTATTAAAGTACAAAAAGTGGTCTCCAATTCTCTAGACTACTTTTTTTTTTTTTTACCAAAAAAATTTACTTGATTTATTTCTCACATATAGAAAATAGCCAATTGTATGGTGGCGACAACTGACACATACTAGTGAATGAGCAAATCGACACCACACACCTGTCACCCAAATTAATCTAACTTAGCTACCAACGTGGTAGATGACAAATAAAGACACCAAAGGGTGGCCCCCGTGAAAACTCCAAACTTTAAAGCACTACACACCCTTAAATCATATAGCCAAGTTGCAAAACCAGGTTAACCGATTAACACGTGGTCACTACTAGATTCTTTCGTACTTAACCATTTAAGCCACCAACATTACATTGACCCCCGAATGCATTAGGATCAAAGAAAACCCACAGTACTATTCAAATGGATGATATAGAGGCTGATACTGCTTTTGTGACGCGTGTACTGATATTAATGTGACAAGAGCATTAAAAAGAAATGAAATTTAGATGGTGCACCAAGGTTGGGGTGATAAAGGCAGAAGCAGCAGCAAAAGACAGGCTTGTCTTGGATGAGAGAGGGGAAGGAAGAGGAAGAAGAGTGTAGCGAAGAAAGAGGGACGTAATAAAGTGGATGTTTTCAGAGAGGTTTTTACAGAGAGAGAGGAGAGATGCAAGCCGTTGATCGAACCAATGGACATTGTGAAAGCTTATATAGCCACCACAAGATCATTCATCCATGGTTGTGTTTATCTCTTTCAATTCTCAAGGGAACAGCCGCAGATAATGAAAGCGAAAGCCAAGTAAACGAGAGCTTCTGGTTCATTCTATCCTCCAAGATGAGGTTTGAGTGCTGGAGATTAACCGCCAGATAATGGCCATAACACTGCATTTAAAAATAAATAAATAAAAATAGCAACATTTGTTAGTGTTAATCTACTAATTAGTGCATTGGCATAGCTGAACGATTTGGGCGCGTAGATTTTTCCAATGAGATGTGGCGGAGGGTAATCCGATGAGTGTGAGCAATAGCGATTTGCCGCGTGGCTGAAGATGAAGCCCCTTATAGCCCAGCATGAAAGTTCCGCAAATTTCATGGGACTTGAAGCGCACATTTCCTCTTCTTCTTGTTACACCTGAATGAATGCAATGTGGTATTTCCTTTCACTTGGTGAAGGGTTGGGATCACTCCACCTCTAACCTCACGTCTTTCTGTGTCTCTGTCTTTCTATTGCCCCCTTTCTGAGTATGATTGGTTGATACAGAGTGATCCAACGATTCACCAAGTAGAAGGAAACATCATCGTTGGTTGTTCTTGAATTGATGAAACATTGACCTGAATTCATTTTCATTCGGGAATTATGAGATGTGCTTGGAAAATCCTTCTTCAATTGTTTAAACGTTGTGGAATGAATAGCTACCTCCCTTGGTCAGAAGGCTGGGACCATTCATCCGTCACACGAAGGGTGGTTAATTATTTTTAAAAAAAATAATTGTGATTCCCGATAAAATGCAAGAATTTTTTTCCTATTTTTTTAAACAAGTAAAATGTAGAAATGTAAAAATTTTCCCAAAGCAACAATATAAACATCAAACTAATTAGTTCCGGGATGGAAGAATTATTTTTTTAATTTTTAGAGGATTTTTTTTACACATAGCTATATTCTATTTAGAGGTAATTCTATTCGAGGTATTATCAAACTCAACATGTGAATACTTCTCTTAACAAGAATTCGAATTTTAATTCGTCACAGTTATAAAGAATTAACAATTTCTATTAAATCTAACTCTTGTTGGTAATTTGAAAATGACAATGCTAATAAAAAATTTTAGAATGATAGTAAGACTTTAGAATGCAAAAATTTAGACAAAATTTTAGAAAACATATGTTGCTGATTTGGGAACGATGACAAGAATGAAAACATGAATTTTTTACCAAAAAAAAAAAATGAATTAGTAACTTTATTTGACGGAATTAGAGAAAGAAGGAGCCTATCCATGGTCCGCGAAGCGTGGAGCCTATTATGATTATGGCATGAGGGTTCAATTCGGTCATGGGATTAATTCCTGTGTCTTTATTTGGGCCAAATTCGTCACCTTTGAGTTGCTGGGCTTCCTAATGGCTTCAATTACATGCAGAGCAAAAGGCTAAACAAGCCGCAAAGCATAAATATAAATACTATGAACTAATTATATTTTTTTTATGTGATAAAGAATGGTTTCATACAAAATTTATTATCAGAAAAAAATTATTGAAGACCTTACATGAACAGAATTTCAGACAAAAAAATTCAAAAATCAAATTTAAATAATAAAAACCGTATGAAATCTGACATCTAACTTTGGAAAATGACACTAATGAATATATCTCATACGTACGACGCCTCAAAAAGGATAAAAGAAAAAAAATTCTCTCTCCAAGTGCCTTACAAACGGAAACCAAGAAGTATATAATTATTCAATGCAAGCAATTATTTTAAGAAAACAATCAGAGTATTTTTATTTTAAAAAAAAACTTCTTGTACGTGAGGAATTGAAGAAGGGGGTGTTGCGGGGCAGGAGTAAAACGAGTCATTATTTGAATTCCGACGCCTATTACGATTTACGTGTAGATTTGTAGCAGTGAAGCGCGTAAAGTAAAAGGCATATAACAAGTGCTGAAGAAGAGGAGGAGGAGGAGAGTGAGAGTATACATGGTCGCCAAATGGAGCGTTTAACCCAGTGAACCACGGGCCATGATAGAGATGCTTAACGGTCATATCCGGAAGAATGACTCAGCAGATGAAGAGATGAAATGAATGGAGAAATGTAGGGGGCAAAGAGTGTTTCTGACCTTCTGTTGTTACTACTCAGTGGTGTCCTCATTATATATAACAACGGGGAGAATCCCATGTCAACATTCTCTGAATAAAGTGTCGATATTATGTCAACATCTCCATGTCCTCACGCTTTTCAGTCACCCTCCGCTAGTTTCTCATGCTAAAGTATGATCATTATGCCACTTCTATATGTAAATCAGGAATTTTCTTTGGGCTTAAAATCATATATTTATTATATCTTTATCTCGTCTCCATTACACAATAATCTAAGAAAATACAAACAATTACGTCGATGCCTCGTTCAAAATTAAAAATATAGACTCTAATAAGCATTTCTCATAATTTTTTAAAATAATGTCCATTTTCAAACTTGGCGGTGCCCAGAATCCGGACATAGCTGTGGTGATCTTGCACGGCGACTTTACGAGATGGATGTTTCCCAAGCTGACGCATTATATTTTGGGTTTTGGTTCGGCCCCCCAAAAAAATAAAAGCATTAAGACTGTTTGTTGTATAGCAAGAGAAACAGGTAAATTTTGCGTTCTCAAAATACATAAACTAAATCATCTACGTGAACTCTGTAAGCACGAGGCAAATAGCATTAAAGGTTCAAATCTTTCTAACATGATTTTAAAAAATTAAACTATATAGGAAAAAAATAATGACTTATTGTTTACAATGACAACATCTATCTAAACATCTTTACAATGAAGACAAAGACACGCAGTTCAGTCTACTGTGCTTTAGATGAAACAACTGCACATGGATCATTATTCATGGCTTTACAAGAAGCGACAAAATGAGGGCGGAAGCTGTGGCAGAGAAACAGACAACGATTTATTTCATAAGAGATGGCCCAGGGTACGATTACTCCTCGGGACTTCACCACCGCGACAAAATTGCTTGGCTTCACAATGTAATGCCCCGATACCATAGTGTTTCTACGCAACTACTTGCGACTTGGGAGCTAACGTAATAGGACAGACATTGAAAGCAATGCAGCGAGCTGCTTTCGCCAGCTTAAACCGCTCTTTTTCATCCAGAGGCCTCTCGATCACTTTTACAACGTTGGCATCCTAGAACCCAACAAACCAAGCATTCATTTACGTTAAGTAACGATTCAACATGTTGTGAGAAGACCTAAAGCAAAATGTCTAACCGAGTTTGATATGCTTCGTGAATGCATCTAAGGTAAATCATGCTATGGTAAAACGCAATCGAAGAAGGCAAACCATAAATTGTCCACAAGATAAACCACAAGCTGAGCCAGCTAGGTAACAGTGTAATAAATTGCAGCAGATTGAAACCCCTTCTAGGAAACATCGTACGGGCTTACAAGACCGTTGATCGAAATGCTAAAAACACATAATATATGTCAAAAGAATGTACGTACTTTCGGCTGGTGTTGAACAGAAGGCCTGACACTAGCAGTATCACCAATCACAATTACGTTGTTAACGTTCCCCCTTTCATCCCTTTCTGCCGGTGAAGCAGTTGAATGCCTCCAGTTTCCATTCACAATAAACTTATAGTAGTACCTGAAGGTTTATAATGCTGATGTCAAACCAATAGACCATTTTAGTTAATGGCTTCCATTTCAAAATAGAGGCCCTGATTAGGATAATAAGAAAGTTTAGGTCTGGTGACTTTTAGCCACTTCGGATGTCAAAGGAAGCATAGATAGTATAATCTAAATTAGATCCATAGGAAGAATTTTGGAACAAGTAGCCTACATACTTTCCTTGAGGAAGTTTAACTTCTGCTTCGTATCTTATTCCACCCTTGTGTATTGCTTTGATTGGTTCTTTCCAATTTCCAGTAAAATCTCCCACCAATGTTACATCCTGTCCCTGGTACACAGAGACACGACTGAAACATATAAATAATCATAAAAACTAGAAGGCCAGTGGAACTAAGTATGCAGTAATAATCTTTTAATAGTCTTTAAGAACCAAAAAGTAACCATCAGCATAGCTGCAATGATGCTTTAACTCACTGATCTGTTACCTCACTCTCATTCCATACAAATGTAACCGCATGTGTAGGGGGTCCATCATGGTTACCCTTTTCAACCATAGCTATAAGATCCCATGTTGCCCAGGCAATTGCTGGCCTGCAGTTATGTTCTATGAGAAAATTTCCACAATAAAAGAGATAATATGACAAAAGGATTCAAAAAAACAATAAAAATGGGAACATAGGGAAGGGTGGGAGCATAGCTTGTTATGACATGAAACAGAAATTAATCAAGTGATTCCTATTAGATTGTGACTTTACTGAATCTTCATCTTTTCTTTATGTCTGAAACTGTCAATTGTTAAGGTGTTCATGCGGATATGAGTAGTTTTCCTGTTTCAATAAGAACGAATTCCTAAATAACAAGCAGACACATAAACAAGAGCAACCTGTCAGGTCTGCATGTGTACATCCCAGTGACCCATGTATAAGCTGCATGAAGGGAAAGATCTGTCATCCAGTGCAGGTATGCAATCACACAAGCAGGAGATCGATCAAATCCAGAAGTACATGTAACAAAAACGCGATGGTTTTTCCTTAGCAACCGCAAGAGAAGCCCCACACAAAATGGTAATTTCTTTCTCATATCATAAGAATCTCCCGCCCTGAAAAGACCCGACAACAACAGTATAAAATCAGAAATTGAAATCTGACTTACGGGCAAAATTAAGGTGTCAAGAAATCTTGATCCTATTTCCACATGACATTATTCCTGATGCTTCCGTTTTGTAGCATCAGTTCTCTAAATTGCTAACAGCAACAACCCAAAAAAGTCAATAAAATGAATCATTTAACAAATGATGTCACAATGTAGACATCACTGTGAACAAACAAGTAAAAATTCAGAGACATTTTTCACAAGGAAAGATATCTTGGAAGCAGACACTAGATATCATTAGCTTTAATATTTCCACCAAATTAAATGTCCTAAACCTGATATTACCGTATAGAATAGTTGATCATAAGGATATTATTCCTTTGACATGATTCATTAATAGATTTGAAATCGATTCCCCAATTCTCAGCTTCAGTTGCACTTTGAAAGTTCAGAGCAGCAGTGACTCCCTGTAGCAGAAATTTCCCAACTGTAATCAATGAAATATAGAATGCAAAAACCAAGATTTTATATACAAAGGAAATTGTGCCGCATATAATTCTCTTGAATTGAAAAATTACAATTCTGAGAGCACTTAAGAAGAAACAGAAATTCTGCTCCTTATGGTGCTACCAGTTGGCCTTGGAATACATGATCACATCATGGAAAAGCAAGGAAAGATAGCACATCCAGGTGCATGATAAGAAATCCTGGCTTTCGAAATTTTGCCTTGATGGTGAGAGCAATATAAGCCTCCCATCAAGTCACATGACCGAAACTGGCACTCCTCAGTTGAAGCAAAAAGAAAGAAAGAAATCCTAATAACGTATTTATCATCAATTAACCGGAAGAACTGTGAAACAAATAGATACAAAGTTCAAAATTTTCATCGCACAGCATGCTATCTGACTCAAAAATCTCATGATCAAATGCTATCCATATTTCAGTTATATCATGCAATGCGCTTTAATATGATAATATTGCAGTCAGTCAACTGTATTTTTCTTTTTTACTACTAGTTCATGTAAACACCATTGTTTATTCAACATGCAGAGTACACACACAATTTCGTGTTTTAGGCTTTAATATATTCAAGTTCTGTGATTGAAAAGTGACTTGAGTCTTTTATCTACAACATTGGTTGTTGATGCTATAAATTGGGACTTGGGAGGCTATCTTGAAATTAAGGTGAGGAAGTCCTTACCTCAACTTTTGACAATGTTTCCACATCAGCTTCTCTTTGTATGCATGATCCCACATAGATTTGCTCTGAAATCTAATAATTTACATGATAGCAGTACTCTTAAAATCTATCCTTATGACCAAAACTAAAAATAATGTATTACACTAAAAATAATAAACTCCACACCTTAGTATAGCGCATACCAAGGGAGTGATCATAGTACATCTCGCCTTTTGAACGATCCAGAGCTTTGACATATTCCTCAAGTGGGAAACTTCCATGAGCCCACTCTCCTTCATCATACTCTTCATCACTAAAGAATTTTATCTCCTCATTAAGGATGACATGTTCATTCGGATCGCCCAATAACTTGCTTCCTTTTGGAGTTAGAAACTTTGGGTTGAAAGTAGAAAAACCACTATTCCCAGAGCTTTCAATAGATGGTTGTAAATTTGAAGCCAATAACGTCTTGTTCCAGGTGGCAACAGGAACTTGACCTCTGTTAAATTGTACTTCAGAATCATTTATCTTGTGCAGTAGATGAATAGGAAAAGGAGATCTGGGCCTCTCAAGAACCATGCTTAAAGGATTAGTTTGCTCCTTTAAAATATTCCTAACGAAACCAAAAGACTGAAAATATAAGTACAAAGCACTATGGTATAGTATAGTAGCGTATGCAGATTGCCAAAACCTAAGCCAAGAAAAGTTAACGTTTACTTCGAAAAAAGAGATACAATAAGCCAATGTTATGTTTTGGTAATTCTCTCAGTCATTAAAAGAAATGAAAAATTATCCACACTAACGCCACAGTGATAATCTTTTCTATTTTCTTGTTGAAAGTTCATTATAGTAATTTTTAACAGTATGAATGCCATGTTCAAGCACACAGATAAAAATTAGATTATGTCCTGGCATGGTAAATCCGATCCCGCATAATAGAGAAAAAATCGAAACATTTTTTAAAAAATATTTTTCTATACATCTACAGGGCCAATACCCTGACAATATCTTAGATCTATTGCTATCAAATTATTCAGGTAACATCTAACAATTATATGTTTTTCCAATAACATAGTATATGGTTTTTCAATCAAACTACACGCTTGTTACGTTTTAAAAGTAAAAATATAAGAAACTGTATTCAAGTTTAATCCATAAAAAAATGACCTGAATCAGAAGTATGCTAAATGAAAATTAGCACCACTGCGCTGGATCAGTGAACTATCCAGTTTCACTAATAGTCACGTGCTAATTATTTTGAGACAAAGAACTAAATAACTTCAACACCATTATATTAAACTGCCGAAAGTTGGGGGGAGTGCAGAATGTAACTGATGGAAAACAAATAAGGAAACGGTCAGCCACTCGACTTAGCCCGTGTCTGTCAGGAACTATCACGTAATTCCAGATTGATTGTCAATATGACAGTAAGTAGTGCAAAACTTGACGCATCCAGGAGTCAACGAGATCATTCAAAATTATTAGCTGCGTTCACAAAAGTAAAATGCAAGTATAACCATTATGCTCGATCAAAACTCAAACATACCGCGCATCTTCAACGTTCTCAATCTCAGAAAGCCTATTTTGCGATGAATCGCCTGCTTTCTTCAAAGTGTCCCCGACCATTATAATTCTCGACTTCTCTGCATTACCCTACCGCATAACAAGAAAAAATTGAACATTAACAACGATTTACATTAGATCTTCAGATTAGGACTTTGCAGAACAGCAGAGGTGAAGTATAAGAGATGCAACGTAGTATACAATATTACCCCTTTCTTAAGGGAGTGAACGATGATTTTTCCGTTAGCAGTGACAGCGAACCGGATACCAAGTGGTTTCTCTAGAGTAACCAGATACTCGTTAAGATTCATCTTGAACGCAGAAGAATTCCCAGACATTGCCAAAACCCTAACAGTTCCGCCATTGAATCGAAGCTTCTTTCTACCATCAATTGAAGGACTTGCCTTGAGAAGGCGCCTATCTTTGGCCCAAAACGACGAAGAACTGCTGCCAGGAAGCACTGGCGAAGGACGATCGAGAGCTCCGGGGACGATGAATTGCAGAGAGAGCATAGTAAACAGAAGATTAAGCGCCGCAAAACGCTTAAACCCAGGTTTCCATCAGAGATTACAGTGTATGATTACTTATGTCCAATGCTAAGCTACAGAGGAAGGGAGTGGTATCACTGGAAAGCTCTGCCAACTGCCAAGGCGAAGCCACAGGGTTGGGGTAAGACGTTGAAGGTCCACGTGGTGCTCGCGTCGGACCCACGTGAACCAAATTCAGCGGTTTCGAACCCAGTTTCCATGCCACGTGGAAATATCTTTTTCCAATGCAAATATAAAAAAAAAATCTAAAACCTCCAGCACCGTTCCGGGACATTTTAATTTGAGAGAATTATAATTTGGAGTGAGTAAGGAGGATCCGACGCCAGTTACAAGGGCCCAGCGCGGGAAAAAGGAATTCGCTGTCTGGCTTTGGCGTGAATAGGGTAGTTTCGGATCGGTAGTTTAATTCGTTATAAGATGCGGGATCCAGATGTTCGTTGAGCCGGCAGAGTGCATGCATGGGGCTATGTTAAAAAGCAGTCTTAAAAATGTGCTGGTATTTGTCGTGTTCATCAAATGAATCTCTTTGAATTTGCAAAATTTATTTCTTAAATAGGATACTCCTCCGGTCCTTAATATAGGACCCAATTGGTGAGTTGGTTTTGGTCCTAAATATAAGACCCATTTATCATGTTTATCAATTTTCTCTAAATTATCCCTATGGATACTCCTTCAACCATAATCAAGTAGAAGAGGGAGATGGGGTATTAAGAAAGATGATTATGGTATTTTAGGAAAAACGTGTCATATTTCTTATAATTAACTAACTTACCTAACTTCCTTAATCTAATCAAATTAGTTAAATGGGTCTTATATTAAGGACCGGGGGAGTATTTAGATTAATGACTATAACTTGATAATCTATTACTTTTCTGTTATTTAATAAAAGTTCATCAATTGTTATACAATTAATAAAAATTATCTTTAGTGGTCTTAATAAATAAATAAGCACGAACCTCAATTATCTACCGCTGCCTCATAAGATTAGTGAACTCTCTCACTCAGGTTTTTTCGGAAAAATTAATCAAACATATTTGTAAAGAATCAACATTCTAAGTTACATGTTGACTTACATTTAGAAGCGAATGCCACAGCATAGATAATTTGAGAAAAATATTTTAAACAAAATGAAAAGAGGAATTCCATGACATAAAATGTTTTAGTACCATTTAAAATAACTTATAAGTAATTTTTAAATTATAACTTATAAAATACGAGATAAATATTTTCAAAAAATTTTATTTTGACATATATAAAAATATACTTATAATTGATTTTAAAAAATAATAAATGATGCTGGCAAAAAAAAATGGTGCCTATCACGAAAAGTTGAATGATGAATCAAAATGCAATCATACCTGTGGATAAGAACGCAAAAAAGGCTACGTTATGATCAGTGTTTTTGACCAGAACAAGCGAACAACGTCGGGTTAACATGGAACAGTATTGTTTTTGTTTTCATCTTGTTTCTTTGCAATTGTTTTCAGTTGTGCAAGGAATTTCATCTTTAGGATCGACAAGTTGAAATTATTAACAGTAATACCTCCCGTTCTTAATATTATCTCCGGTCCTTAATATAAGATCATATTTGACTTTTATTTTGATCCTTAATATAAGACCCCAATCCACTTTGTCTCTCATATTTATACATTTGTTTCCAAAATAACCCTTCTAACAATGATAGTTTTAGTCAATACACTTGATTAGCAAAGATATTTTATGAAAGACAACACCTATTAAGGACAAATAACTAACTCAACTTACTTCCTTAATCTCCTAAAATTAGTCAACTAGCTCTTATAATTAGGACCGGAGGTAGTATAAGAATTAATTGCCTAATTTAAATAAACTAAAAAAACTAATTAAGTTAATTATTTATAATAAATAGGTGTTGTATTTGCTAAAACTATTATTATCACAAAGATTATATTAAAAAAATAAATATAAAATGAATTGAGAGTTTTATATCTAGAACCAAAATAAAAATTAAATAAATTTTTATATTAAAAATAAGAGATAATATAATATAATTAAACATAAGAGAACTTTGCAGAGAAAAAGAAAGGTCACTCACTATATAACTATGAACCATCTAATGGCTCAACTGGCTTCTAAACAAAAATTAGCAGACTTCTGATTATTCCTAGCCCTGTCTGAACTCTATGAGCAGAGCTGCTAGGAATCAGAATGAACGTAAGGCCCTGCCCACACCGTTAACACTAACCCCGAATCCAATCAAGTCTTGCCTGTACGGCAAGTACGACCTTCTCTTGTTCTGTTTGGTCAACTCCTTGTTCCTCCCGTAGAGGGCTTCATGAGCCGAAACCTTCTTCTCTTTCGAATTCTCCCCTCTCACCTCCTTCTTCTTCCCCCAGTTGGACCCTGAAGATGTCGGACTTGCGAACACAAACGAATCCTTCCCGTCGCTGTTGCTCCGCCGCAGCAAATCCAGAAGCTTCCATCGCTTCGACGACAGCGGGGATCCTGTAGAGTTGCTCTTCTTGTGTCTGCTCGGCGAAGCCTTGGCCGAATTAGGAGTCCAAACGCAGTAACTTCCCGGTGGAATTCCCTCCAAATCATCCACATCCGACGACGATGACGAGGAAGACGGCGGATCATTATCATCGTGAATCATCAAATTCCTCATCGGGAATTGAAGAGCCATGACATGATCCTCCTCTGCGCTAGAATCCCGACCATGGCCATCTCCACCATCGCTCTCATATAGCGTTAACAGGTCTCGATTGAAGATTGGGAAAACAGGGCCCACGGAGCCGTCGAGGAAGACGCCGTCGGCAGCCTCCCGAAACGTGACGAATTCAAAACCATTATCGCGTGGCTCGATGCCCCGACGGTAGTCCCGGTTAACTTGATCGGCGATATCAGCGAGTTTGTCAGAAGTGTAGCTGCTGAAGCTTGGACTCGTCAATGAGTCCACACTTTCTTCTCGCTCTTGCTGATTCTTCATTAGCTCAAAATCAATCAATGTCTCCATTTCTTGTTCTTCTCACTTCAACTCTGTTCTCCCTGATTTCAGGGGAATAAGAATGGGTGTTGGATTGTATTTATACGAAGTGCGGCACAGAGAAGTGTTGACAGTCAACACGTTGAACGAGGAAAAAAAAAACAGCGTTTGAATGACTATTGACACTTTAATAATTTGAATATTTTAATGTTTTTATCTAATAATTCAATTTCATTATTCATGCAAATGGAGAATTCACAGAAAGTACAGTTGGATCCAATATTATACGCTGGCGTCAATATCAGTAAGAGTATGTGCTGACGGGGGCAATTTTCTTGGACGTCAAGAATATTTCTTCAGGTCGCATTTCTTGGCCATTTCTTTTTCTTTCTTTTTTTCACATGTGTTACTCCCCACGTTTGCATACGTGGGCGTGGCTGCGTACTCCTCAAGGCCAAAAAAAAAAAAATCACATATACTACCTTTTATTCTTAATGTAAAATTTAATTATCTAATTTGAGTAAATTAAAAAATTAGTTAATTAAGTTATTTATAATAAACGTGTTATTCTTCATAAAATACTCATGCTAATCTAAATTTATTATTTCATGAAATATTTAATATGTATTATTTTGATAAAAATAAATAAATATAAGAGATGAATAAATGGAGAGTTTAACATATCACGTGCCAGATGTGAGACGAGACAGGTGTAGCGAATGTTTCTTTCAGGTAGAGCCGGGAAAACAGGCCGAGCCCGTCGGGCCGGCCCTTTTAGGCCCTGAAATTATGAGGGCCGGGCTTGATATTTTTCTCTTAAAATGAGAAATAAGCTCTGGAGGGCTGGCCCTGGAGGGCCGAGGGCTTAAAAGGGCCGACCCTTTTAAGTCCTTTTATAATTTTTTTATTTTTTAAATTTTTTTATATAATATTAATGTTATTAATTTTTTACATTGTTAATAATATTTCAAATATTTAGTTATTATTATCATTTTAAAATTAAATTTAGTTTTAGACAACAATTTATCCAATTAAATTTTTAAAAATGGGTTAATTTGGACTTTAATAATGATTTGATTTATATTATATGCGTTGATATTTTTAAACTATATATATATATTTGATAATAGAATATTTTTATACTTATATAACTTGTGATTCTATAATTTGAATTAGAAATTCATGAGTTTCAACAACAATGTTTCTCACATCAAAGTAAAATAATAGTTAGATTGCAAAATTTAAAAATAAAATTCTTATAAATAAGAAAAACTTGATATTTTTATTATGAAAGAAAAGCATACTTATGAAGAAAAATAATTAATTATAGTGATGATGAAGTTTCAAAAGATTAATGATAGTGTTTATTTACTGCACAATTGCATTATAGATAAAACTTTTAGATGTTGTCATATTGTTAATGAATGTTTTAGATGTTCTTAGATGTTGATGAATATTCATATATGATAATATTTTATATTTGTGACTTAATTTTATTTATATTTATGTCTTTTATTAATAATTTCATTGGTTTATTTTTATATTTTTATAAAAAAAAATGTAATAAATATAAAAAATAGTATTTTTTCTTAAACTGGCCAAAAGCTCACGGGCCGGCCCTAGCCTTGTAGTTTAAGGGTCAGGTCTAACAAATTGGGATATTTTTAAAATTTTAGCCCTGAAGGGCCGGGCCGGTCCTGATTCCTGGCTCTACTTTCAGGCACCAAGTGCGGGCATAATAAGCTCTAGGGAGTATATTGATTTTTTTTTTTTTTTGCCAAGAGTATATTGAAATTGATAATGCATAAACAACACCACGTCCACGAATATCTTTACATGTGACTCCATATATATATATATATATGGATGAAACACACACACGCACACACACTAAGACAACTGCAAAATTTAATGGGTCGTTGGATCACGGGCTTCGAATACATGTTACGTAGACCCGAAAAAATCAATGAGTACATGCAATTACAAAAAAGAAAGGGGGGGGGGGAGTGATTCCAATAAATTTATAAAATCAAACTGCTTGAAATTTGCGAGGACTCAGTATTTTTTTCATTTAATTTTTCAATGTTTATTTTACAAGGATATCTACAATAATTCATAATAATATGGTTGAATCATGAATGACATATATGATTCAATTTTTTTTAAATAGCAAATGATGCTTTTTTAGTCTCAGGTCATAGTAAAATTTGGACCCTCAACCTTATTTTCGTTTAAAACACTTATCTCAAAGCATATCACTACTGGCAGTCTCGTGTGCATTATTAACGAACTCCCATGGATTCACTGCATGTGGATTCATTGTTGGCATTGCATTATACTACCTCTGGTTCTAATTATAAGAGCCAGTTGACTAATTTGAGGAAATTAAAGAAGTAAGTCAAGTTAGTTATTTGTCTTAAATAATTGTTGCCTTTCCTAAAATATCCTTGTTAATCAAATGTATTGACTAAAACTATAATTATTAGAAGGACTATCTTGAAAAAAAATGAGTAAATATGAGAGACAACGTGGATTAGGGTCTTATATTTAGGATCAAAATAAAAATCAAATAGAGTTTTATATTAAAGACCGGAGGTAGCATTTTTCTTTTTAACAACGTAATTAACTTCTGGAAGACTATGGATTCGTCCCCTTTATTACGTTTTTACATGGCAAATGATGCTTTTACATGAATCGAATCTTATTTCTTGAGGCCCAGGATGCTTGTTTGCCAAGCCGTTGACCTTCTAGAAGCAGAAAAAGGCCTATAGAAGATCTCCACACGTGACGTTGCTTATTGGAAAACGAAAAGACTCTAATATTCTATCACCCCGCTTGGCTGGCTTAGTTCTCAGCAAGTCCCCTTTACATTAAAAGGATTCGCAATTAATTATTAATTAAATGATTAACGAAGGTAATGCCCCACTACCCACTTCTTCACCTCATTGCTGACAATATATATTGGTCATCTTCCACCCCAAATATTTGTTTACTACAATCAAATGTTTCAACTTTGAATTCAACTCTATTCATACACACCTATATATTAGTTTGCATGAGCTTTAATGAAGAGAGATATTCGACACTTAATCCTTTTTGGAAGTTTAATCATATTAATTAATATTAATCTTATTTTGAATTAGTGGATATACTATTCAGACTTCTATTTGGGGGTGAAAAGGGACTGCTTTGCGTGTTCTCTACTTAATCAAGGGGTTATTACTCAATTAGTAGATTGCTTTGAAAGCAAACCAACTCGATAGCTTCTTAGTTAAGCACTCTTTCACGGTCCTGCTTCCATAACTACGTCACCAGTGATGTATGTGATCCAAGTACATTTCCCTGATTAACGTCTTCAAGTAATTTTCAATTTTTGACAACTCGGAAAATTCCTTTGAATTTAACAAACCCGTGACACAAGAAAACAGAGGATTTCATTATCATTATATACTTCTTCCAATTACAAAGACACAAACTTTACATAATATACAACAGGTGGCTGCCACACAAACCCTACTTGTACAGACTTCCTTTCCCAGTTCAAATATCACAAGAGGGAAAGGAGAGGTTTGGATAATTTGCACTTTACAAGTCCCTTCGCTTCAATCTTTCTCTGAGATGGCTTAGCTTGCCCTCAACACTTTTCGGCCGATCTTTAGATGCCTCAGTTTCGGACCCTTCCACTTGTTTTTTCTGAATAATATCATGGTACATTGGTAGGAACCGCGTCTGGAAAGACCTATACGAGAAGTAGGGAAGAAGAGCACACGCGACAACGAAGAGAGTAACAAGCCAATAGAGACCACTGGGAGCACAGGCTTCCACAAGAACCTTGTAAGCTGTCGTGGATATGGCTGGAGGGAGATAGCCATAAACCAGCAAGAACAAATACCAGAAGACAATGCTGCCCCATATGAACAAATGCTGGATCCAAGTGAAGTAGTTAATGGATAGTGCCATTTGGCAATTCACAGTCCAAACCACACAAGTATACATCGTGACCCCTAGTATTTCCCAACCAACCATCTGACCATCACTTCTGAAGGCCTGGATCATGACAGAGTTTGTGGTCAAGAAGAAGATAATCAAGGAAGTGATGACCCCATTAAACATCCACCCGAGAATCCGCGGCCAGCTGAACAGGATGTCCTTTATTCCCTCAAGATATAAAAAGGATACTGTAAAAAGTTGGGGGGGGGGGGGAAACAAGTTATGTTATTCATGTGGGAAAAGCTTTAACTTGTGTTAAAAGACCAAATAGAAGAATATGCTTTTGAGGGAGGCAGTGGTACGTGGATAAATATGTATTTGTGAATGTCAGTGCTTGAGAAGGAGAACTAACATTTTCAGTTACTTGTGTAAAATAAACTAGAAAAAAGAAGGGATGAATGAATTGGCAACAAAGAGGTGCTGATCATGCATAAGTGTTTACAAACATGATAATGAATGCAACATGCTTGAACAGGTTAAATAATAAATAGTCATTAAGAACATGATGTCATACATTAATAATTATCAAAAGCATTTTGGAGCGTGACAATTTTTGTACCTTGAGGCAAAGTCGGGCAGAAACATCCTGATCAAAAACACCCAGAGCAATTACAGGAAGTGAAGTGAAGAAGACATTGTAAAATGACATGTACCAATCATTGTATGCAGGTTGTCCAGAGAAAGAAGCGTACGCTTCATACCAAAACAGAGTAAATCCAAATGCAATGTTCTTATAGAAAAAGTAGCATATCTGCGTTGAAAAAAAGATTAGTTAAGTTAATCACACATGAAGCTTTTTGTTGATCAAGTTACTCAAATCCTCAACTACGCAAAGGACATAAAACTATTTAATGCGTTCACAAGCATGTGTAATTCTTGCAAAAAATCATAAAAACTATTTTTCAGCACGAGTACCCAATTAGTCCATTAAAAGGTTAAGAAGACACGCCCATGTATTACCATCATTGCAATTCGTCTATAACACCAGTGGCCGTGTACCAACAACAAACGCTCCAGAAATTGAAACTGAGCTACTGCAAAATCACTTGCCATCACTGCCTGCGGATAACAAGTAGTAATATAAAAGTCAGAAGACTAGACAGCGTCCTTAGGACTCCAATTCCTATCAATTTATCATGTGCGCCTTGGAATGTGAGTGCAGAAAGAAGAATTATGAGAAGAAGGCAACGGAGGCTCATCAATGGCAATACAATCGAGTAATAAATAATAATCTGGAAAGAAGAGCTTATAGTTTCATAAACTAAATCAAGAAGAGGATGAAATAACAAATTAGACCAACTCTACCTGTGTAAAGTACTACTAACAATTTTGATAATCACACATTCAACCCTACATTAATAGTCATCATTCATCAAGTCAAATAGGAACAAGGTTACAGGTACAAGACCATATTTGAGTGACGACAGGGAAGATTGAAATGTGCATTGCTCCCATCGTTAATTGGCTAAAAGAATATATATATATTTTTTAATGAAGATGATAAAGATACGACTCAAATAGGAGCAAGTAGAGAAATAGTTGGACCTGCATCCCTTCGGCACCACTGATACCAACTCCTATATCAGCCTCCTGAAGCATGCCAACATCGTTTGCACCATCACCTATTGATAGTGTTGTCTTCCCAGTTCCCAATTTCACCAATCTTGTAACCTATTTATTTATTTAATCAATTTTCAAACGATGTCATTTTAATATCAGTCATACAAAACACCAAGTATTTATGAGATCCTCTCTTATTAACATGACAGGAAGTAAAGACTAAGATACTCACACGAGCTTTCTGTTTGGGTGAAGATCGGCAACAAATGACCGAAGCACAACTAATGGCCAGATCAAAAAATGACTTCTCAACGTTCTTGTTAAGAGAATAATCCAAGGACTTCCCATCAATTATCAAGCCGAATTCAGTATAAGTTTCTTTAGAACTCTCTTTTGCAGGCTTGATTTGGGATATTCCCTCTCTGATTTGCTTCTTAATGCTTTCAAGGGAGGCCTGCAAAATTAAAGTTTAAGCTCTACGATTATGAGAAGAATCTAAATAAAATAGAGTTCAGGGTTGTTTACCTTTGTAAGAGCCTCCTTGTCCCCTTGTTTTTCTAAGGATAGGATATCTGGTGAATCCAGAGTTATCACTATCTGTTTCATGTCTTGCCTAAGTAAGCTGCAAGCATACCTGCAAGAGATACTACCATTTACTCTGTGTGTAATTAATAGATAAATGAAACCCAGCACAAAACCCATTGGTGTACCCGATGTTAACTGCAGTTTCCATCTTGTCCCCAGTCAATACCCATAATTTTATTCCTGCCTGAGCAAGCTTATCGATGCATTCAGGAACCTGCACTTGCCAGTAGACAGTAGAGACATATTAACCACTCCAGAAGGTGAGTTTATATGTCAACAACTGATTGTTTTCCAATAACTTTAAGTATTTTAGTGGTCCCATTATTTTCCTTCTATTGGAAACTTCATTTCATCATTTATTTAAAATGAGGAACAGATTTAGATTTTTAAGAATAATAAACCCTACAGCTACCTCTTAAAAACTATATAGGTTAAAAAGATTTTAAAAATTAATACCGACCCCTTTCTGAAGTCTGTCCTCAACTGCTGTTGCACCAAGAAGAATCAAATCTCTTTCCATCTTCTCAGCAGCAGCATCCACCAACACATCACGGTCTGCAGCTAGAGAAGTTTTGGCTTTTAAAAACTCCCTTTCCCACAACTTATATTCTTCTTCACCAAGTTCACGATATGCGATTACCAGAGTTCTTAAACCTGCCTCAGAATATCTTTTGATATGATCTACAGTCTCAGCCTCAAATTTTCTTCCATCTTGGGAGAGCCTTTCAAGCATAACACTGAATACATGCAAAGAGACGCAAAATTTGACAACACTATATCGAACTTACAACTTCACATAATTAACCATAAAGCATGTAAATATTGAGGGAGACCTGTCTGCACCCTTGCATAGGAGCAAGAGGTGATCTTCTTCATTCCTTACAATCACTGACATTCTTTTGCGGGAACTGCTGAACTCTAAGACATGCAGAAGCTCGTATACTCTAGTGACAAAAATTAGGCCAATGAATGACAAATCAAACACAATTTTAATATAACTGAATATACGATAGAACTTACTATATAAACATACAAAAGATTTTCGTGCATGATAAATCATTTTCTCATGGTAAACCGGACTAAAGAGAAAAAGTTGCCAAAGTGATTCCAAAGCTATAAAGAAGCTGGGCGTTTAAAACAAAAGAATACAGACTAAAAATATTCCATTCAAATTCACAACATGGATCAAAGTGTTGGCTTTCTCTGAACGAAGGTTAAAGATAAACTGATGCCTAATAGTTGATATTTTCTCTGAATTTCATTTGCTTCTTAGGCTTCAGATTTTGGACCTTCTGCACTTTTCTACCCTCCGTTATCAAACCTTTTCTTCCCAATATGTAAGGCCTTAAATAAATATATTGTCTTCCACGCAGTATTTCATCCTAAACCCACCTTTAGGAACATATCCACTTTCAGAATAAAAAAGTTTATTAGTTCTTTAGTAGTGATGAAAAAATTACCATATAAACGAAATAAGAAGCAGAATATATTATGACTCCAAAAATGACAAAAATAAAGAACTATAGTTTTTGTGAGAAACCAGATCAAACCTTTTCAATTTAGACATGAAAAATCCCATATCAGGGGTGAGGGATCTTATCAGCAAATAGGTTGGGCCTAATTTAAAGAGAATAGTATATACACACACACACATAGCAAAATATCTAGCCAACCTGTCAACCTTTTCTCCGCTGTCATAGTCCAATTCATGCAATGATATGCTTGTTTGTGTCCTTTCAAAAAATTCAAAACCAAGTTCCCTTGCAGCAATGACAAAAGCTGCTTCATCTGGTGACTCTGCTTCATAGGAAATTTCTCCAGATTGTTCATCTACATCTGGAATAGCTGTATGACAGATTGCTAAAACTCTGAAGAATTTCTGTATGACGTCTGAATGAGGTTCATTAACCCATTTCCCATTCATTATACGTTCATCTCTAAAGTTGAAACCCTTAACTGGTTGCCTGGAGTCCACAGCATCATTATTCTGGCCCTGTAAATCAGGTGATAAACCATCGGCTTCCAGTTCCTGATTTCTCCCCCTCCGTGCAAGTGCTTTCTCCACTTCTGTCCTACCACGACCATATGGAGTGCCTGCTATGGAGCATTTCACAAACTCCATGGAGTTGCATGTCAAAGTACCTGTTTTGTCAGACAATATAGTATCAACCTGCCCAAGTCCCTCATTTAAATTAGATGTGCGTGCATGAGCTGGCCTATCAGCTTCTTCATAATACATTTCCCGATCATGGTTGATGAAAACACTCTGCAAGACTTTCACAATTTCAATGGATACATATAGTGAGATGGGAATTAGATATCCATACAACATAAGGGCAGTTAGAAAATGAAGAATAGCAGCAAGTGTTGCCCTTCTAGGATCATAAAACACTGTTGTATTGTCTGGACGAAGATACCATCTTCTGTACTTGCCATCATGAAGATCCCTTTTTGTCTCAATTCCAAAATAGACAGAGCCAATAAATGATATCAAGACCAAGGTGCTAAAGAGGATGTAGATTACTTTATCCATTTTTCTCTCAATTTTGCTTCTCTTGGATGGTGGTTCAGTGGCATTCTGCATCACTTTTGTATCATGGCCAGTAAAGATAACAACAGCATATACATATTCAGTGTTTCTCAGCTTGGAGTCCCTTAAAAGAATCTGTTGCAATGAAAGCGGATATTCTTTGTCTTCATAGTACAAGGTTCCAACAAATGAGTACAGATTTTCATTAGGATCCTCACATTTGATCACTGCCCTAAACTTTTCAAGGGATTTTTCATCGTGAAGATGAGTTGTGACTTCCAAAGCATGCTTTAGTTTTAGATTGGTTTCTCCATCAAGATTCATTGTCTCAACATAGCAAACCCCATCCTCATAACTCGATGAAAGCAAAAGAAGATCAGCAGGGAAGTATTCATCCTTATACACTTTGATGACATCACCCACCCGGAGTTTCTTCCATCTGGTCTCCACAAATGTATTTCCACTGAGCACATTAACCTTTTGGTTGTTTGCTTCAATATCCTGGAGGGGGGAAAAAATAAAGAAAAAGAAATTCAGCCAGATGTTCCTTTAACTGGAGGCAAAATATGGGATATTTCAATAAAGAAGAGAAATAACAGAGCACATGAAGATAGTCAGTGAAGTTAATCAAATAAGAATGGAAATGTCACACAGGACAAGGGAGTCCGGAACAAGAAAACAATTAGTGAAATATGCCATTGAACAAGACCAGACACATAAGTTACATCAACATTAAGCAATAACTGGCTATATGGCAGGGTGCTATAGAACAATATCATTTCCTACAGCTGTTTCTTAAGGTTTAACGCTTGAGGAAGCTAAAACATGTATGACACAACAAGTGTTGAATACTGACGCGGTCCAAGTTATATTAGATGAATTCAAGTAGGGAAAAAAATTGTCTGTAAATTATTATCATCATTTCCAGAAACCAACTCCTTAATTCAGTAAGGTTCAACTAGGGAATTCAGAGAAATGACACAAGATGAGTTCTCAAGACCAAGGCAACTAAGAAATCTGTGTATTCTAGACCTCTTCCTGTGATATAGTGCCTTACCTGCCAAGCCCTTCCAGCCGTGTAGAACCATATAATAGCTTTTGCCAAGGACAATTAATGACTAGAAGAGATGGAATAGCTCATAGAGAATTAAGGAAGTGAAAATTAGGAAAATTAGGCATAAAAATGAACTGCAGTGCAGATTGAATAAGGTATAAATGTCAACACAATTTGAAAGGACAAAAGAGTATAAACATACTCAAACATAACCTGTTTTCTTCTCCTCCAATCTTCCACAGCTTCCTTGGCCATAGTAGCTCCCATCACCACCAGCAACGGTGCAACAATACTTAAAGCCGTAAAAGGTGCCAATGGACTAAACGAAAGACACGCGACAATGAGAAAGTAGATATTTGCAACCCTCCTAAACTGCTCAAACAAAGACTTGGGAATAAAATTAAAAGCCGTATACTTGGTCGTTGAAACATAATTGCCTAAGTAATTCAACTGAACAGCTTCTGGGTTGTCAGGGTCATTGCAATATACGACCCTTGAGTATCCCCTCTGCCCAATCTGAGATTGATCATGTCTGAAGGGAGATTTTATGCACGAAAATGAATATAATTTACTAAAATGTATCCTCCTCTTTGGTCGTTGAGGCATTTCTGAAATGTGTTCTCTTCTTTTCTCCTATAAATCCAGCTTTTCACCTGATCCCCCCGCCTTCATCCACTTGTTTTGTAAGAGATCACAGGAACACCAGCAACACATGCACAATACAACCATAGATTTCTCCTCTGCAGAGTGAACGTCCTTATTCTACGGAAAATGAAAACACCGACGTTGAAAAGGAAAGCACCAAATTAAACCAAGCCCGTCACCCAAAAATGGGTACATTCAAAAAAGATTGAACAGAATCATCACTGTAATCAGAAAAAATTCAGCTTGATTAGCCAATGAGCTTCGAATCCAAGAGATAAACCAGAATGCCCGCAAGCTCCTTTTGCTAGACTCTGAACATGAACATACTTAACTTCGATTGCACCACAATTACAGCTTGTTGAAGCTGGAAAGCTGAAGCATGAATTTTTGTGAATTCCTTACCCTCATTGAAAGTTGCAGATGTCTCTTCCGTGTAGGTTCAACCGAATGATAGGAAGAAAGAGAGTGTAGAAAGAGAAGGAAAGAAAAGTGAAGGCTTTGTGTGACTGGTAGTTCGCTTTGCCGCTTCTATAAGCAAGCACGAGAGAGACAGAGAAATATATAGAACCGACTACCGTGCAAATTATTACTTTGTGCCTTCAACCTCCATCTCACAAAAAGTATAAAGGATTAAAAAAAACTTCTCCAGAAGAAAAAAAAGAAGTGTGAATCCTCCCAGTACAATGATGATGGTTCCTTCTCGGAAGTGAAGACCGGGAAAGTTGACGCCATATTACTTGCTCGGGAGCCTTTTACGACAAATTTTTCCTTACACGTGTTTGTACATTGACGAGCTGATGAGTCATACCAGCGCTCGAGTCTTCATCAGTCGTCACGAGGCAATTATTCTACTTTTAAGTTTTTATTTAATCCTGAGGGTTGTTAATTCAAAGATGTACAGAGACAGATACCGCATTTATCAGTAGCTACTTTGTTAGCTCACATTAAATTGACTTACTGTATCATGTGTTGATTTTAATAGGTTTAGAGTACTTATTACTAACTTGTTGGCAGGAAAAAAAGGAATTACTTATTAACTTACAATTCTTTTGATTTCTTGTAATATCAGGTGACCTTATAAGGATCCAAAACAGAAAAGTTTGACCAAATTTTAGCTGTGCATAATTAATATTCAATATAAAAATATAAAATAGTACTCTTCCTATTCTAAATATAAGACCTTTACACTGTAAAAAAGGTCCTAAATATTACACTGTAAAAAGAGTCTTATATTTAGAATTAAAGGAGTATAAAAATAAAATAATACTTCTTTAATTCTAAATATAAGACCTTTACACTGTAAAAAGAATCCTAAATATTACATTATAAAAACAGTCTTATATTTAAGATTGGAGGAGTATAAAGATACATAGAATTATAAGTATTTATGTACAACCAAGTAATAGAAATACAGAACATTTTCAACCCCGTGCTGCACGTGATGCCTTTCTTGATTTTTATCCATATCAGGACTCGTCCAGCCCTAACCCCTATTTCAAGATACAAAAACGATAATTGACGGAATGGAAACGTAATTTACATATATAAAATATTTTAGAAAATACAATTTTTGTGGAAATAATCAAATAAATCTCAGTGGTACGCTAGTTGTTTATATCATTCTTCTCGCGGAGTCCGCCCACGCAAGTCATAAAAATCCGAGCATAATTGTGGATCTTATTTATAAGTCATTTACTCATTTTAAATCTATCTCAAAATCTAATAATTTTTAATTTTATTCTTATTTAATATACAGAAAAGTAACAACCCACACAATAATAAATAAATAAATAAATAAATAAAATAATATAGTTATACTAAAAATAGATCCACAAATAACACAACATATTTTTTTATGTTATAAATTATAAACATGATTAAAGAAGTACGATATGGTTGGGATCAGTGGGGTTGAAATCCTGAAGGGGAGAAGGGGGTGACGTGGCATATAGACAGCGGAGGGCTCCCCCTACACGTGGCGGATTATCCTGCCAAAGAAGGAAAAAGGCTCGGCCTCCTGTTTAGGAGTAGGAACTCCAAACCAGAGACTTGTTGCGTGGGGATGAAATTAAGCATATTATTTTCTAAATGGAAATTAAATTTTTGGGGGGCCTAACCTATATATAGATAACATAGACAATCTTAGATGACCCACCTTATCGACAAAACTATTCCCCGAAATATGTCAGATGCGACTGCCACGTACACTACATGTGAAGGATCAGGATTACCCATCTTTCGGCTTGATTAACGCGTTGTTGCGATCGGGGTCATCATGTCATGTGAGTTGACTTCGTCAATTGGGCTCACTTTTCTTGGGCTGGTGTTGGTGATCCAATAAGTAAGGCCCAAAACAGGAGCCTCCTTTCATATCCTGGATCTCGAAGCCGCGTGCATTGGGTTTGGGCCTTGACCAGGTCAGCCCATGTTCCGCATGTTTCCCTTTCACCACCATGAAAGACTTGTAGCATGTTTTACCCAAAAAAAAAAAAAAAGACTTGTAGCATGAGTTATACTGCATGTACTATTCAATGCTCCTCTAATTCTAAATGCAAAATATTATTAATTAAGATAGTTGTTTTGGCCTAATATAAGTCTATAATTCACTGTATCTTTTAAAAATTACATATACTGAAAAGATATTTCAGATTATTTTCCATAGAAATAATTAAAAAATATTTAAGAAATCATTTTTTTCAAATAATTAGTTCAAATAATTAATTTTTTCGAATTAATTGACTAGTTGGCACATTCAGCATAAAAAAAATAGAAGGTAAAAGTTTTTTTTAAAAAAATAATACTTCTCCTGTTCTATTGTATCACAAAATGAGTACTGTTCCACCAATCTGGCGCGAAATTTAAAGGTCTGGCTCCTGTCACAGTCACTTGCATTCCTTTTGTCTCCTCTTGGCGCTCACAAGTTCCCAACACAAATCTCTTCCACTCACATATTCAGCGGCTGGGGACTAAGGGTCGGCGAGTTTATCAACAACGAGCGAGTTTGAACACAACTATGAATCTATGATTATGGGACGCGTCAATCAGATAGAGGAAGCGTCCATCAACTGGAAAGCGTCGGTTTCCAGTGGGAGTCCTTTCGAATGGATCTATCAAGTCATAATAAAGTCATAACGCCACCGAGTCATTAATCTTAAGTAGTGTATCGTGGATATGTTTTTATTTAGTTAACCAATATTTTCCCGCTAAAAGTTCCTTTTTTCTTCTCCCATGTAAGGAGGCAAATGGCAAAACGACTAATACTAATTACACAAATAAAGACATGCCACGTTATCAATTGATTGTGCAATTAACTAAGTGACTGAGTAATTGATGACGTGAATTACAAGTTTGTGATTATGGGGGGACCTTCATGAAGGGAAACTTTCCTATTGTTTCTCTCTCATTTTTACGGGTTTACAAGAATCTTAAAATCGGTGACAGATTCGATACCTGCACCTATTAAAGGCTTCGACCGTTTGTCATTGACACAAAGGAGGATGCTCACAGAGAGAAAAGAAGCTGAAGCCAACTGAACTTCCAGTCCTCCTCAGTTATCGTCGTCCTCATCACAGTCACCTGAGATCAACTAGACGTGGTGGTCGACGAGCAGTTGAACCGCAGCAAAATCATCTTTGGTTTTCTCGGTGATTCCTTTCCTCTGATCAGGTCAGTTTCTGGTTCAAGCGAAGATTCCTTGTACCCAAATCCCAGGCTAGCATGTCGTTTGTCATGAATCTTGAATTCATTATAGTTCGTTTTTAAAGATGCCTGACGGTGAAAAAAATTAACTTTTTAATTAGTTTATTAGTTGCATGTTTTTCATGGCTATCGTGGGTAACGATAATTAGTTGGTCGAAGTGGGAATCCTGGGTAGCGGTAAAAGTTATTGAAACGGGCTTGCATATGTTTACGCTGCAAATCATATTAACTTTGATGAATCAAAATGCCAACGAAAAAGAGAAGATGCGAAGTTAAGTACTAATAAGATTGGCTAATTGCAGAACTGAGACATGTACTTAAGTTGGCAATAAAAGCGCCTGGATTTTTGTATGGCTTTTTTGTCGGTTATTTGGAGTTTTGGTGGATGAAGGATAGAGGTAGATATTTTGGCAAGGGAAAGGTCTATCCCTGGGTGATTGTCTTTGGCTTGTTTTATTGGCAGCGCTTAGGATATAGCAACACTTACAGCTAATGAGGTAAGACAATGAAATAGCCTTTTCTTTTTCTGTTTTCCCTGCAAGGTATGCTTGTATTTGTCATCAAAACTCCTATATGGTATTTAAAAGAAGAATTTCTTTTTTCAAGGATGGAAGGTAAATATGCTAAAGTGCTGTTTTTACTTAGAGTATCACAGCTTTAGAATTAATTTGTATTTGAACTGAATCAATGCTAATAGAAAAGGCATTCTTATAAATTTTTATCATTCTCTTGCATAATCGATTGGAGTTTGCCTGTAAGGTTTTGGCGGATCTTAGCATAGCAATCTGAGAGAAAGTAGTGAAGCAGACGCACGGGTAAAGGTTTATTTCTAGTGATGATAGTCAAAGTGGCTTTTGAAGGTTGAAGAAGTAGAGAAATTGCATATGGATGTTGCCTCTTGACGGTAATTCAGAGATAGTGAAAGCAGTGCTACTATATTTAGTTTTCCTTCCTTTTTTCGTGCTGGGGAGCTCAAAGGAATCTAAGGATGCTCAATCATGAGATATGCCTTGGGGCCGTTAAGGTAGAAAAGACTTGTATGTTTTTCTCTTTGACGAGTTCCTTGGAGTGTCAACATATAAATGAATGAAATGGAGCTTTGAAAAACTGAATTAATTAGAATTTCCATCCCTATGTGATTTTGCATTCAGTTAGGAGAGCATGACGTTCTCTATACTAATCAATATTGAGAACTTTGACTTGCATTTGAAAAACTGTATTAACTTTTCCTATTTAGTTTATTTTATGAAAATATTTTGAGTGAAATCCTTTCGCATTATTATATACATAGATCTCACTCTGTTATGAGAATATGCCTAGTTACCCTCTTTAGAATTTTGAAACACGTTACCACTTAGACAAAAATTTGTTATATATGCCATTTTTTAGTCAAAATATTTAAGATGCATGTGTGCCATTTTCCAAAAAAGGTGAATGCCGCAGCTTCGTTTTTTTCCATACGCTGGGCAAAAGGTGGGCATCATAGCAGTGCCAGGCTGAGGCTGCTCCACATCGAGGTTTTAAGACTGTTGAGCTTCTTGTCTCTATGCTATTGCTATTAAAGACCCTGTATGCTCTTAACCCTCTCATCATTTAAGAATATTGATTGAACTTACCTCAATTTTCCTTCAACTTCTTTTCTCTCCTCTTATCAGTGGAGTTTCTGCTTCTAGGAGCTGTCAACCCTGATCCTTCCAATTAAAGTAGAATTGCAGAAGAATCAAGTGGAGAGAAATGCTAAGCCAGTGGGAGAGACAGGGTTAGATACCTGTTGAATAGAACAGTAAGGAAAATAAAAATAAAAAATAAAAAAATGCCAGTGCTCCTGATCTAATGCAGCAAATAGCTGTTTGTTTTCAGATTTTCAAAAATTTAAATTAGTTTTTCCAAAAATTAGAGCAGTAAATAACTTAACAAATCGATTGTTTAATGTTGTTTCTTTTTGAATTTTAAAATGAGAAAGAAATAGATAAAACAATCACACCTTGGGCTCTGTTTCCCATCAGGATTCAGAATATATAATACATTCTAAATTTAGTTTATGTGGTTTGTCTTGTTTCATGTGGGAGGGATGGAACATATGTCTATAGGTGGAGTTAATGGGATAAAATTTATGCTGTTTTCACTTTTCAAGGTTTGTGATCTAAATTTATGCCCAAAAAGAATGGAGCATGTATCAGAAAAAAGATTTCCTCTCAATGATGAAGATTATAAGCTGTATGAAGAAATTGGGGATGGAGTTAGCGCTACTGTGTACAGGGCTCTTTGTATTCCACTCAACAAGGAAGTTGCAATCAAGGTTCTCGATCTAGAAAAGTGCAATAATGATCTGGTAGGTTGGCTAAATCTCACACAACATGAGTGCTTACTCCTTTTCAGTTTCTTGTGCGTGTGTGCTTTATTTGACTTATCAGCATGCAATACTTTGTTTTTTTCCCCCAGATGCTCCCCTCCTCGTCAAAACTCCCCAATTAGAGATTATTTTAAGATGTTGCCTTAGTTCACAAAACATTCTCATCCAAATGAAAATAACTTCCGAAGAATTTACAAACAAATGAGCTGCTGTTTCTGAACTTGGATTTGCACACAACACATCTGTGAATTTTCAACTTGTCATCCTGTAGAAAATATGTAGAATAGAAACAATAATACCACTGCATTTGTTAATAGTCAAAGACTTGGCAACATTTTTCTCTTTTGATATGCGGATCAGGAGTAAAAGTTATAGGGATTGTTTGTCTGATTACTTACCAGACTTGTAGCCCCAAAAGGTGTGTATGTAAAGCCCATCATTGTACATAAGTTACATGAAAAAGTAATGACCCTTTTTGCTTAATATTCTGGCTTCTCCCTCCCTCAATAACTCACACTTTTGGGTACTCTCATTACCCAACGTCAGACAGCCCATGCCACACATCCATTGATTTCATATTAAATTCATATAATGTCGGAAACTTTGACATTTGTGCAGGATGGCATCAGGAGAGAGGTACAGACAATGACCTTGACAAATCATCCAAATGTTTTATGCTCACACTGCTCTTTCACCACTGGACACAATCTTTGGGTGGTGATGCCATACATGTCTGGGGGATCCTGCCTTCATATAATGAAATCTTCCTATGCTGAGGGTTTTGAAGAGCCTGTTATTGCTACTTTGCTGCGAGAGGTTCTCAAAGCTCTTGTCTACCTTCATGCCCATGGACACATACATAGAGATGTCAAGGTATTTCAATTTTGCCTGTTTTTTGTATTATGAATAACAGGGCTAGACTTCTTCATCAATTGAATTGTGACTGGTTGAATCAGAGACTACGAAGACATCTGTTTTTTGGTTTTCTGAATTTACTCTATGCCTTGAAGTCGAATCTGAACCCTGGAATCTGAAGCCTTCATCTGTCAGAGAATTGTCTCTATCTTTGCCCCAACTTGTTGGTCTTTTCTTTTAACCCCGAGAAATTTTCGTAATTATGCAGGCTGGCAATATTCTGGTTGATTGTAAAGGTACTGTTAAGTTAGCTGACTTTGGGGTGTCAGCATGTATGTTTGATGCTGGAGATAGGCAACGTTCAAGAAACACTTTTGTGGGAACTCCTTGCTGGTATCATTTTGTTTGCTTTAGGCTCCCTATAGAGTAGGTTATTACATGAAACCTTGATATCATCCTTTTCCTATGTATATTGAAGTTTTGAGCCCAACATTTTCTACAGGATGGCTCCTGAAGTTATGCAGCAATTACATGGATATGATTTTAAGTGAGTGTCTCTTATCCTTCCCTCCCAATTTCATTGCTCATGTGCTTCCTTTCCATAATGTTCCCTGATATGTTAGTTTTTGCTGGTATTTATATTACTTATTTTGTTTTCTAACAGAGCAGACATATGGTCATTTGGTATAACAGCACTTGAACTTGCTCATGGCCATGCCCCATTTTCCAAGTATCCTCCAATGAAAGTAATTTGCATGTCTTCGGAATATTCTTACATGTGCCTACTGATGCCCTTCTCTGCTAGTTGTTTTTATGAACTCTGAGTTGACCCTTTTCTGCTTCTGCTTCTTTTCCTTATTGCAGGTTTTGCTTATGACTTTACAAAATGCCCCTCCTGGCCTTGATTATGAAAGAGACAAGAGATTTCCAAAGGTGTGGTTCTCATTTAAAATTTTGCAGATTTTTGCTTTCAAAAAGTAGTTTACTGATTGCCCTCGTTCCTTTCCTAGTCTTTCAGAGAGATGGTTGCCGCTTGCCTAGTGAAGGACCCAAAGAAACGTCCAAGTTCAGAAAAGCTTTTAAGGCATCCCTTCTTTAAACATGCTCGCTCCATTGAATATCTGTCTCAGACCATCTTGGATGGCGTTGCTCCATTAGGAGATCGTTTTAGGATGCTGAAGGTTAGCTGTTTATTTCTGAAATTTTTCCAGTTCTATGTGAACAGTCATGGCTATTGCCATAGTTCCTCTAAGTTGCTTTTTTTGTTCCAGGCGAAAGAAGCAGATTTATTGGTGCAGAACAAGGCTCTTTATGAGGATAAGGAACAATTATCTCAGGTGGGATCATTTTCTGTTGAGTAAATGCTTACTCTGGCATCTGCTATTATTCTATTTTCATTTTCTTGTCAAGGTTAGATGCATGCTACTTTGCCGGAATATGTTCTTTTCGTTATGTTGCATGCAATTTTCATTCTATCAAGTTGCCTTTTTGTCTTCCTTTTGAGTTTTTTCTGGACTGATTAAACTGAGCTCTATATGTCCATGTTTTCCATGGCGTGATTTTATTATGCCATCTGTGTATTTCCTGTACTCCGTGCTTGGTTTTTTTTATGGCTAGAATTATCTTCAGAATAATATATATATATATATATTGTTCTGATAAGTTTAGTTGGGATTTTATCATAATAAATCTGTGATGACCTACCTGTTAATGATTGTTCACTACTGAGCACTATTGTTATTATTATTTAGCAATGATAAAAAGAAAAAAGGACTATGTAAATTAAGTTTATGCTTTGAAGAGATAAATTTAAGTCAGCCTTCTTATGGATATATAATATCTAGCATGCACCCCTAGTTGATTAAAGATAACACTTCTTTAATAGCTCCTGTTTAAGAACTAACGCCACATAGTTGATATGATTTATGATATATATAAATTTCTACCATGAAAGAGATAACATGGAAGGGGAAATTATTTGCAGAATTCATTTAGAGCAGAAGAATAACTTTAGAAAAATTTATTTAAAACTTTTATTTGACATAATACAGTGGTGAGCCTCGGAAATGCCTGGATAGGCTTTTTCATGCTGAGTTTCCTTCTTTAAAAGCGTAAGGGTGCTATTTCTCTCGTCTGAAGTGCGTGTTTATGCTTCTGAAAACTTTCATACAGCCATATGCTGAATTTGTATGCTGTGCTCGTGGATCAATGTAGTTAGTGTGCTTCCAATATTGAGGATGTTAGAATCCAATATATCTGAATTTAATCATGTGATTGACTTTCAGAAAGAATACATACGGGGAATTAGTGCTTGGAATTTCGACCTTGAGGATTTAAGAAGTCAAGCTGCTCTAGTAAGTATATCCACTATACTACACATTATTATCTGGATTTTTTATATATAACTTGAGTGGAGAAGTTGGACAATATTGGGCATTTTAATCTTTATCTCAAAACCAGCTATTTGTTGACTACAGATTCAAGATGATGGCATGCCAAATGCAGAAGAACCAGAAATGTGTTTGACGGTGTTGGGGTTCCTGCAGAGGGGCCTTCTTCTGTAGCAACTAATCATTCATATACTGAACCCATACTGGGCAAGGAGGTACCCTTATCGTCATTTAATGATCAATTAGCATATATTCTGGTGATCTTCCTTTTGACTCATGTCTTTGAACTGAAGACGTTTTGATTCCGAACATGCTCTTTCTGGATTCATTCTTGTCTTGGCATTTGAATGACTGTTATTTTAGGATGGGTTCAATGATGTTCAAGATTTGGAGAGTTCACCTGCTCCATTTCCTACTAAACCTCTTCAAGCACTCAAGTATGATTACTTCCTGGCCCCATTTTTCTTTGTATTTTTTTAAATTTTAGTTTTTATACTCTTTTCTTGCTCTATCATTGTGCTTTGATCATGATTATTTTTTGGATTTAATGATGTAGAAGCTTTTGTTTTTTGCTTTCACAGTGTTCACTGTAACTCGACAAAAAGTGGGGACTTTATTATATGGTTATTCGTTAAAGTCCTTCCTGTATCATATTCATAGTTGAATAAACCTTAATATGCACTGTAACGTTGCACATATGCCCCCTCATACAGTCCACAATAATACGTCCATCTCTTGTGGAAGGTTCATTTGGCCATGTTGCTCAAAATCCTTTAGTTTTAAATTCTTTTCTGAACTTCGTTTGTAATTCTTTCTCTTTCTAACCAAAATAATGGTTTCAATGCTGAAGTTGTTGAAAGTAATCCAAAGTATTGCGTGCCTTTTTTCCATTTTCTATTTATACCAAGATTACTCAAGAAATGTTAACGATGTAGCTCACATATCAGCATTGAAGCAATTTATAGTTTTATACTTTTCAGAGGAAACTTGAAAGCTATATTTATGTTTTGATGTATGAATTGTGCGGAGATTGTTTCAATCATGCAGAGGTCATCTCGCTATTTGTGAGAACAGTGTCAATAATGCTGCTTTGGGAGATTCAGATCACGATGATGGAAGAAATGAGAATAACATCTCTGGGACAAATAGTTCATTGCGAAAAACGCTATAGCTGAGCATATAAAGTTGGGTGGTTCTCTGCTGCCTGATGGTTCTTTTTCTACAAAAAAATTTATTCCTGATGGGGACAGGTAGGTTTTAACGTCTGTGTAGTTATTTTTTTCCCCTGCTACTGTGATTTATCTTTTGGTTTTGGTATCTATACTCTTTGCAGACCTTCTAATTAGATGCTTGGAGAGTATTCTCTTGTTTAAAGGACTTAAGCTGGCTTTAGGACACTGAGGCAATGCTTCTCAGGTGTTTGCTTTTAGGTTTTCCTAGAAAAGCATAATCTTTTCAAGAATTTTCCGCAAAAGATCAAATCATATGGTGCAGAACTGTAAAACCTGATTAAACATGGACACTTCAGTAAAGGAGCCATGTTTGTGTCTAACACTGTATAAAACATGACAGCACACTTTGTGACACTTTAAATTGCACAGGTACTCCTGTGTTTAGCAATTGTCCAATCTAACATGTTAGTAACGAATATCAGATAATTTTATCCCAAAAAAAAAAAACAGAATAGGAAACAGAGATACTTAAAATTTTGTTATATGCCCATGACTGTGACTCATGTCTGTGCGTACCCATGCCATGCTTTCTAGTTTAAAATTATCCGCTTGCCTTTTTTTTATTGAAGAATGTAGGGAAATAAAGACAGTCAAAATGTGGTTACTAACTTACATAGGAAGGCGCCTATTTGTCTTTATATAATTGTAAATTTGGTTTAAGCACAAAGACTAACTTAAATGGTACGGGCCCGGTGCAATAATGGTGAACTCTTAGCCTATCTTTCACTTCCTCTCAAGTTCAAAAGTGTATCTTATTACAAAGAAGACCCAGTTGAGTTAAAGGAGAAGTTTATTCTCACTTGGAATCCTAGTACCTGAGCATAAGGGTTGAGATAATTTTATCATTATGGGGCATGCTTGTTACTTTGATATTTTTGCATATTCAGGTTGCAATTTTTATGCTTGCTAATACCTTTGTGCATCTAAAAAGGGATTATCTGCAGCAGAAGTGTTACTTTGAGGGGAATAGTTGTCCATTGTTGTACCAACAGAAGAGAGACACCAACAGCCTCTCATCTGGTATGACTGTTCTCTTATTTGTTAATGTGATTGTTATGATCTTCAAATTTGTAATATTTTTCTTGAATCTAATTGAGTTCAATAATCTACAAATTAACCCATTGAGAAATGGTTATTACTGCATTCATAATTACAACGCTCTTTCTATATACAGTTGATGATGCATCAGAAGCATTTGTCCAGCGTAAGGGGCGATTCAAGGTCACATCAGCAGATCTCAGTCCTAAGGTAAGTCGTGTTCCATGACAGATCCACAGGGCTTCCTTTAACGCCAAACAATTAAAACTCTAATTTCAGCTGCAGACAACTCATAACTTGTTATATCTAGTTTTTCTGTTGGAATACTGCATGGACATGAATTGAGGTATTTGGACTCATGGGAGCATCTAGACGTCCGGAGTTTTACATTATCTTTGTATACTGAAGGATTAAGGGGCATCGTCATGTGTCAGTGTTGCTTTTTCAATAAAGTTCGTTCTATGTTGCTACTTTGAATTTTTGAAATTGGTGGCCCTTCATTGGCTACTTTTGGGGATGATATAAAAAGCTATGGGTGCATGTAGTATTAAATGTTTGACTTCATTTTTTAACTTTAAGGAGGATGAAATTTAGGTGATTTTACATTTCAGGCAATAGCTCGTAAACATTGCCATTTCTTTTGCTCATTCAGGGTCCTCTGAACTGCGCTTTTGGTCCTGTTTGTGGAGGTCTTTCCAGTGCACCAGAACAGAACCTCCCATCTACTTCTACGCTGGCATCACTGCAGTGCATTTTGCAGCAGAACATTATGCAAAGGGTATGCCTCTGTTTTATATCTTTTACCTTCTAATTCAAGTCTAAAAGACATTGTATTTCGGACAAATTTTCACAGGAAGAAATTATTAAATTAATGACGTACGCGGAGCAATCTTGTGGTAATGCTTCTATTCTTCTCGATTCATGCATTTTTCCTTTGATACTGTGGGCGGATGAGATTATTTGCTTCACTTCTACAGGTAGGAATATAGAACCTGTGGAGGCAGGAGTCGCTGATCTTTCGCAGGTGGGTGTCTATCCTTATTCTTTGTAGCTTAGAAAGCTCCTGATGTACATTTTATGATACAAAAGACTTGTGTCTAATTCTACTATGGGTGAAGGAACTTCTCTCCTTTAATTTGTCTGCATCTACAGCGTTTCATACGGTGCATCTTAGAAGCAGAATGTGTGTGTGTTCTTAGACTTCCCACTGACCTTTCAGATGACCTCATTTTTGTGACTTGCAGATGTCACCGACAACAACTAGGGAGAGAGAATTGCATTCTCAGGTGTTTCAACTCCAACAGAGGTAACTAAATAATTACTTCTTTTTTTGGCCAATGAGGTAACTAAATAATTTCTTCCTGATCCTTGAGTTTAACTTCAAACAAAATCTTATTATCAACACTTGTATCAGCATCGAGAGCCTTGTTGAGGAATTGCGAAGGCAAAAGATGAAAAGCTCCCAGGTACTTCAGTCACAGATGGCATTTGGTTTTCTCTAAAATATGTTTAATGTATTTTCCCCTTATCCAACATTGACAAATTTATAAACCTCTATATGATATAAAAACTTTAACGAGCCGCACTATTCATGAACCATGAAGTATGCTACCCATTTCTTGTACCCCGGTCCATATATAGGAATTACAATAGTTTATTTAAAAAGCATTAGGGAAATGCTTATTTGAGGACATTGAGATTTCTTATATTGCCTATTCTCTTAAGTTGCCTATATTCTGTTGAAACCAAATTTGGGCATATTTGAAATTGTAGGGGCTCTGATGCCCCTGTCCTCAAGATAGAGCATTGACTTGGATTGCCCTCCAAACTAAAGCGGCACACTAGCAAGGATCACAATGCGTAATGCTAGATCTTAGATCTTGATTATTTATTGCGTTTCTGCCTTCATAATTACCAGGAAGGGTTAATTCAAACTTTGATTTTTTAAGTTTATCCTTATTTTGGTATTGGTCCCTCAAGTTTCAAACCATAAGTTTTGGTCCCTCAAGTTTCTTTTTATTTAAAACATTAGTCCCTATAATCTAATAAAAACTTGGACTATTTTGCTCCTTGAGAGACCAAAACCTATAGTTTCAAACTTGAGGGACTAAAACCAAAATGAGGACAAATTTGAGGGACCAAAGATTATATTAACCCTACCAGGAATTCGTCATCACCTAGGGACACTTGTGACAGCTATGTAACTAGTGATATATGAAAATTTTAATCATATATAAGAATTTATAATGGTAAGTGAAAAGGAAAGATTATTATTGATAAATTGTCCAGTTACAACAAAAATCTTTATATACAATCATGTTGGAGTTGAAAAGCTATGAAGATCTACCCAGTACAGTTCATGAATCAATATAGTTTCGCATGACCCATAGATCACCATGTCCCGGTTAGCGGCAAGTGTCTTAGAATACCCGTGTTGATCTGTTAGTATGGGAAAATAACTTTTACTGTGCCAATTTATCTGAATGAGACCTTTATAGTCTTGCATGCCTATCCTCCAATGAAGCAAGTTTTGAAGATGTTATGTTGAAGTTCTTGTCTCTCGACACTTGAAATTTCTGTTAGGTGTCATTTAAAGCATCTCACCTTTGTTTTGTACGCAGTTAGAAAAACAGCTGGACTTGGCGGGCAAGGGCAACGGAATGGAAAAGTGAAGAGAAAGAAACTGAAGCTTACCATGGTGAGTTGATTGACATGTTCGGTGATTAATTCCTTGATGGTCTGCAACATAGAGGCAATTCGCTGTTGTATTTATTAGCGAATCCTGCGTTAAGCGTGCCTCAGGCAGACCGATTTAGAGATGCCATTTCTTAAATCAATGCATTTAAAACAAACATCTCTATGATCGTTTAGTTACAGAAACTATCTCAAGGATAAAACATGGACACAGATTGTTCTTCTCTTTACTCTCCAGGTCATCCTTTTTTTCACCCAAACTCTATAGTCAAGGTATGAGGCATCTAATAAAAGCATTTGTGCATTTCTCTATACAACGTACTATTAATTGTTACCAGTATTTGGAAACTTTATTGTCGGTGTCCTTTTAATTTTACCGATCATGAACTTGTAAAAAATATTTTTTTTCCCACAAGTTTTATTCATATTTTGGTACCGATGAGTGAAAAGAAAAAGCATTATGCACACTTCAAAGAACTAGCATGACTTTTCGAGACTTTAATTTTATTATAAGAGAAATTCCAAAAATATGATTCTTAAATTTCAAAATCAGTATTTATTATTACAATCATAGAATACATTTTTGTAGTAATTTTTAATTTGAAAATTTGAAATTTAATAGTTATTTTTTCTTGAGATTTTCCCTTTATTATACTCTTTTTAATATCTTAAATTTCACTAAATGGAGAATCTAAATTTAATTTTTAATTACCAATTATTTTTGGGTGGGGAATGAAATCATCATTTGAAATATTAAAAATAAAAATTTAATTTTACATTTACACCGTGCAAGTAGAATTTAGATAGATTGACACGCTTACCTCGCATCATATAATCTTAAATTCCTATTCATATTGATGTTCATAACAAGCTATAAGCATGTTCATGATAAACTATATGCTTCAGACTCTACAGAAAAGTAACCACTATCTGATCCGGTGGCCCAAAAAAAAAAACCCCTATTTAATCTACTAAAAAACTAGTTAAGTAACATCACAGTTTGAAATTTGTGGATTAAAAAAGATCACATCAAAAAAAATTAATAGTACTTAAATTTAGCCTGATGGTACCATATATCATTATTAAATAATCATATGAAAGAACTAGGAATGTAATTTGAAAAAACTGGTGCAGTTATTCATTCAAGAATCACATTAAAATGTTATACTGATCTTATTTGACTGATTTAGTCCTGCTCCGCAAATTGTGCCTGTCATCGTCTTGTGCTTTCCTAAATTCACTAGTTTCCACCGCCAGCGAGACTGAGCGGTTCAAAAATAGGGACGCCCGTGGCCGAGCTGAAAGCCTAGAGATCGATCGTAGTATAATGGAGAGCTAAAAATTTACCAATAGCCAACCTATTGGGGCCCAAAGTTTTCAGCAGACATCAATATCGACGGTCAAAAGATGTAGATGATCCCAATCGTTGCCCAAACACTGTAAAATGTAAATTCCCTCGCTCCTTTTACCTCTGCCTATTAAAAAAATGGGACTCACTACAGTCAGACCAATGCAGCTACCCGGAGCTTTTCATCAAGCGTGCGAGCCACCGCATCGATAAATTCCTCAGTGTTCAAGTAAAAATCCCTGGATACCCTGCACATGATACGCATGTCCCTATAATTAGCTCCCAGCCTATCCAGCTTTGTCTAGAAGATTTTATGTGTACCAAAACAGCTAATCATGTCTGTCCTCTATACTATATGTCGTACGCATTAACAGGTTAAGAAGGCCAATATAACAAAAAAATTGCAAATATAAGTCCTTCATAACAACTCAACGACCAATCTAGTTGGATGCTACAAATGGCCAAACCCAACGCATGAGTGGACTTCATAAAACAATATCGAACAACGAATAAAAAGTGATTCGACTATATAAATTATTATTTATCAACCGCATATATCAATGAAATGAAAATAAAATAACTTATTAATTTTTTACTTTTTGAGATGCAAAATAAAACAGTTACTATAAAGAGTTTTTATTATTTAAATATAAGACCTAGTTTATAGTGTAAAATATATTTGATATATATCATTTTCATTTTAAACTTCACAGTCCAAAATTACATACAGGTCATAGTATCAATGCTCATTGAATTTTGATATTCTCCATAGACCGTAGTATCTGACTACTTTAACTATGAAATCTTGTAATACCCGACGATGTCAAAACGTGTTGGGTTAGGTAATTAAATGGCTACTCAATTGATATTTAATACTCCTCCGGTCCTTATTATAAGACCCAATTTGACTTTTTATTTGGTCCTAATTATAAGACCCCAATCCATTTTATCTCTATTTATGTATTTTTTTCCAAGATAATCCTTCTAATAATGATAGTTTTAGCCAATATACTTAATTAGCAAGGATATTTTAGGAATGACAACACTTATTTATTATAAATAACCAATTTAACTTACTTCCTTAATCTCCTCAAATAAGTCAATTGGGTCTTATAATTAGGACCGGAGGAGTACTATGTAATATACGTTACTGACATTCAATCTCTTTGTTTTCTACCTTTGTGAATTTAATTATTTTAATGATATAATAATTGTGGCTGCACCCTTGACATTTTTTTGGAACTAAACATTGATGTTTTATCAGTTGGCCAAAAAAAAACATTGATGTTTTATCAGGAAGAATACATTATATGTAGTTTTACTAAAAAAATTTTATGTGAAATCAGTATTTAGGAAAACCGTCAACATTAGGTACTTAAATCTTATATTTTATTGTCCAATTCATATATAAGAAAAATCATATTTTCAAAAATAAATAACAATAGATGAATTTTCTTTACAATAGAGGGGGAAGAATATAATAAAATATTTCTCAGTAGTACCAATCATTTTAATATGTACCATCTTGTGCATCACACAGGAAAAAAGGTTCTAGTTATCCTAATAAGCCTACCCGCATTTTGGGCAACGTATTACCACAATCAAGTTTAACACAGCCTCATCAAGTTATACCTTCTATCTTAAAACTGAAAGTCATTAAATCACGAACTCTTTTTTTTTAATTTCCCATTAAATTACACTTCATTTTCATTACATCAAAAAGACAGTGAATATGCAAAGAGAGTAACTGGAGAAGGAAGAATTACTTACTTAGGTCCGTGAATCAGAATAGCAAGATCTTTGGTCATTTTTCCAGACTCCACCGTCTCAACACATGCAGCCTCCAACTTACGAGTAAAATCCTGTAACCTCTCGTTATTATCTAGCTCGGCCCTGATACACAACAGAGATATGACAAGAACAATATTCAGAAGAAAAAAGGAGGAAAAGGAAGGTGAAATAAAGATATAAAACAGTCCGTGCAAGGAGCACCGTTCTATGCCTATGCCGTTCAGTAGATAACCCAGAAGTATTCATGCCATTATAATTATCAACATTGCTCTAGCAAAAGGGATTAAGAAAAAAAATCTTAAAAACGTATTCTTAATATAAGTCTTAAAACCTCTTTAAAATAGATAGTATCAACAGAAATCTTTTCGTTGGAGTCTGACAGAAGTGTGAAAGGAAAAAGGCAGAACTGAGAGGTTTTAACAGCACAACCTGCATGCACCAGTGAGGGCGTGGTCGATGGGTGGGTGGGCGTTTCTTCTTTTTTTTTTTTTTTTTGGGGGGGGGGGGGAGGGGTTGGTTGGACCCATTAGAGGGGATTATAATTCAAAACAACAATGTTCATATACCCCTCTCTTTTTTTTTTTTTTTTTCCGGCGCACAAGCATATGCAAAAACACATGGAATGGAAATACCAGTAACAATGAGGAAGAAAAAACAAATGAAATTGAAAATTCTGAAATAAAGTGACAGAAATACCGGTGTTCCAGTCCTCGCGTCCATGCAAATATGGAAGCAATACTGTTAGTACTAGTTTCCTGTCCATTTTGATGAAGCCGGAAATGTCGAGTTACAGTTCCATGGGCTGCCTCGGCTTCTAATGTCTTTCCATCCGAAGATAACTGCAAAATGTTCATTAAATATAATAGACGTCCAGCAACCAAAATACAGATTACTTCTTTATTTCCTTTTAGATTACAAAAAGAGCATAACACAAGACCTTGGAAGACTTGTTCACTATTCAATATGTTAACAAAGACAAAATTACAGATTAAAAAATAAACACAAACCAGCACCGAAGTCATGAGGCCCAACGAGCCAAAACCTGCACAAGACAAAACGACTTTAAAAACTTGATTTGACGAATCCTTCCTACCAGGTAGGAACTACAGATATTACCAAAATTTAGAATGCTCAATGTGAAAAAGAGTTTACTTAGCCTGCATGAAAATTAATTTTGGAAAATACCTTAGCCTGAGTCCTAAGATATTATGCATTTTGTGCTGGTATAACTTAACCAAACTCAAAATTTGAGCTGGTATAACTTAACCGAACTCAAAATTCGAAACCAGAAGGAAAAAAAAAGAAATTAACAGTCTACTGAATGATCAATTTGTGTTGCTTGCTAACATCAAATATGCTACTGTACTCATCATTCTGGACAAAGCATAAGCTATGAAATCACCTTGAGCAAGTAAATCACTTTGGACATCACCATCATAATTTTTACAAGCCCAAACATATCCACCTTCACTTTTGAGTGCATATGCCACCATGTCATCAATGAGCCTATGCTCATACCTGAAGCACAGAGCTGCATCAGATACCGTGAATATAAATTTATAAAAGCAAATTACTTCATGAGCATTAAAAAAACAAACCATATCAAGTGTTCTTCAAACTTCGTCTTCCACCTTTCTTCATACACCTCCTGGAATATGTCTTTAAACCTGTCATGACTTCAGACAGTAAATTATCTCCAATAATAACAATAAGTATCCAAAAGGCTGAAAACTTGCAAAGTCAGGTAGATTAAGCCAACACTTGAAGATTTGCATAAAAACTGAAATAGCGAACAAAAAAATCACCTGCCATCATATTTCTTAAGAATAGTGTTCTTGGTGCTTAAGTAAAGAGGCCATTTCTTTGCAAATGCCAGTGACATTGATGATTCAGCAAAAGCTCGGATAGACTGAAATATTAGAAAAGGAAGTGTTCAAAAATTTAAGTAACAGCTAATGCCATATGCACTTGGAGGACATGCAATAAAACAAACCTTGTCAACATTATACATAGCAAGAGCAACACCTGGTCCTTTGAAATTGTAAACATCAAGCTCCACTGGAGGATCCGCATCTTCAGGAACTTAATTAGAGACAGATATAAATCAGTACTATGTAATGTTTAATATAGTAGCGAAGAAGTTCAGCTTTATTTGTGAGCATGATATTAGTAATTAGCATACCATATACCAACTTAAGCTTCCCCGGTCCTCTGATAACTAAATCAGTAGCACGATATTGATCACCAAAAGCATGCCTACCAATACATATGGGTTTTTTCCAACCTGTAAGCTGAAGAATAAGTTCAAAACGGTGTGTTCAATGGTATTTCCCCTTAATTCAGAATCAAAACATTACCAGGGACAATTCTGGGAATATTGCGGCATATTATGGGTTCCCGAAAAACAGTACCTAGAAAGGAAGTTAAATTAGCCCCGGTGAACTTTGAAATAAATAAAACTAAGGAAAAGCAGGCCTGTGAATTATATTTAACATCGAACAATTCAAGCTCAATCAACGCATGTTTGAAGCATGTGTTAGTGACAATCTTGGAATATGTATGATAGAATGAGATTGCTCAAATGCACATAATGTAAAACAAGATACAGTTAGTAAGAATTACTAAACATTTACAATCATAAAGCTACCACAAAAATCCAATAGTTCATAGCATCCCCTCAACATATTCATTCTAACGTTAAGTATGCTTGACAGATGGCCAATGAAGTTGACACTAGAGGAAAGGTCCGCATCCTTTTGAATCAACAAAATAAAGCTCACCAATGTCATTAACTTATGTAACGTGCCCATCAAATACTTATAAATTTTTATATTAGCAACTTCATTGTATTTTAATTTCATTAAGCACAATTCATCCAATGAAAAGAATAACTACATTTACAAGTGATATACGCATTGGATTCACTTCAGTATTTCCTAAATAAGTTGCAAACATAGAAATCCTACAAGTAAAATCGATGAAACTGTTTTTCCCAGGAAAAGAATATTTGCTTATGCACACTAACATCTCATTCACAATGAACACAGTCATCTTTCTAACATGAAGAAACGTGATGAAAAAATCCAAATGGCTACACATGCATTCTAATGTTTTGAAGCTTGTGAGTATATCACAAACCATTTAAGATGTTTCTAATTGTGCCATTAGGGCTCCTCCACATAGACTTCAGTCCAAATTCTTTGACTCTGGTTCCATCTGAAAGGTTGCATAGAGAAAAGAAAGTTCGATCCATGAAAAAAATAATGATAAAATCAAAGTTTAGCAGCTCTGCCAATATGGCATGCACAATGTAAATGTTATATAACATGCATAAACTGGAACACTCAGTTCAGTCAAATTCTAAGTACGACTATTTGCTAATAAATCATTGAACAGAACATTTTGTTCAATAAAGCCAAGAAAAACTCACCCGGAGTTATTGTTGCGCATTTTACAGCAACATTGAACCTGAAGTAGACAGACCATGTAAGACTTGAAGCGTCCCAATGAATACGCAAATAAGAAAAGCAAAACACCCCTTCTCAAAATGCAGTCTTAAGTTTTGTGTCTCAGACAACTTTCACTGAGGTAGTTGAAAAGTCAATTGAAACTATTACACCAACATGTCATATTACTAGGCATGGAAACTCTCATCGTCTCCATAAACTTATTTTCTATCTGATTTTGATACAAGAAAGCTGAAAAGCCCACTGCCCACAAGCTCTCCCAGAGATTCCCAATCAAAAGGCTAAGCTCTAGCATCTGCTTGAGGCCATGAGAAGAATCAGCTCATCTGCGTCGCTCACATACAATGCTCCCTGAATTTTCACAATGAAACAAATCTCAATGCAATAAAGCTCCGGTCACCGCATGCACTCTCCAATGCCCCATTTCCCTTTTTTTTTTCAATGTTACAATGCATGTTCCAGAACTAAGCCAAACTAATTCAGCAACTTGAGCGAGAACTGGTAAAAGCAAGATCACCACAAATAAATTAACGTATCCGACCATCTGATCAATTGTGATGACACATGCTTAGACATAAAATCACTCACTTTAGAGCGGCCTCAGCACTTTCTACAGTAACTCTGTCATCAGTTGCGTCACGATTCTGAATTCCCAAATCAAAATACTTTATATCCAAATCCAGATAAGGAAATATAAGCTGCAATCATCACATAAAACACTTCCATATGTTAAAGTGAATCCAAAGCCACCATAAAAGCCAGGATGAGAAGAATAGAAAGCACGCTAAAGATAAGTATTCATACTTTATCCTTTATCATCTTCCATATGATCCTTGTCATTTCATCACCTAACCAGAACAAAAAGTTCAACAAACACTATACAAAAAAAAAATCCCGGAAGATAGAGAAACAGAACATGCTATGTTTATTCCTGAAAAATTCACTCCTGGATGTAGAGATGAAACCTTGGCCTAAAAACATTAGCGACAAAAAACAACCAAGCCTGTAGTAAATTTAACTTAAAATATTCGTATTTTTTCCAAATGCAAACGCCGCGGATTCGACGTAAACTCCGGCGCTCTCTTCATCCATGTCTTCCTCCAATTCACGTAAACTAAAGAAAGAATCATTAAAGCAACTAGTTGAGATAAACACTAAGATAACATTTACCGTCCATCTCCACGATCGGATTCTGAACTTGAACTCTATCAAAACCAGCGGATGCGGCGTAGCATCGAAGTGAAACTCGATTAAAGCGAGCGGGGAAGAAAACATGGTCCAATGTTAGAGCACCATTCCTGGAAGTGAAGCATGAGATAGGGTTCCTGCGCGCTATAGAAGATAGCGAAGACGATAACGCAGTGGCGCCGGACATGACGCTTGATCGAAGCAATGCTCTCAGCATCCAAGTTCAATCAAGTGTTATCTGGAGTTGGAGGCGGCAACTTTCGTGTCAAAGAAGCCGCGGAATGGGATGCTTCGTAATTTCATTCGCTCCATTGCGCAGTCTTTTTTTCTTTTTTTTTGCGTTGCACTTTCCGACGCAATCGTCAGAAATAAAATAAAATATAAAGGGCCCATGCCAGTACTTTCAACTCTTTGGACAAGAGTATAATTAAAATTCAAATTATGCTTTAATTCAAAATTAAAATGAGAAAATTAGTTAAAAATCCCTTTTTACAAATTAATTGAGGAATGAAACCTGCAATAAATGTAAAGGTGTGGGTCCTTCAAATATTAGTAAGTGTGGTAGGAAAAAGACCATATTGTCCTGATGAATGCTAATTGCATATGATAGATTCTCAGTTGCATATCATCTATCTATCTATCTATCTATCTATTAATATATAAAAGTAGAGTGCAAGATATGAGTATCTGACAGCGCGACAAGTGGCATCACTAAAGATAAGATAAATGTTCTTTTCTTTTTTTTAGAAAAAAGGCCATATTTTTTTACTCATGTTTCTACCCATGTTTTCACCAACTATTTATTATTTGAGAGAATTTTCCTGTCAACATGTCATGATTTTTTCTAAGATATGAATGATTATTCAAATTATTTTATATTATCTAAAAACACTTTGAAAGTTTGAATTTGGAATTTAAAACACAGTTATGCCACTTAAAATTTAAATTGGCCACTTAATAATTAAATTGATTTATAAATGAATAAATTATAGAAAGAAGTATATTCCCAAAATATGGAAACGTGTGGCAATTTTTAATTATATATTTATCGGATAGTTAGTTTAGTTTAAACGTTTTTTCTATGATATGAACGAGTATTCAAATTATCTTATATTATATAAAGGCACTTTGAAAGTTTGTATTTGGAATGTAAAGCGACTTAAAATTTAAATTGGCTACTTAATTATTAAATTGATTTATAAATAGATATAGGAAGAAATATATTCACAAAATCTAGAAACATGGGCAATTTTTTCATATAATTGTATCTTGTATAACTTACTAACAGACTGTCACTTGACTTCACCAGAATGTAGATAAATTGGTTTTTTTTCTTTTTTTTCTAAAGCCAAAATTTTATGTCCAACTCCCTATTTATGTGTTATTCACCATCATAATACATGTTCCTCCTTATTCCCACTACTCATCTCTTTTTGTGGTAGAATCAGTTAGTTACCTCTCATAATACAGTATTTTTTATTTAAATGGTTTTAGTTGAATTCTTGGGATGTATTATTTATTTATATTTTAGTTGAATTGTTTGCAGATAAATTTTTTACTTTTGTTAAAGCCACATTTTTATCTATGATCTCTCTATTTATGCGTTTTTCTTGGGAATTAGTTCGATCATATTTATTTGAGTACACGTTTCATGTCTTTCTATTTATTTTTGCAACATAATGATTTTTGTTAATGGTAGATAAATCTACTTTTTTTATAATTTTTTGATTAATTCAATTAATTCTGATTTATTACAGAATTTATGGCAATTATCTCCAATAATGAGTCTTATTTTTTCTATTTTTTTGTAAAAATCAAAATACCCTTTATATGCAAATATTTTAAATTAAGAAAAATAAATAAAATTATATAACTTCTCTTATCCCGAAAATCGTGGTATATATATAAGGCATGATGTATGTTCAAAATTTGAAATTTGATGGTATTATTTAAAATTAATTATGCTTGAAATTTAATTTCAGCTGGTTTATTAATATATTGAAAATAATATCCTACACCCTAAATCTAAACTATTATCTATACCTGAAATATTTATTATTTTTTATTTATGAATTATTTTGAAATATAATTCAAAATATTTTAACTCACTAATGATTTTGTCTCCATTGATTTTTTTTCTATTAAATAGCCTATTTTTACAATACAGAATCAGATATCATATTTGTCCAATATGATATTATTGACCATGACATTATCTGTGTAATTATTGAATATAATCAAATATTTGAGTTTCAATCCATTAACCCTTTTGTCTCCATTAATTCAATCTTTTTAAAGGAACATCCATTTATATACCTACATATATAGCATATTTCTTAAAATGTTGATAATAAATCTACCTGTATTGCAGATTTCAAAAGCTTAATGATATTTTATTTTAAATCAAGTTGAAATCATGACTTAAAATAGTAATTTAATATTTAACGAATTATTTTGTGGTAATTCAACTTTTTATCTTATATAAAAGAAACCACTAATTTATACCAGTGGATTGCACGGGCATTATACTAGTTGATTCTAATTACATATGGTAGACACTAGTTGCATATGAGGTCTTCTTACATATTACGGGTCATAATTACATATTATTGATCCAAACTTACATATTATTAATTCTAATTGTATATTGTGGATACTAAATTACATATGATATCTAATTGCATATCACAGATCCTAATTGCATATAATTGATCCAAAATTGCATATTATTGATTCTAATTGCATATGCGGATGCCTAGTCGCATATGAGGCCTCATAGCATAGTACAAATCATAATTGTATATTGTTGATCCAATGTTGCATGTGCATGATTCTAATTACATATTGAGGATGCCTAGTTACATACAAGACCTTATTACATATTACGGATCCTAATTGTATATCATTAATTCAAAATTACATATTGCTGATTTTAATTGCACATATATTACTATTTTATAAATAAATTCCTTTGTACGATACTCATAAACAAATTCTTATTTACAAATTGACATGGTAGAAGAGGGATCTGTTATGTGCAATTAGTATTCGTAGATAAAAAATTATTTGTGAGTCACAAAGGAATTTATTTACGTAAGTAGTAGCATATATGCAATGAGAATCAATAATATATAAACTTGAATCAATGATATGCAATTAAGATCTATGATATTTAATAAGGTTTCATATGCAACTAGGCATCCGCAACATGCAATTAGAATCGGGCGTGTGCAACATTAGATAAGCAATGTGCAATTAGCATTCCTAATATGCAATAAGGTCTCATATGCAACTAGGTATCCATATATGCAATTAGAATCACTGATATACAGCTTTTGATAAATTATATGCAATTAGAATCCGTGATTTATAATAGGATACCATATACAACTAGGTATCCCCAATATGAGATTAGAATCATCAACGTGCGAGTTTTGATCAACAATATGCAATTAACACATATGATATGCAATAAAATATCATATGCAATTAGTATCCATCATATGCAATTAGATACCATGATATGCAAGTGAGAATCCGTCATCTACAACTAGTATCCGTAATATGCAATAAAATCCTATATGCAACTAGGCATCCATCATGTATAATTAAGATCCGTGATATGAAAGTAAAAATCAGTCATATGCAATTAGCATCCGTTAGCGTAATATAGTCTTATCCCTGCTGCACTTATTGACATTTGAAGGCCTGCACTGTAAAACTTATTACAGGTCTCATTCCTTAATTAATCTATTGAAAGGGGGATTTTTAACCAATTTTTCCAATTAAAATTCTGGTTACGAAAATATGAAAAATACATATAAGCTGAAATTTAATCCGTTTGTTTGTATGGCTGGACATGGCTATGCAATTTTATTATTTTTCTTTTTAAAATAGTTCAAAAATGGAAAAAATATTTTCATTAAACTATCATTCAAGACAATATTTTTTCTATTACTTTTAGATTGATTTTTAATAAATTCTCTGTCACTATTAAACCATATCAACACTCATTACAGTCAAGCAATCTCACAATACCCTTTTTTTCCCCAGTTAACATGATCCATTTTTTCCCCGCTTAATACGATCCCCAAGGAATCTGATTCTTTTAAAAAATACCTTCACACAAATCATTTGGTTTAATTTCCACCCAAATACCTTGTATATATCTAAAAAGCCTTACCGAGATATTCTCATTGTAATAAGAAAGTTAACAAACTTTGCACCCCTTAAGTTGACTTAAAAATATATAGTAGCTTCCAGTTTCTATTTCTACCGAGGTCAAAAAAATCTATTTATTAAAAAATTAGAAACTATCCACCCGATTATTATGGATATATTATGTATAATCCAAGGAGTAGTAATACACAACACAGGCCAACTTAACACCCTTCTAGTTCTCAAAATAACCTAAAGCCTGCATAAATGTCATGGAAATATTTCACCAGCATTCCTGTTTCTAGATCCGAACATTCACGTTATACCATCAGCAGCGAGAAAAGCGGTACTAATAGACGGCACCAGCAAGGGGGGGCTAACTACTCCTCGTCCACAACAACACTAATTTCACCTTTCTCCAGCAGATCATAGAATTCTCGAGTTCTCCTCTGGTTATTCCAGTGGTGCATCTTCCATAAACCACCAGCCAAGAGACCAAGGCTTATTCCATACAATATCTCCTTCGCCACACTTGGTCCCCGATACGCAGCATGCGCTATCTTGTGAGCAGCCATCTCTATTCTGCAACACTGACAGCAAGAATAGCATTCAAGTCCAAGTCATGCACAGAAAGAAAAATGCTTGTCACTCCAGTTTCTGTTGGATGCACCACATGACATGAACCGGTTTTTATGCGTGGCTCTGAAAAATGCACTTCTAATATGACACATCACATGGCCCAAAACCAAAACTATGTTAGGTCTGCAGAAATCTGATACTAACCTGACCCGAGTTATTTAAACACACTGAATATCCTTAAACAGGACTCCCAGACATGTCAAATTCTCGTTAATAAAATAACAAAACCTTTTTTCTTTTTTGGCAAATATGTCAAGATTTCAAGCATGAATCCATCTGCAGGTTATCCAGAGGATCAGGTGCAATTTACGCACTGCAAAATATATTATAGAGGTGTTTGGATAGAAACCAAACTATGATTTTAGAAGTACTTTTACGGATTATGAAATAAATATGTGGAGAAGGTTACCTCGTTTTGTGGAAAAATTCTTCTGAAATTGCAGTTTTGAGAATGTCAAACACCCCCTATAGAGGGTGGAGATAAACTAATTGAATGGATACTTTTTTTGTAAGCTTTAAGAAAAGGTAACGCCCAAGTCCGGCAGACATTTAAACCAAAAAAAAAAAATCTGCATGCCAAGCATTAGAATCAGAAAAACAAATCACTCAGCAAGAACAGCGTGTCCTCGCTTCTCACTCCTCGCCTCTCATCTCATTCTAAGCTGCGACTTCGAATAAATCTTGAATGTACAGTGTGCGTAAAAGTGGTAAAGTTCGACGCAGCTATCCAGCTTCTCAAAATTTATAGACAATAAATCAATTTCACTCACACCCCCACCAACCAAATCACAGCCCAACTTAAAGTTGAAGATTCAATTTTCTAGGCAATCAAACAGAGCACATTAACTTTTGGCCCAAAAAACAGAACACGTTAATAACAACGCAGAAGTCAACAGTGCGCTTACCTCTTTTATCGGAAATCTGAGCAGCAAGAACCCCACCTCCACGGGACAAAACGCGTAAACACTAAACAGTGATGATGAAAAATGGGAAGTGTTGATGGCGGTGAGGGAAATTATATGTATGATCCAGAATGTTCACGCCGAGATGCATCTCAGCCGCCGGATGGGAGCTTTTTAAAAAAAAAGAAAAATTAGATGAATCAGATTCCACGTAAACACAAACTTAAAATGGGGTGGGGGAGAGGGAGAGGATGCGATGAGCTGGAACTTTGTAGCCTGCATGCTGGACAGGTGTCCAGAACGCTCGAAACCATAGCCACGTGTCTCCGCTTCCTGAGCTATCGTTGGGCCGGTGCGGCCCAGAACACATGAGGGCCCATAACATCATTTGGGTCAAAACTGAGTGTAAGAGGAACAGTCAGTTCAACAATTGTCAGTACCAAAAGAAAAAAACTTATAATACATAAGGTAAGTTATTACTATGACAAATATACGATTTTCATACTCTTCGATTGCGATTCACGAATCATTCTTTGTTCTTTCTTGTTGCGGATACATAATTAATACTTCTATCTCTGATTCGGCTTTGGCTCCGTATTATTTATGAGCTTGCCTTAATATTTATCGATTATAAAATATATGCATGTGTCTTCCTCTTGTATTACACGTAATTCTTTGATAATTAAGCATTGATTATTATAATTTCCTATATTTTTTGTAAATTTATCGTGTAAGGTTTATACAAAACACACCCCCTTACTCCTCCTAGCTGTATTTTATCTTCAACTTAATGGATGTAGGCAACAGGGATCATATGCATCATTAATGACTCATAGGCAATACAACCTCCTTATTTCAGAGTGTGCCCGTCTGAATGTTTAGTTTCGAGTTAGACGACCCCGTCTTGAAAAAGTAACGATCATTTGTCACCTTTAAAAGGTGTGTTTGGATTAATAATGATAAAATTGACTTTTGTAAACTTAAGTTAGAATAAAAATCAGTCAGTGTAATATGATTTATGTTTGGATTGATGTTATAAAAAGTTAGTTAAAAAAACTGAAACTTATTTGGATAATTAATAGAAAAGTAAGTTTAGATGTAAAATAAATAAATTTTATTAAATAGTAGTGTTTTGTACTATATAATATTAATGTGATAATTTATTTAGTTTCTTTAATATCTTCAATTTAGTATATTGGGATATTATATTAAAGAGCAAAAGTAGTATATCATGTTTATACAATTTTAAAGATTCAAGAAAAACAATAAATTGAAATAATTAAATTTTATTAGGTAATTTTTTCTTCTCATAAGAAAAAAGTAACAAATTATTAGGTCAAAATAGGAGCCATTTAAATATCCTCATCTTTCTTCTCATTCTTCTTGTTTTCTCTCTCCTTGTTACCAACCGTAAAAGTTTAAATTTTCATCTTTACCTGCAACTAACTTTTTTTTTAAAAGACCATTTGAGAAAAAGCTGATCCAAACAAACACTATTGTGAAAATAAGCCTCTAACATTGGTTGCACGCCATTTCATGCACTTTGGAGGTGCAAAACGGCATTCCAAATACGCTGAAAGTCATATAATCACAGTCATTCTATTGTTAGTAATTAACTTATTGTTTCAATCACGTATCGGTGACCATATAAACTCTACATCGTACATACATTAAAAATAAGAATTTACAGTTCAGACAATTTCTTTTACACATTATGATTTGTCAGTAAAAATCTTAGCACACGACACCAAATGACACTTATCCGATCATAAATGTAAGTCCCACTTTGTAGTGTAAGGAGTAATAATAATATACGGAGGCCAGAAAATGTAAATATGTATGCATTGTGTATATATATTTGGGGTGCACTTAAGTGCATAATCTCTTTGCCTATATTAAATTAAATGAGAACGCATACTTGCAAAACAAATGGAAGTGACTCGTTTGGACGTGGCTGAAAAAGAATCATTCACCTTTGTTTTTTTGGCTGTAACTTTCTTCTACGGTTCTTTTTGTTCACAGTAACTGACAACAGATCATGTTGGGGGGAGCACTACATATATATACATATACGTTGCGTCTGATTAGGGGAGTGTCGGTTAGTGATGTAAATTTTATGTGGCTCATATTTTTTGGGGGATTAAACATATCACACACGGGATTGAATTGCTTTGCCAGTTTCTTCCAACAGGGTCCTGAATCTGTGGATCATGCATTTCCAATACTGCTGAAGGGTTTAAATATGGGGTGTGCAAAAAAGTCATAGGCAGGGCTTGGATTTGGCTGGTCAAAGCTGACAGTGTAGGACCTGATCACAGTACACACACCAACAAAAGATGGAATATCCGAACGCGTAAGGGACGCATGAATAATTCTGGGCATTCTTGAGACCATTCACTTTTTTAAGCTCTCAGGGGTTGGTCTAATAAGGCAGTAATTTCAATATACAACAGGAGATATTTAGAGAGGAATGAAAAATAATAAATATAAGAGAAGAGATTAATTATATATGTGTAAGATCATATATTTCTGTATGTGTTACGTTATTTTTCTTCGTGTGGATGGATACAATAATTGAAGGAATATTACGGATTTCGAGCGTGGATATCGAAGATCTGATCTGATGTCGGGAGCATCCAGAAAAGCCTTATTCTTCGTGGCTCTGTGTACGCCAGATTGGAATTGCTCATCTACGGAGTAGACAGGATTTCGAGCAAAATAATGTGGGACTCGTGAAGCGTTTTGCTTTTGCAAAAGGACATTCAAGGTTTTTGATAAAGGTTTGCATATGAATAAATCAGATATCTTTTTCCCTCAAGTTTGCCTTTTAACTAACTGTAGAACCCAGCTATAAGAATCTCACTGAACAGTATATAGTAAACACGAGATCAGTTATCTATATACATGTTTGGCTTTTGTTTAAGTACCCGCTGCGCTGATGCATGGGTAAAATGAAGAAAGAAAGAAATTTAATTATATATATGCTGATTCAATACAGTAGTCAAAACTTAATCATTTGAAAGCCATTTCCCCACAAACCTGATGGAAGTTTAATTATAACCATTGTTGGAATTAGTTTCACATCATTGTTATTTTACTGTGTACTGTATTCACCTCGCTAGGGCTTTGTTTGGATTAACATTTAAGATTATTTGCAAACATCCTTTATGCAAGTCGAGATAAAATTTCTCTCATATACTTAATTACCTCATGTTACGTAAATCATAATTAAAAAACTACTTATAAATAATTTCAAACGGGCTTTACATTATACTGTCAATTATGATCTCTGTGATTATTATATTTTTACACGTTATATAAATACGTGGATACATATTGGCTAATATATAATATGCAGGCGCATGCATTTTGCATCCACCAGGCAATAATAGCCCATAACATAGAACAGAAAAGCTAGCTAATTTATACATGCATCAAATATTATCTCTAGATCTATTTATTAGAAATAAGTTAAAAATAAAAATCCCATTTATTTTTTATAAATAGATTTTGGAGATATAGTAGTTGTCACGGAAACAAAACAGATAGTCGTGTACATGGGCCTAACAATGATGCGTATGGAGAATAAATTTGAAATATAGAGTTATATATATAATAATACATGTGAAGAAGAATCAAACTGTTCAAAATCTGACTTCTTTTCACTACGCACAACAAGTACCAACCCAAAGGCTACAAGTCACCTGCGGATAAAACTGCTAAGCAGCCTAGTATTATAGGTTCGAATTTAAAAATATTAAAATATCATACACCCACGTTTATATAAAAGAAAAAACATATGCACACACGTATAGAGGATTAGATAAGTCAAAAGCACTATTTAATACTAGTATATATGACCTAAAAAATAGCAGGCATCTCTGCAAATTTTATAGTTTATTTATATTTGTAAATGCACATGAATGTGCATGAATTTGTTCAACTTTTTACTGTACATGCAGTTATATAAGGCCTCGCGTGCCATGTATAAATTATACTACCTCCTCTCCTAATTATAAAAACTTACTTATAATCTACAAACGATATCTTATAAATAGAATCAGAGATAGTATATAGAAATTATATAATAGCCTTGTATAAATTATATAAGGCTATTATATATATACATGTTGTTTTCTATATACTGCCACCAATCCTTAATGTAATAATTTGTTTTATTTTTATTTTAATTCTAAATATAAGACTCTAATATGCTTTATCTCTCATATTATCTACTACCTCTAGTCCTTAATATAAGAGTTAATTGAATAATTTGAGTAGATTAAGGAAACTAGTTAATTAAGTTAGTTATTTATAATAAATATGTGTTGTCTTTCATAAAATATCATTGCCAATCAGGTATAGTGTCTAGAACTACTATTATTACAAGAATTATCTTAAAAAAAATAGATAAATATGAGAGACAAAATGTGGATTAGGGTATTATATTTAAAACTAAAATAAAAGTTAAACTAGCTCTTATATTAAGAACTAGAGGTAATATTTTCTTTTCATGATTGTCCTTGTAACAATAGTAATTATAACCAATATACTTGATTAGTAAGAATGTTTTAGAAAAGACAACACCTATTTATTATAAATAACTAACTTAATTAACTAATTTTTTTAATCTATTCAAATTAATCAATTATGTAGTATATTATCTTTATATTCACTGCCTGCTTTTACTTATCCACGTCAGTAATTTTTTCAGGACCAAGAATGACAGAATTTCTTTTTAACCACCCAGGCCATATCTGATCCATCTATCTGTGTCCGACTAAATTAAATGATGATATAGTGGCATTATATATATTGAGAGAGAATACAGAATAGAGTAAGTTTTATATCGTGTCGTCCTAAAAAAGAGGTGGAAAGGATCCACGTTCAAAGAAAGTGTCCCGATATATCGGCGTCGGGCACGTAACTTGTCTTTAATTGGTTCAATGTACTCTTATCCCAGAGGGTGAACAGAGGGTGAACAGAAACGAACGATCCCTATATTTATGGGCAAGTAATCAATATCTGCATACCATGTATCCACTTCCACTTGATAACGATAACGTTATCATGGCTTGGACATGAAAATGTTTTCACGGAAACATCACAAATATTAAATTATTTTTCCTATAAATTTTGACAATGGAATACAGAAGTAATAAAGTCTTGGTCGTGTACATAAGAAGTCAACAAATTCACAGTTATATATACTTGTATATCCTATTCTGACCCAGACATATACAGTACAGGCGTAATGTACGAGACGCTTCTTATTATGAACCGTATATTTAGGAACAAGATTTAACATGCATACAGGAATACAATGACTCTAAGTTGGAAGTTCAAAATTAAATACCACCAATAATCTTTAATATAAGAGCTGGTTGAATAGTTTTAATATATTAAAAAAATTTGTTAAGTTAGTTGTTTATAATAAATAGGTGCTATCTTTCCTAAAATACTTTTAATAATCAAGTGTTATTTGATAAAATATTTAATATGCACAACTACTAGAGTCTTATATTTATGATTAAATTAAAAATTAAACAAGCTCTTATATTAAGAACCAGATATAGTATATACTCCTCCGGTCCTTAATATAAGACCCATTTAACTAATTTGATTAGATTAAGGAAGTTAGGTAAGTTAGTTAATTATAAGAAACGTGACACATTTTTTCTAAAATACCATAATCATTTTTCTTAATACCTCCTCTCTCTTTTACTTGATTATAATTAAGGGAGTATCTATAGGGACAATTTAGAGAAAATTGATAAATATGAGAAATGGGTTTTATATTTAGGACCAAAACTAACTCAACAATTGGGTCTTATATTAAGGACCGGAGGAGTACTAGCTAAACACCCCCTTCTATGGTAAAGCATATATTCATAACTACTCAAAACTTAATAAAATAATCCATCAGTTATATACATGTGATCTGCACATACAATACTTATATATTGCATGCGTCGATTTTATGAAAAATAAGAATTTCATCTACTTGTCCTCAAAGCAAAGTGACTTATTTATATGGTACATGAAGCATTTCAAGCCATGCGTGATATTTTGTGAAGAGAACTTCATCAGCTTCATTCACACTACGATAACTAAGACCATATATATATATAGTGCTATATATAAGAGAGCGAGCTTTGAGAGACGCCTCCAGAGTTCACAGTATATACAGGCACGTTCCATCTAAAAAATACACTATTATATATATATATATATATATATATAAGGTCTTGTTGCAGCATATAGGTTAAACACACTGGTAGATAAATTCACATGTCACTATTATCTGCTCCTCTGTGAATGTGATGATAGGCATCCCCACAAAGATCATTATTCCATGGAGAAGGATAGTAAAAAGCAGAAGGAGACTGACCAAGAAGGGACGAGGACGAAGCTCCGGGTGGTTCATTAGCCAGATGATGAGTGGGAATCTCAGTGCAAGTATAGCGAATCATTTCAGCATTTGTGGCATCTAGTTCCTTTTGGAGCCTAATGACTTGCCTTTGGAGCACCGAGATGGCTCCAACACAGCCATACACAGGATCTTTGATCCGAGCCTCAGCTTCATAAGCCAGAGAGTTCACCGCATCTTCCCTTTGATGAGGAAGAACTTCGTTCAGAAGCTTGCTAACGTTGCTTGCTCCGAATATCTTGTGAACGTTGGCAAATTTTTGAGGCTCTTCTGGTGGGAAATATGGCGCAAATATGCAGTCTGGCATGCACTTCCTTCTCAGAAACTTGCAGGCTGCACATGGAGAGTTGTAGCTTGAAGAAGACGCCATCATATATATATATATATATATATATATCCTTCGCTGCCACCCACCAGAAATTCAGCAAATTAATGTGTTGATATATATTTTTTTCTAATGTTAAGTTCATCAAAGTAACTGCATCGGGCAAATATATCGCTAAATTAATTCATGGTACGTGTTCAGCATTTCATCCAACAAGGATTAATCCTCATACACACACAAAGAAAATAATAAATTAAAAAGCAAATTCTGCCCATGGAAATTAACATAAATTCAACGGGCAGCCAATCCAAGCTAAGTTTAATCATATATTAATTAACTAAACTTGCACGCAAACATATGTAGAGAGCTGGACTTGAAGGACGTAATGTGTAGTTTATAATTACTCGCTTAGTACTGTGCGCTGCTTTTCAAACTTCTTTGCGTACTTTTTGTCCCTTACTTGATCTCAAAGGATTTCGAACTAATTTTTCCAATACAACCGATCGAACACTTTCTGGACTCAATTTCTTTTTGTTACTGGGAGAGGTGAAAGGGGAAAATAAAATAGATATGATAAATATTTCTAGGAGACGACGTCGACGACGCAGTCTGCAAATTTGCCAGTCGACGTCCTGATTTTCTTCACTTCCTTCAATCACCAAAAATTCACAGAACTAATAAATTTCTATCGTCTATATATATAATCTCTTATTCCTGAGATGTTTCAGTAAGCCAGGTCTCATAAGACCTTCTATGATGGAGAGTCAGATGACTAAAAGGCCAAGACGAACATCCGATAATGGAAACGATAGATCTTTCCGTTAAGTGATCGCTAGGACGTGGAAATTTTTCGAAAGATAAATCATTAATTGATTCAACCATAATTCCGGCGGACTTTAAATAAACAGAAACCCTGCTGAATCATATTAATTTATCGTTGAATCGGAAAGAGCAGAGATATGCGTATATATCATAAAAGCACACGAATTGAGCAGAAACTAGCTAGCTAGCAGTTTGCTTTTTTAGAACAAACAACGTAAATACTTGATTACCTTTTTTCCGGGCGTGGGAGAGCGTGTCAAGATCTAATCTTTAATGATTCGAATGAAAAAGAAGTGTTCGTGAAGCGAGGGAGAGTTCTTGATGATTTACTATTGGATGTGAGAGTTCAGGCGGAAACCCTAGTTAGTTGCAGGACAAGATGAGGGAAACCCGCAATTACAGTGAAACGGACAGCAACTTGAGAGTGTGGAGAGGCAAATGGCATTTGAGTGGAAGGAAAAGAAGGCAAAAGACAAGTGCAATAAATAAGGCTTCAAAGACCAGAGGGAAAGAAAAATGTCACTACTACTTTTTCTTGATGGTAAATCATCAGGTCCTCAAACGCTTCATCAGCTCAATAAAATTTCTATGACTATTCACCACAAAAGGACAGGACGGTTTTCTTTTTCTCTTTTTATAATAATAACTTCGATCCTCAATGTAAAAATTAGTTGAATAATTTAAATAAATTAAGAAAGTTTGTTAAGTTAACTATATGTAATAAATAAGTGTTTTTTTTTCTAAAATACTCTTACTCATCACGTGTCTTGGCTAAAACTACTATTTAATGATATCGCTAGTTAATTTGGAAAAAAAATATAAAAAATTAAAATGTATTAAAATTTTATATTTAGAATTAATTTGAAAATCAAACAAATTCTTGTATCAAAAATTGGAGGTAGTAAAATTTTCTCAATCTATCTTTGCATAGGGATTAATTACGCTCTCTCCGTGGTTCTAATTAAATCTATTCATGCCCCTGGAGGAATATTTTATATAATAAACTTTTACTTTGACAGAAAGAATTATTTTTAAGTAAAAAACTGTATACTTACAAGAAATGTAACACTGATTGATTGATTGATGAAGTGTTGACTGCTGTTCGCAAACTTGCATTGTATGTGATTAATAATCAAGCCAATCATGGATGTTTTTTAAATATAACGAGTTAACAACGATTAACGGCCGAATGCCTGTCTTCAGACCGCTCTTAATTTGCCCAATCTATTTGCACAAAAGTTAAGATACTTCGCCGCCAGACCTCCTTTCTCTCTCACGATGTAATATCAAACTAATATTGGCGACAAAGGCTGCTATAATAGTACATATGCATAAATTCAGTCAGCTGAAAAAACGGGCGAGTTCGTTTAAGCTCACCTTTAATTATCAGAGCAGGACTTGGAAACGACATCCTTTTAAAGCCAATCGAATTTAAAAGGATAACATACTAAAAAATAAGAGGGTTAATTCTTTAAAGTCTGGGACAGACCTTTTTAAGCTTTGTAAGCTAAGGATACATTTTTGAGAGAATTAATGTGAAATCTTAAAAAAAAAAGAAGATAATTACATGCTAGTAGCTGAGTATCATTTTCTACTTTGTTATTATAAACTGCTCGTTTATTATAGAATGTTACCGCGAATACATTATATTTATGAGATCTCACTGTAATTATTCCTGTATTTTTTAGCTGAGTTTGACTCCTACTTATTTTATAATATTACTTTCAATTCTTAATATAAAAACTAATTGATTAATTTGAATAAATTAAGAAAACTAGTTAAATTAGTTATTTATAATAAATAGATGTTATCTTTTTTAAAATATTTTTATTAATCAAATGTATTGGTTAGAGCTTATAATAACAAATTTAATCATTTTTTTCATATGGAAAAAAGTGCAGCTCTAATTCTTCTCTGTTTTTTTTTTAGCAATACGTATGAATGGGCATCATCTGCTGGCTGAATTAAAAAAAAGAACGACCATCATCCTCTAAACTTCTTGATCAAAATAAAATTTACCTTTTTCACATAGAAAATAGTGCAGCTCATCGATCGTAAATTCTGTATGAGAGCAGTACGAAACCATAACTTTAGTTATCTCATATATTAATCAGGTCAATGGATTTTTCCTTGCTAAGCAAATTGTCCATGGAAAAAGTGACGCCAATCACAATTAAGTAACTCGTGCTGCTTTTTGGTCAACAATTTGTGCTATTCAATAACTTTATTGACTACTGATACTTGATGATAATTTAAGAGAGTATTTTGAGGGGAAAAAAAAATTGAATTTGAACGTTGCGGTTACTCATCCTATTAATCATATAGTACGACGGTTAACGTTACTTTTTCCTGATTATTGACAACCCATTTAATCAATAACTTCATTGATTATTAATAATCGATGATAATTTAAGAAAGTATTCTGAAAAGTGGCCCCAAAAAAAAAAAGAAAGTCATTTGAGAAAAATAATAAAAAGGTTAGGGCCCTGTTTGGATGACATTGCAAACCATGGTTTGGAAGACCAAACCATGGTTTGCACAAAATGTCATCCAAACAGACTGATAAAATTTTCAAACCTTGGTCCAGGTAAAACCATGGTTTCAACCAGTGAAACCATAGTTTTATCAGAAGCAACTTTGATCTGCTTCTCGGCTTGATTACTGAAAGCTTACGGTGGGCCCTCAACAAATGACCAAAGGCTCCAATTATCAGGTTCGTGTTCAAATAATTACTCTTCCTCTCCTCTTTCACGCTTTCTTCTCCAATCGGTCCAATGGTTCATTCCCCAGTCGTCCGCGGTCTTCCTTTCCTCCTTCACAGAACGAGTTGCCGCCGGTGAAGAAGTCGCCGTCGTCTAGCCTTTGGCTTTGAGGATTAGTCCTGCGAAGATGTAAAATGGAATCAGAAACAGAGCCGTCGTGTTCAGAATCACCCATGACCTCTGCATGTAAATCCCTAACATATCAAGTTGACCCGCCCTGTAAGCTTGCCCGCACAGCGTCTCCAGCGCGCTTCCCATCCCGAGCTGTTCGAATTCAAATTCAGAAAAATCAAAATCACTTCACTTTAAACATTTTAAACAGTAATTTCTAGGTTTTACCATGAAGCCGTAGCAGAAGTTGCCGATGATCGAGTTCTCGATGGAGATGGCGGCGAGTTGAAGGGTACTGACATGACTGGCGATGACCTGAGTGACGGTGCCGAGGGAGAACCGAGAAACGGATGTCAAAATGGCGGGGCCGGTGAGGTACCAGAGCTTCTTGGACTCGATGAGGAACTGAGTAGAGAAGTCTTTGGAAGTGTTGATGGGAGGAATGTCAGAAGATTCAGCACTGAAAATTGCAGTAGCGGCGGAGATACCATGATGAGGTTCTTCCAGTGAGGGTGTAGCGGCGAGGAGTGGCTGCCTATTATTTTCCCTATGCTCCATCTTTTTGGTTCGGCCTTCCATTGCTCCGTCCCTCTTCGCAATACATAATTTTCTGTTTACAAACAAAATAATTCATCTTCTCCAAAAATATTTTTACTCTTATATTTTATGAATATATATACATCTGGTGCCAATTAATTAATTAATTAATTATATTAAACATCAGAGGTAGCATGTTATTACAAAAACTAGTTGTGAAAAAATGTTATGAGATTTCATGTTTAAAATCTTTAAAGAAAATTAATATTTTTCTGTTAGCAAAAAAAATTCATTTTTCTATAAACATATTTAATATTATGTTTTATAAATATATATACACATATTAATTATGTTTTAATTATATTATCTTATATATTATTAATTATGTTAGTAAAAATTATTTCATTAACAATTTTATTTCTTCAAATCAAAATATATCATAAAATCTATCCTTTATATAACTATTATATTAACTTATACCCTTTTTGGTAATTTCTACATGTAAAAAGTGCTTCTGGTAATAACTATCCAAACACTCTCACTTCTCAAAATCTATTCTTCCCAAAATCTATTCTCCAGAAGCTATTCTCCAAACCACGATTTGGGAGTGTTTGGGTGATTACCCAAACCATGGTTTGAGAAAAAATTACCCAAACACCATAGAAAAAACCAAAACCATGGTTTTGGTAGAAGCAGAAATTATCTGCTTTTGGAGGAAAAAGAAAGAGTGTAAGAACTTATGGTATATGTGTCTTGCTGTTTTTAGAATAAAATAATATTTTTTTTTGGTAAAAATTATTCATTTTTTACAAAATTTTTTTAATCTCATAATTTATAAATATATATACACATATTAATTATTTATTAATTATATTATCTTATATATTATTAATTATGTTAGTAAAAATTATTTTGTTAACAATTTTATTCTTTCAAATTAAAATATATTATAAAATCTAATTTTTGTATAATTATCATATTAACTCATGTCCTTTTTAATAATTTGTACATGTAAAAAGTGTTTCTGGTAACAACTATCTAAACACTCTCACTTTTCAGAATCATTTTTTCATAAAATCTATCCTTCAAAAAATCTATTATCTTTAAAATCTATTCTCCAAACTATAGTTTGCTTACATCCAAACGTCGCCTTGGTTTCACAAAAATGTTATTCAAAAACTTCCCAGTAATCATATCCGACGGTTAAGTTAGCGTTATCTTTTCCTTGTTTCCTTTTTCACCCGGCAGTGATAACTTTACTTTACTTTACTTTTTTTTTTGGACTGGCCTCAAAAAGTCACTTTTCCTAGTTATTATCTTCCGGGGCCCACTCTTCAAAACGCACACGCAAAGCCAGGTGCCCGCGAAACGGACGAGAGGGCGCGAGAATGCGCATATTCCCGCGAGTTGGCGCCCGACCCGATCTGACTTCATTTTTAATTCAATCTGTGCCACCTGCCCACCTGTCACCTGGGAGTATCTTTTTACGCTCCAAAACCCTAAACCCTGCTTACATTTTACTCCCCTTGTATTAATTGTACTCAAAATCTTACCGTTGTGGTAGCGATCGCAAATCCGAAATGCAACATATGCAAGCTCCGGTAGACTTTCATCGTCGGTTGTGATGATCCCAATGGACTTGAAGATGACAAACCTCCTTCTGTTCAGTTGTCTTCTTCTGGGACTAGGAGTGTGGCCGGAGAAGTCTACTTCCTATGCTGGTTCCGGTCCTCACATTGCAGATGTTAATATACTTTTGCCGCCAAAAATGACTTATCCTGTAGTGTACAGGTTACAAGGAAGCGACGGTTGCTTCAAATGGTTGGTTTTTATTTCGTTTTCTTTATTATTCGAATTAATGAATCACTTGTGGATTTTATTTTCTTTGCTAGTACAATGCTGTATGGTATGTACTGTACTTTTTTATTTTGATTGTGCAAGCTTGTTCCGCTGATCGTTCAACAATGGGTTGAGTATATTTCTGATACCAGCCTTTGCAAAATCACTTTAAAGATGTTACTGCATTATTTATGTATAGCGCCAGTAGCTCGGCCTACAATAACTTGTTCCTACAGTTCAGCTGTGGTGAAGCTATATGACAGCTGCAACAGTACTTATGTGTCATGGTGTCAATATTCTAGTGCTGAGCAACACACGCTATAAAATATTATCAATAAGTATGCAGTGTAACATACGCTATGGAATATAATAGGCTTTTTGGCTTGTTTAGAGAAGGTTTCTTCTCAGTGTCTGGACGTATTTTTGTTGATTTAGAAACAAATGATTTTGCAGCTCATTTAGTTTGTATGCAAGTGATGCTTTAACTTTTTCAAACAATTTTCTTTCTTAACCCCTAATATTGTATAGGACCTTTTACTTGGCCTCTGTTTGGTGCTTCACTTTCAAGCATTTTCAAGGATTTTTTTTATTTTTTTGGCTAGTATGTCGGGTGGACTAAAGGGCCCTGCACTGATGATATTTTCCTATTGCCAGTTTTGCTCCTATTTGTGCTCCTTTTCCAAGTGGATATCATCAAGGACCACTTCATCTCAAAAGTTTAAACTATAGAAGTAGGCCAAGAAATATTATTGATGCGTATCTCTAACATGCCTCCTCACCCAGATGTCCTCTGGGCTTAACAGTGAACAAAGCATATGTTCTCTTCACCTTCACTTTATGTAATATTAATGAGGAGAATGAAGGTATAAGGATTGATTGAATTCGAGACCATTTGTTCATGAGGGCCATGGTACCATGTCATGGACTGCTTGATCCTAAAAGCTTTAGCTCAAGAATGGTTTGATATGTATCTCTTGCAGATATTGTATCCTCCATTAATATACTTCCTTTCTCAGTAACAATATATTATCCCCCCCTGATATTTTACATTTCTTCATTAATTTTACAGGTCATGGGATCATCATGATATTTTATCTGTTTTACCTGAATATAATTCAAGCAGCGATTGCTCAACCAGTGCAAGCCTGCGATCAATTGCCCCATATAGCGGTAGAAAGGAGACTGCTATTTATGCTGCAGATGTGCATACTGGAATTATGATTCGATGCAAAGTCTTCATTGACAATATATCCAGAATCCAGATATTTCATAATTCCGTTAAGCTTGATTTAGATGGGCTTGCCACACTTCGTGTCCGAGCCTTTGATAGTGAAGGTATTCATAAATTTTTTATTTGTCTTCATGGGTAGGGAAAATTTAAATGCTAATGTGTGTATAAGTGGATACTTTAAATGATCACGTTTTTATTAAGATGCGTTATTTATTACATTTACAAAGTTATTTAATTGAAACATGCTTTGCTAGCCTTTCCTCCCTTGAAAAATTAAAAATGACCTTTCAATCAGTAATTGAAAGAATCTCATTGCAGGATTGGCTTAAAAATTATAGCTTGGTTCATCTCACTTCTTTTTCTTTCGAACACATCATATTGTCTCTCTGTTATTTTTTTCCAGTCATATTTGAAACTAATTTCAATTTCCTCTCTCTTTTCTTCATTATCCGGGGAGAATTCAGCATATTTATATCATTAGTCTACTGTACTGCAGAAAATGTATTTTCTTCCTTGGTTGGTTTACAGTTCATGTGGCACCTCATTCCTGAAGCCAATAAACTGCCTCATCACCTGGTTAATGTTCCTCTAAAGGATTCCCCCCTTAGTGATTGTGGAGGACTCTGTGGGGACCTAGATATACAAATAAAACTTGAAGACAAAGTAAGTCTGATGCTAATAGGTTTAAATGAGTTAAGACACTGTGCTATAATGTTAACATATGATTATTTTACTATTTTATCTGGTCTTGTGGTGCAGGGTGTATTTTCAGATATATTTGTGGTGAAGGGAAATGAGATTGGCCATGAGAATGTTTCAGTGCAATTGATTGAGCCACAGTTTAAGAATTTGGCTGATCAGATTGTTTTAACTGTAGCAGAAGCTATGTCACTGGATCCTCCTTCACCAGTTTTTGTTCTTGTTGGTGCTCTCGTTCCCTATACCCTTAAAGTCATCCGTGGAAATGTTCCTCAAGGTTTACTTATTTTCTTCCTTGACTTTTTTTTTTGGGTGCTTAATTTTCATGGCAATCTTCTAGGATTGTAATCTTATAGTTGTGGGATTATGATTTATGTTGTCAAAACATAGTTAGCTACTAAAATTGTTTATTATTAATAGCAGGGACACTGTTTTGCTGTCATTTTATGTATGATTTTTTCCCCTCCTCCTATGGAGTTTTCTTCTTGCTATTAATAATCAATCATCAATGGCAGTACCAATACAACAACAGGTCTTATCCCACTGTATTATAGGAAGCCACACTACTCATAAACCACAATACTGATTTTTGTGCCTTTGATCAGAATTAATACAAGGATGGCTTTTGATTAACTATTATTCTCTTTTACTTTAAAGTTTTAACCATTTTGCATACTTGTCCTTGCTGGTTTCTTTTATATTTTTTATTGTGTTATGCTGTAGGTCAGCATTTCATGACCCGTCTTTACCAGTACTTTTTGTGGCATTTGCAGTGGTCAATTTACCTTCACCACATCATGTCTGGTCTGTGTCAAATACATCAGTTGCTGAGGTTGACACTATGAGGGGGTTAGTACATGCACAAAACCTGGGAATGACCACTGTCATTGTTGAAGATACAAGGGTTGCTGGTCATGAACAAGTATCTTCGCTGAACGTGGTCCTACCAGATTCTCTTTGTTTATATATAACACCTTTATCTAGTTCTGGTGATCCTGTTGAAGGAATCAATCCCATTCCTTCCATGGCCCGTTGGTACATTATATCTGGCCATCAATATCTTATCCAGATAAAGGTTTTTGCTCATGGTCCTGATGCACAAGAGATTTATATTACAGAGGTAGCATGTATGGTCCTACTTATTATTTTACTAGCATTGGCAAAGCACTTGTATCGAAAAGTTAATTTTCTTCTCTGGTTTGCGGGTAGCCTCTTTATTTCTAATCTGGAATGTCTAGAGTTAAGGACAACTTGCTTGTTTAATGTTCTGAATTCCATTTTGTCTTGACATTTAGTCTGTTGAATTTCAAAGGCCTATGCTGGCACAAGTTGCCCAATTATCGTCTCAGGTCTCTCCTCAAAATGGAAAATTGATTTTTGGTTTTCAACTAGTTTCAGCCGTAGCCTCGTTCTGGTTTCCCTGCATGCTGTGGCTATAAAGCTGAAATTATCCATGAATGCGGTAATCCAGTAGTGGTATTTTCCTGTTATACATGTTTAAATATTGCCAATGATTATATTTACAATATGTTAGATCTACTATGGCATTTTCTTATGAGGACCAACTGCCTCGTAAAATAGGTTAGTTATTAGTTCACAAGAAAGGCTGCTTTCAAGGTAGGCAAAATAAAATTCTGGGGAACAATGTATTAACAATACTATAGTAGTGTATTGTTCCATGTTTTTTTAATCTTAGTTTATGAGCAGCATCACTAGTGCAATAGTAAAACTGTTGTGTGTTGTGCATGATCTTTTAGGCTCCTTTCCTAATGGCCTAAGTTGTTGGATAAATGGTAATTCATATTATAGGAGCCAGATAGATGGAGGAAATTTCCTTCAAGGGAAGATTTTAAATGGAGAGAATGCTTAACAAATGAAGTTCTCAAAATTTCTTGATGTATCTTTTTCAGCAAGATTTTGTCATCTTAAAAGACTCCTGTTACTCTCCAGCAAACTGCTATGCATCAAATAAGTGAAAGGATCTGGCTATCCACTTGGTTACTTTCTCAAATAAGTGAAAGGATCTCTCTATGCCACTTGGTTACTTCCTCAATGACAGACTCATAAAATTTTAAGGAAGACAAGTTGATCTTTTCCATTCTCTCCTCTGTTAAAATAGAATATATCCCAATATTTCACATTATCTATTATTTTTTTAAATTTAATCCATAAGAGGTCGGTCAAGCATTTGAGATAAATTAATCCTCCCTATCAAAGGGCATGGTTTAATCCTGGCAATTCACAATCCTAATACTTCCGTATTGACTCATGCCTATGTTTGATAAAAAGTTGGGAGTGCCTTTTGTCATCATTGTTTTGAGTTACCTTGACTAATCTTACTTCTGCTTTATGCATGAAATGACTGTATTGTACATTTCTATTGTAATCGATCCTAATCCTCTCATATAAACTTTTCACTTGCTTTTCCTCTAATTATTATTTACTTACTAGATTGTTCCTCACAATGCAGAACGATGATGTTAAGATTTATGATGATCAGTCTGATTATGGGAAGACATTTTGGGCTTTGGATGACATTGCCGTCAAACATGGCTGGCGAAATCCTAAAATGTTGAAAGCATATTCGCCAGGACTTGGAAAATTGACAGCTTCTTTGAGCTATCCTTATGGGCATGTTGACAGAAAGGAGGTAATGACTATTTCTTCTAGTTCTTTTATATTTTTCTCTGATTCCGTACTATGCACAGCCTCTTTCTTTCTTTCTTTCTTTTGTATAAGCTATATTTTGATCATATCTGCAACTATCTTATTCATGCTTTAGTCTGTCAGTAATTTTTTCATTTTTGTTTGTGAATATAGAGAGGGTTTGTGTTTCTTGATTGCAGACTTATCAGCCTCCTAGAACACTCTAATCTGTCACTATTGTGGAGCGGGTTTGTGTTTTCTGAAAGAAAGGAGATCTCACTTGTTTATTTAAATCTTTTAGGTTATCAAGGTTGTGCAGGAGACCATGGTTTGTGATCAAGTAAGGATCAGTTTGAGTGGTGAAGGTGATCAGCCACGAAGCATACTTCTGCCCTGGGTCCCTTCTGTTTATCAGGAAGTGGAGCTAAAGGCTATAGGAGGTTGGTAGCTTTCCCTGTTCAGTGGAATTGGGAGCAACTAAGCTATTATGTTTCTGACATTATTTACTTCTGATGTCCCTTTTTTGCCCCACAACATGCTATAGGTTGTGCAGAAGCTGCCAGTGACTATAAATGGTTGTCCTCAGACACATCGATTGTATCTGTGTCAGCTCTTGGTGTTGTCCAGGCTAGAAGGCCTGGTAAAGCTACTATTAAGGTGCTATCCATACATGATTCGTTAAATTATGATGAGGTAATATAAATGGATAGTCCCGTTCTTTTTCTTTTTTCCTTTCCAAAATAACATGTAGCTCTATTTGTTCTACATCAAATATATGGTCATTGATTCTCCCCCCCTTCACGAAGTTCATATGTGAGTTACACAATATGATATTTGGATTCTTCCTAAATCATAGCATAGAGATGAAAAGTAATCAAATTACAGTAGGTCTTTTTTTTTTTTTTAAATAATAAATTGAGATGCCTGTTTAGTGTTAGGTACTGTATTTTATTCTTTCCGTTATGTTATAATCTCTCTCCCAGCACTGTGCATTGTTTCATTAGCACCTCTCTTGGTATCTGTTTTATGAAAAAAATGTCCTTCTGGTTAGTCATGAAACACTTGCTAATGGTTTAGAACTCAGTAACCAACCCTCACTCTATAGTCTCATCCTTCTCCAGAAAGGTTTTACAAGGCTCAAATTTTTTCCTTTTAGAGGGGGCTAACAAAAGACATTCCTTTCTGAGTTATATTTCATGTGAATAATAGAAGGCAAAAATGTTTTGAAGTTATATGCTATATTTATAAACCATCAGAACAATCAATATTCTTTCCTCAATCGTGCAATGTGGTATTTGTTCTGGCATTTGTAGATAGTAGGATGTTTTCACTTTTCCTAATTAGAAAATATTGAGAGATGTTTTCAGTCTCAAATTCTTTGTTCCATTTGTGTTCTCTCAATTCATACATGGTATATTCATATGTTAGTCAATTTGTTTTTGATATCTGCACAAGTTGTATCATGATCTTGTTTCTTCATTGTACTTTTTTGTAGGTGATTGTTGAAGTTTCGGTCCCATCTGCTATGGTTATGCTTCGTAATTTTCCAGTGGAAACTGTTGTTGGATCACATCTTCAAGCTGCTGTCACAATGAAATCATCAAATGGTGATACCATATGACAAGATATTATGAAATTTGATTTCCTCTCTACCTGCTTTGCCTTTTTGCTTATCTTGATTTGTCCATCTCAGGTGCCTATTTCACTAGATGTGATGCCTTTAGTTCTTTGATAAAGTGGAAGGCTGGAAGTGAGTCTTTTGTCATTGTCAATGCAATTCAGGAGTTGTCATACTTGGAAACACTGGGACATAATCAGCTGCTTTCAACCACTGGTTACTTCCCATGTTCATGGGTCCATATTTATGTTTCAAGTCCTGGTCAAGCTCTGATACATGCCACACTCTCTAAAGAATATCACCAGTTTGACCACTCTCTTCATGGACCTATTGTCTTCAAGGCATCTTTGCGTGTTGCGGCATATCTACCTCTTATTGTATATCAGGCGAGTAATGGGAACAAGTTTGGTGGTTACTGGTATGACTTGGCTCTAGAAGAAGCTAATAAGCAATTAGATAACTTAGAGAAGTTATATCTTGTGCCTGGATCAAATTTAGATATATTACTAATTGGTGGACCTGAGCCATGGGGCAAACATATTGACTTCCTTGAAACTGTGGAAGTTCCAAATGAAGATGATGCTTTGATTGGAACCGGAGTTTTTGTGCATCGGGCATCTGCCAGCAGGAGTTTATACCGGGTTTTCTGTCAAACACTTGGAACTTTCGTAAGATTTTATATTATATTCTTGCTAGATAATTTCCTAATTCATCTTTAATGAGGTTGTAATCCCTAACCTTGTCTGGTTTCAAATGAATCAGAAACTTCTTTTTAGACGTGGGAATTTGGCAGGGGAAGACCATCCTCTGCCTTCTGTGTCTGAAGCTTGGCTGTCAGTTACATGCAGCATTCCTTCTTCAATTGTACTTATAGCTGATGAACCAGGTTAAGATTATTTTCTTTATCCTTGTTATAGTGATTCAAAACATATATTTGAAATTTCCCTTCTATGTACTTTTCTGAGCAAACTGTGCATTTCAGTGAATGAGCGTGATGTTATTAGAGCAGCGATCTTAGCTGATCGTAGTTCAGAGAGACTGCGTGATGTGCCCATTACTGTGGCAAATGGGCGCACTATTCGGCTATCTGCTGTTGGAATCAATGATTCTGGAGAAGCGTTTGCAAACTCATCTTCTCTCAGTTTGAGTTGGGGACTTTACAATTGTGATGGACTAGCATCTTGGGATGATGCTTATGATATAGTGGAGTCAAACAGTTGGGAGAGATTTTTGGTCTTGCGAAATGAATCGGGACTGGTACGTAAAAGAAGTATTTATCTTTTTATTTACTGCTCGCAGTGTTACCTCAACTAGTTGTTTATCAAACTTTTTGTCTTAATTTGGGTGACTGGAGTTGCTTTCAAAACAGTGTCTCAAAATTTATTTATTTTGGCTTGCCTTGTATCATTTAACTTCTTTATATGCACCCTTCTTGTTCTTGATCATATTGCTACTAATGTGATGATGAATTTGTTTAATTTTCGTCACTTTTGATCTATAGTTAGGGATTTTATCGGGACTGTCCCTTGTGGATTTATGAAGCAATTTTCTTTTTGGGCTTTTTCTTCATTTCTTTTTTCTATTTGGAGTCTTTTATTTCTTCTTTCTTCCTTTGTGTTAAGTCTTGTTTCTTCCTCTCTTTTTTTTGGGGCCCCTTCTCAAGGTGATGCTGATAATATTGGTTTCTTAATTAGTGCATGGGTGACAATATTGGCATTGAATTTTGTTTCTAGTGCATTGTTCGTGCAACTGTTACTGGCTTTCATGATAGCTTGCGAGGTGCAACCTTTCATCATTATCCTCAATCTGAAATTATTCTGACAGATGCAGTTCGTCTACAGGTACTTCTTGCTGGAATTAATTGTTCTTCAAGCTAAGGCTTGTTTTTTACACATTACGATTAAAATCAAATAATCATCATGTTCTGAATCTCTTTTCTTCAGTTCTGATTGTCATTATGAATTACTGCTGCTCATTTATCTTATCATTTTGTTTGTCTTAAAATGTTTACTTTTATCTTGACATTGTTTCAATGATCCAGCTCGTTTCTAGCCTACGAATTGATCCAGAATTCAGCTTGCTTTATTTCAATCCTGATGCAAAGGTAACACTATTATATGTAGGCATTTGCTATATTGCTTGACTTTATCCCGTAGGAAGGGTATGCGTGAAATATTAGAATCGTTTCTCTTCCCCAATGCTGGTATCCATCTCATTCTGTGTTATATGTTTTTGTCACTTATATTTGCAATGCTAATATTTTCTAATGTTTTGTGTTCTTGGTATTCGGTTTTTTATGTATCATAATTATTACTTAAAGCTTCTTTTCTATTTCATGTGCCTGCTTCCAGATAAATTTGTCCATTACTGGTGGAAGCTGTTTCTTGGAAGCTGTTACAAATGATTCTCAAGTGGTAGAATTTATCCAACCTCCTTCAGGATTACAATGCTTACAACTAATTCTCTCCCCTAAAGGAGCGGGGATGGCTAATCTGACTCTGTTTGACATTGGGTTAACACCTCCACTCACAGCTTCTGCACTTGTAAGCTTCATTTTTCTCTCGAGTTGAATTGCTTAATATGTAAGGAAACTATACGGTTTTCTATCTCTAGTTTGTTTCTTCCAGCTCATTAAACTATAATATATTCTTTCTCTTACATTAGGGCATGTCTGAGTGATCATCTTGTATCCTTGAAAGCCTTCCATGCTCCTTAAAAACATCCAGCCCTGAGCAATTCTGACTGAAATTAAGTAATCTCATAGAGAGATAATATTTTCTACATCAATTTTATTTTAAGAGGATTTTGCTTACACATAAGATGATGATGATGATAGTCTTTTACAACAATAAGAGCCCAAAAATAATCTATTATTTGGAAAGAGTGGATCATATTAGAAATTAGAAATTAGTAGTTCAAGATGAAAATGATTAAATTTATGTACTATTGTATCTAGAATATTGCTGAATATCTCTCTTATTTCACAATGTTACTTGATAGAATATTTATTACCGAAACATCTTCAATCATAAAATAATATTAGTTGAAATGATAGTCTGCGAGTATATTTAACCCTTTCTAAACAGTTATGTGGTAAAATTTTCAATTAATATTTAATGAAAGAATGTTATATAACGTAGACTTGTTTTGCATATGTAATACAACTGCAAACTTGACTTAATGGTTGTCAACTTCAAATGCAAACGCCACTGCTGGGTTTCAAACCTAGTGGCGGTACTTTGCTGCTGATTCCTATTCATGCTTGAGTCCACGTATTTCCTCCAAACTGGCCAGTTCTGTGAATCCTTGGTCTAGTTGGCTTGACTGGACCAAAAGAAAACTGCTTGAGAGGACTAGAAAGCTAATTTGTTCACCAATCATCTAGTTGAAACACCTAGTCTGTTATTCAAATCCATGCTTCTTTCTGCATGCTTGCTTATGAATCACAACTCTTAGTTTTGACTAGGCAGGCCCCCTTTTTACAAAATAAGAATGGCTAACCTTTTTGTGTTGCAATTTATGTATGTCTTGCTTATTACTTGGTGGTGTGAATTAATAATTGCAACTTGGCTCAGTGTGCAATTTTGCAGTTTGATAATATGTGCTTCATTTACTTCCATAGGGCATATGGTCGTTTTTCTAGTTAAGACTCTGCTTTCAGGTTAACTCTTACAATTTTAAGCATTGACTGAGCTTGATCTAGTGAGAAAAACTATGACGTACCAGCTTAATGGAATTTAAAATTTCAAGTTGTGTCTTTCAGTTTTGCAAAGGCAATGCCATCTCGTGTTATCAAGTGGTGTCTTATTTTGTGGGATTTTCTGAGCCTTCAATTTTACAGGTCCAAGTTGCAGATATAGAGTGGATTAAAATTATGTCAGGAGATAAGATTAGCCTAATGGTATGCCTTCTATAGAAGTTTCTTTGTTGCTTTTTTGGTCTAAATTTGCTACATCATGTGCTATTCTGATGTTTTCAGGAAGGAAGTTTGCAAACTATTGACCTATTGGTTGGTACTAATGATGGAAGGAGTTTTCATGCTTCTCAGGTTTAAATTGTTACCTTCTATTGTTTTAAAAGCCATACTCAATTTCTTGTGCATGTTGGACATAGACGTTGTTGTTCTAAAATGAAACTGGTCATTGGAGGCAGTTATTTTGTAAATTTTCTAGGCCTTGGTAACCCACATGTATATGTCAGACCGAATCACACCACCACCCCCACCCCTTTTTTTTTTTTTTTTGAGTATAAAACTGAATGGAGTGGAACCTGCGATGCAGTTTGTTTACATGAAAATTAGGGTACACATCGAGGATCATATAATTGAACTCATGGATGATGGTGGTTCTTCAAGTCTTGTTGACGGATGTGTTTCGGCACCGAGTTTTAAAATCAAAGGGAGACTTCTTGGAATTACAACCCTTTATGTATGTCCATTGCCTATCTCAGTCAATTTGATCTTTGTCTAGGTTCAAAGAAACTTGAAAATTTGAATCTTATTGATTATTCATGAAAACCAGGTCAGTTCCATTAAGCATTCTGGACATGAGATACTGAGCCAAGCTGTCAAAGTGGAGGTCTATGCACAACCAAGAATCCTCCCTCATAGTATATTCCTCTTACCTGGTGCTTCTTATGTGGTATGTTTCAGATTGCAAGTACTATATATATTACCTTGAAATTCATGAGTTTATAGAAAGAAATCTATTGAGTAGTGTCCTTTCAAGTTTATATTCTTAATTTGTTACATTTATGATGACAGCACTCGTTTATCTGCTCAGGTTACCATGAAGGGAGGCCCAGCCCTTGGTGTCCATGTTGAATATGCAATTGATGATGATAAAATTGCGAGTATTGATCGATATTCTGGACGGCTCTCAGCAATTTCAATAGGGAATACTGTAAGATGCAAAAGCCTTCTCAACCTTAAATCTTCTTTTAGTTGTATATAAAAAGATAATACATATTCTTTGTTCTTTTTTCATCCTTAGTTTAGTTGATTTTCTTGCACAAGCCACTTGTGATGATTTTGATGTGATAGATTGTCTTCATGTTGATAGCATAGTTTAGCTGATGCTTTGGATTTGAGGTACTTGGCACATTGTTGATTTACTAGGTTTTTCATTTTGAAGTTATAGTATCAAGAGCTGAGTGAGCATTGAGTTATTTGTGATAATAACTGTAAGTTATAGTCCTGAGTTGTCCAAATGTCTTGTCCTCAATCTTTGGCTTTGTTGTCTTGATGTTTGGCATGATCTCCTCACTCTGATAATTTGTAATGCTCTTTGTTTATCAATCATGTTGGTTAAGCTGGCAACCTACTGATGTAAATCAAGTTTTGCCTTCCGAACGCCTTTTGACTAAATTTCATCAGAGTAATGATCATATTTCAATGTAGCAGCTTCAAACCTATGCTTCGTCCACTTTTTATGGTCACTCTAGCGATGGGATGATTTAAGCTATTGATACTATAGTTGGTTCATTGAAATTTAGGGTTGAAGTAGTTGGTGGAACTTAGGGGCTGGGAAAAAAAAAAAGCACTCTTCGGCCCTTGCACCTTTCTTGTACATGTACCTATACACTCAGTAGATAGGCATCTTAGTGGAGTGGAAGTGTTTTCATGGCTTCTGAGTGGAGGGTAGCCAATGCTTGTATCCAGGGGGATTATTTGGCTGATGTTTATGAACATTCGTAAGAGTTAATAGGATTTTTGTTTCTCCTCCTATATTTTTGGGTATTGTGGTGCCTCTTCACGATTATACTTTTTCTTCTTTTGACAAAAATCATTTCTTTATCCAAAAGAAAGTAGTGGGTAGAATGCATGTACTAGTTCTACGTATTGTTTGTTGCAAATAAACTAGACTTGATATTTGTTTTCTTTGACGAAGTGCACTTATGGTTTTCTGCATTTAAATGTATTTGATTGTTACAAGATTTTTGTTTTAATTCAAGACATCATTACTATCAACAGACAATTCTTGCCCGAGTCTTTGTCAATGACGATACTGTGATTTGTCAAGCACATAGCACGCTAAGGGTAGGAGTTCCATCTACTGTTACATTGCGTTCACAAAGTGAACAACTTGGAGTTGGCCGTGAATTGCCAATTTATCCATCCTTTCTGGAGGTAACAGCAAAAAATCTAATGGAAAATGTCATCCAATTTATGTACTTTTTTTTTTTTTTGTTTGGCTTGACAGTAATTCAAATCTTAATATTATCCACTTTTTTATTGTCAGGGAGATCTGTTTTCTTTCTATGAGCTCTGTACAAATTACCATTGGACTGTAGATGATGACAAGGTTTGTTTTATCAACAATTCTGTCTTCTCCTTTGAACACTTCAGTTAGTAACTACTGCTATATTATGCCATGCTTTTAAGATTGTTATGGGGGTGCAAGTTCAGTTCATCAAGTGCGCACAAATTTTTCTGCCTGTTAACAAAATGCCGATTTTGCTTTAAAGTAATACAATTGAAGAACTCTAACATGCATTAAAACTAGAAAAATAGGCATGATGTGCCCTAAAGAAACACAATACTTGTGTGTTAAGAGGTAGTAATAAAACTTTTCTGAGTCTTCATTTGGTACTTTAAGCTTGAGTTGGGATGGCGCTTGACATGGTTTAGAGCCTCTAACCAAATGTTCTATTGTCAATCCTTGCTGCCCTAGTTCTCCGTGTTGGTGTGATGTACAAGATCAATGGTAAGTTGAGGAAATTCTTAAAAATAAAAGTACAAATATTGCATGTTGAATATTTGAATAAAAAAGATAAAAGGGAAAAAAGAGAGAATGCCTCATAAATAATTAACACGCCTATTAGAAGAACAGAGAATCCAAGGGAAGCCAGGAAAATACTATTCACAAGTCATGGTTTGCATGCGCGCCCACATATAGACTCAGCCTCTTCTTCGTGTAACTGCTTAAGGTTCTAGAGATGAGCCTTCCTCTGACAGCATTAGAAAGGCTTTTCTCCTGACACAAACACCCTTAGCAATAAAATGCATCATTGATGACATAAAAGATGTCACCAAAGAAAGCATCACCCACTGCACACGTAAAGGAAAAAACCCAAACTCCGCCAAGTTCACATAGCAAGTCAGAAACTTCCTCACTATCTGCCATTGCATGTACCTAAGACTCTGCACAACATGTATCATGCCAGTGACTATAGAGCCCCTTCTAACCTCAGAAAATAAACCGAGCTCATACTAGTTGAAATTAGTTGATGAGTATGAGAAGAGAGAAGAATTGAATGGGATCACAAACTTTCAATATCTGGCTCCTGTGTGCCTATGTATGCTATTAGAACTAAGTGGAGGACACCCGTAGGCAAGCTAATGCAAAATCAGTCCACAAAATAATTTAACCTAGCCATCACACTATTTTTATACTGCCCATGTAGATCAATGACTCAATATTGCTTGAAGGTGCAAGTTTGTCTAACAACTTTGGCTTTTGCTTTTATAGGTACTGAGTTTCACAGGATCAAAGAGTTTTCAAGGGAGAAGTATGGTACCTGGTTGGCTGCTTCAGAAGCAAGTCAAGCTGATATTTATCTGGATGACAGTGACCTCGGCTTTATTAAAGTCTTGTATGGAAGGTATACATTCTTATACTTCTTAAACAAATGACGGTTGGTATGCATGCTTATAGTTATCAACCAGATAGTTATCCCTAATTTTTCTATATCACTGGTAGTGGGTCGTATCAATCTTTATAAGCTTTCTTTTATTATGTCACTTTTCTTGTTGATGTTGGGTAAATTACTTTCTTATAAGAGGCACCGTGAGGAGATTGTATTTTACAAATTGTCGCTGTGAAACTCAAACTTTTGATTATATATATAGGAAGGTATTTTAAGTAGTTTTTCCTGGGAAAGCTCCATGAAAGTGTCAGTCTATTGAGGATTTTATATATTGGCGACATATTTTGTGAGAGTACCAATTTGTTATGAGAGTGAGAGGAGTTGACTGTTAGGCCTTGTGCATGATTAGTCAAAATTAAATAGAAGTCGTGGTTCTGAGTATTCTTTTAATCCTGGAAATTTGTGTAAGATTCATTGGTAAGGATTTGATTACATAATAAATTAATACCATATATATTGCTGGAATCTTTTGATTCTTTGCAAAATAATCACTTGTGATATTTCCTGTTAAGGGATCATGATTCATGGCCAGGATCACAATGGTTTCTTGTGGGTTAAAGGTCTTGATGTAAGATTCATTGGTTATGTTCCTGTTTGTTTCTTTTTCTGGTTGAGGATATTGGCTGAACCTTGAGGCCTACATTTTCTTATGATTTGCAACCATTTTGCTTGAAGTTAAATAAAATTTTTCAAGGTTGTCATGTTTTTGGGACATTCATCTTCATATCAGTGATAAAAGAAATTCTTAATCGTCTTCTGATAGCTTAAGCCTTTTGCAAGATATAGTGCTGATAAGTGCAAGAAGAAGAAGTACACAAGAATCACTTGTTAATATTACTTTACTGTTTCTTATGACTTTCTTTGGCTTCCAGATCTGCTGGCAAGTCCACTGTCGCTGTGTCATTCTCATGTGAATTTCCAACTTCTGGATCAAAGATGCAGTCAAGGTTTTACAGTTCATCTTTATCAATAACTGTGGTGCCCGATCTACCCTTGGCTTTGGGATTCCCGATAACCTGGATTCTTCCTCCCCACTATACATCCACAAGTCTTTTGCCTTCATCTTCTGAAAGTTATACACAACTAGATAGTCAGAGTCACAAAGGAATTATCAACTATTCTTTACTGAGAAATTTCGGGGAGAGAAGTGAATCTCTGCAGAAAGATTCCATATTCATTGAGGGAGATAGAATAAAGACAACTTTAAGTAATAATCTAGCATGCATTCAAGCAAAAGATCGCACCACAGGAAGAACAGAGATTGCTTCATGTGTTAAGGTTGCTGAGGTATGAGATTTTTATCCTTTTCGTATATTTGGGGTGGGCTACATGTTGTCTATTCAACAAAGACAATTCGTGACATGAGAGTGTTAATCATCTTGACCTCCACCGTCTATCCTCTGGACGTGCTGATTTCTCCCACAACATCTCCGCATATTTTTAACTTTAACCCGACTATGTAAGCATATGAAATGGTTTAAAGCTGATATTCTCCTGAGCATACATTGCATTAATTTAGCCAATCAAGCACTATTTGTTAATAGAGACTTTATATTTTAATAGGTTGAGAGGTTGGCTATCTTGCTTTTGCTCTATACTACTTGCTTTTGGAAGAGATCTTTTACCTATCTTCTACTTGTATCTCTTCTCTGTTCTCACTAATAAAATATCTTCTTTTATCATAATAAAATTTTATTACTACTTGTCTCATTGTGATAGCTTTGTATTTTGATCCATTTTATTGACATGATAGTTGCTTTGCCATGGGGAGACACGTTGGCCAAGACATATGTTGTGCATGGGTCTTCCTTTCTGTCTTTCCATTTTCTGGTTTCAATTCACTTCTGCTAATTTCTACGCTATGATTAGGTGGCTCAAATAAGAACAACTAGTAAGAAGGTTTCGCGTCATGTTATTGACCTTACTGTTGGCGCTGAACTTGAAATCCCAACAAGCTATTATGATGCTCTAGGTTTGGTTGCCCCCATAATAAATACATGTAAGTTTTCATTTTTTGAGAGCAAGAGTCCTTATTTGTCGTTGTGGTGTTGTCTTTGAACAGGAAACCCTTTTCATGAAGCGTATGATGCAGTTCCTTTTCATGCTGATACTAATTACCCTGATGTTGTCTGCATAAACTTTTCAAATGATGTAAAAGGCAATGTCCATCTCAAGGTTTGTTGATGGCTCCATGATAAGCCTCACTTGATTGTAATCTTTTTCCAATAAACTGCATAAGAACCAGCTGATTTGACACAAAATTTTACTACCCCCTTCAATCTCTAATATAGGAGCTAGATCACTAATTTGCATAAATCAAGAAAATTAGTTAAGTTAGTTATTTGTTAAATGAAAACACCCTCTTCAATCATTTATATTTGAACTACTTCTTGATGGAAACCCCTTTCATATGTGCAATTAATATGAGTAGCTTGGAAAAAAGTTTAAATTGGGGAGAGAAACTAAATTGATATTTTATATTTAGAACCAAACTAAACCCCCTGTCTTCAGCTTTTTATGTTGAAAAGCGTATCTCTGAGTTCATGGTTTTGGAACATAGACTGGATCCTCTCATGTGTGGTACTTGGTTTTGCTGCTGAATTACATTTCTCAGCCATGTTACCTTATTTAGATCTTGTGCTGACTAATTCTTGGTTGAAGGCAATTCGGCATGGCAAAGCTCTCATGCGTATTTCACCAAGTGAAGCTCCACAAAAATCCGATTTCATGCTTGTAAGCATCTTTTTTCCGCCTATAATCTTCTGTTTAGACGTGTTCTTTGTTCTTTAAAATATTAAGAATGATTTTATCCTATAGAAGGACCGTCAATGGTTTTATTATATATTTCTAACTATTGTCACTAAATGTAATGGTCAAATGCATGAAGGGTTTGATAACTCTTTTAAGTTCTAGCTGAATAGGGACTATGCTTGTGATGTGTTAGTTGTAATCACCATCAAGTATATTCTTTTAGGTTCCGTTTGTTTCATTTGAAATTTTTCCCTTGGGGAATTTTTCTTGAAAATACTACTATGTGTGTTTTGTCAGTATAGATCTCCCAATTTGTTCTACAAATTTCTATCGAAAAATTTTCTTAAAAATAATCAAGAAACCATTCCTGTTCTGAGTTATTCAGTTAGGAGATTATTCTGTCATCATGAGCCATTAATAACGAGGCTCCTCCCTCTTGTATGTATACTCCTTTCCTGGTCATAATAATATAGACAAGAAATTCATATCATCTTTTCTATTTCTCTATAATAATCTTACAACCGCTATAATCACTCATGCTGAGCCAACACCATCATGGAATCTCAACATGTAGATTTGGGCTCTAATAAAATTTTCCACAAAAAAATTTCCTAATGGAGCGAAAATTATAAATTTATTCCAAAATGAAAACTCTTTTCAAGAAAAAACCTGAAATTTTTTTTTATTAATTTCATTTTTCCTCAAAATAAACAAGTCTTTATTGGACAAAGGACAAGTTATTTTAGATGCAATTTTTGCAGGTTATAGGCTATGCCATTGTGCTAAATTTGCAGTATTTTGGCTTGTTTGGTCAAGGAATATGAGAGCTCTTAGCAAGAAGTTTCGACCATCTCTTCTTCTGGGAATGAATTTTAATATTTGATTTATAAATGAATAAAGCTCTTTTGATTGAGAGGGACCTTTTCCCTTTTGTGTCTTTTCTTTATAATGTTGAAATCTCTTTGTTGTTCTATACTCATTTCATCTACGAAATTTTATTGCCCTTTTTCTGTTTTCTTTTTTTTGGTTTCCCTCTTGGTGGGATCAATTGTTGACAAGGCTTCAGAAAATACTTATGAGACAGAGTCTATGGCTCGTAATGGCTGGAAATATTGCGGCTTTACGATCTCGTATGTGAAGTTGTTTGATACTAATATAAGTCAATCTATTTATAATTACTTACGGAAGAAGTAAACCTATGTGCTAATCAAAATTCCTTATCTCCACTAATCGTTTCATCTTGGCCTGTCTCGTCTTTCTCTACTATATTGCTTTATTTGAATCAATGAACTTTTCAGATTAGAGTTGGTGCCCATATCAATCCTCAAAACCCAGTCCTTCACATTGGAAGTCCTCTTAACTTTAGCATAAAAGGTGAGGCTTTATTGAACCCTTGTAGTTAATTCATTTTTCTCATATCAGTCGGACATAAAACATAATGTGTGAAATTTCTATGTACGAAATGTCATCTCTTGTTGGATGGCTTCATTAAATAGTATAATGAGGTTTCTTGGACTTGTAATGTCGTTCCTCAGGTTGGCAAACTAATTGATTGTATCAATTTGGGTGTAGCTATTAAAAATTTTACATTTTTATTACCTAAATTTTCGTGGGAAGTATGGGGTCAGTCCATCTTGTTTTTACAGGTTTAGAGGATAATGTTTCTGGGCAGTGGTTTACCTCAAATGGGAGTGTGATGTCCGTGGAGAGGCTATCTGGAATGGCTGAAGCACTTGGGGAAGGCTCAGCACAAGGTGCTGGATGTTGAAAATTTATTTTCCTACATTTTTTATTGTCTTGGTTTGTTTCTTTAAATGCATTATATCATGTCCTTATTGTGAACTTCTTAATTATGGGCAGTGTCTTTCCTACATGAAAGTTTGAAAGTGCATACCACGGTTAGAGTATTGAAAGGAGATATTATTTCTGTGGATGCTCCAAAAGAGATGTTAACCAATGTACCATACCCTTCAAAAGGATATAATTTCTCTGTGAAGCTCAGGTTTGAGAATTGTAAATCAAGCCATTCGCTTGATTTGAATGACCCCACCTTAACGCCTCTTATGTCTGAATTTATTTAACAGGGACACCTATGGTAAAAACTCTGGAGCATCGAGAGCAAGTCATGGAGTTTCATTTGATTGTAGAGTGGATCCACCATTTGTTGGGTATCTCTTTGTCGTTACTCCTATTTATTTAAGTTCCTCCTCCAATGAGTTCATTCTTAGAATAGTATCTTCCATGTGTATTAACTGAAGGCACACAAAGCCATGGCTGGACTTGGATACTGGCACCTCCTATTGCCTATTTTTCCCTTATTCACCAGAGCATTTGGTGCACTCAGTACCCAGGTCGGAAGGCATGAGGCCGGACATATCTCTCTACATTTATGCTTCTCTTAAAGGAGCCAATCTTGCTTCAGGATCTGCATCAGCACTTTTTATTGGAGGATTTTCTATAATGGAGATGAGCAAGGTAATGGCGTACTTGAAAAGCAAAATTGCCCTTTATTTCCTTTGTTTTCCCATTGTTTGAATGATCACATCTGTATGTCACAGAAGTTTGATTCATTAGGCTACGCCTGCTATTTAGATAGTGCAGTTATGTGACACTTCAAACTGTTAAATCTTAAAGTACTAGATCCTCTGAAAACCATATTTGACAATAAAAGTTCCTTTTTGTTTTTTGTTTCCCTATTTCTACAGAGTTCAATGCAGCTGAATCTGACGCCAGACTGTAACAAAACTAGCATAACCATCTTGGGAAATACTGGTAAGCTGTTATGCCTCGGTAGAGCTTCAAAGTACGTGGGTTAGGTTACTTGATTTTTCGCTTTCATAATTCAAATGGCCAAGATGACTACAAGTCTTCCCTCACCTACCAAACGCCTGCTTCTCTCTCTCTCTCTCTCTCTCTCTCTCTCTCTCTCTCTCTGTGAAAAAAAAGGTTGGGATGGGGGAGAGTTGTTGAGATGCATGTGTTTTAGTAGGCGACAATGATCCAACCCACGCAGGCTCTGCGAACACGCTGCTTTTATATTCACATAACACTGAGCATGAATGTTATAAAGATTGAGTGACCAATGTTTCATTAGTGATCTGACATTTAGCTGTCTTTGTTGTGATAGATGTTGAAATTCACTGGCGTCACACAGATTTATTTGAGATCAATCTCATCCATAAAGAAGATTTTGGTATGGGAGGGTCAGCGCAGTATGAGGTGAGTGCTTTTAATTATGATCACCATTGCTTAACTTGGAGGTCCTAAGTTCAAATGCTGGAACCACGAAGGCATAAATATGATACTCATTGCCTGATCTTGAAATTGGTACTTTATGTCTTAATGAGGTTTCGCTGATGCCTTGAAGAATTCAATGGGGTGCCTTACCTTTATCCTAAGCAAGATGAATGTCAGCACGTTCCATAAAATGATGTCACAATTTTAAAAATGAGGTTTATTTAGGTTATGATTAGATGGAAAATAATGGAGAATAAAGGACAGGAAAGGAATTTGAGGGAGGCCTTACCCTTGTTCCAGAGCTTTATTTGGAGTAAAATGACGGACTTGAAATCAACCTCCAAAATATTTCAGTGTCCACCATTGAATCATTAGTTGTCTTGGTTCAAAATATTCCATCATTCATTTGTCGTGAATTATGGATTGAAAAATGACAAGTTTTCATCCAGCCCTCGAAAATATTTCATTGAGTTTCTAAAATTTTTGCAGTTGGTCTCCATTCCCTTATTCTCTGTTAAACGTGATTCTTTTTATGAATTACATTAACCATTCTCCACTTAATTTGCAAATTGGATTCTCTTTATGCATTTATGTATTTGTGGAGAGTGATTCAAGAGAAAGCGGGTGTGTATGAAGTCTACCTAGCTTTACACTCGTCCATTTTCCCTGTATTCACTTTTGTGAATGTAGAGGATCTGGACTACTTATTTTCCTGTGGTGGCTGCTCTAGAAACAACTGTGATAAGAACGTTTTTTGTTCATTTGAATAATTCCTAATGCTGAAAAATTCACCTGAAAAACTAACGGTTCCAGTGGATTTTATCATTTTATATGTAAAATCTCCTCTTTACTGATTGTTCTAATCCGTTGTTTTAGATCAAACTGCTGAATGCCAAAAAATTCGAAGACAAAATCTCCATTACCCTGCCAGCTACTGGTTAGTATACGTAGCCCACAATTTTGATGCTAGCCAATGACACCCTTAAGCAAAGCCTTCCTAAGGGAAAGGACATAAAACTGTTGCAGGTAAAATTTAGCCTATCTGCTTTCCTGTTTTACAGGCCAGAGAGCGGAGATAGACGTGAATTGTAAACCCGTAGAAAAAGCACCATCCCCGACCATCATCGATGTAGCCAGCTGGGCAATCATGCTTGGGCTTGGTCTACTGTTACTGTACTGGGTACTAAAGGCCACGCCAAGGAGATCACAGCAACCCAGAGCCAGAGATACTGCTACGTCGAGCAGTTTAGCTCCTAGTACTCCTGATCGAAGCAGCGTTAATGTTATAAATGACAAATCTCCACGGACGCCTCAGCCTTTTGTGGACTATGTCAGGAGAACCATTGATGAAACTCCATACTACAGGCGGGAAGGAAGAAGGATTAATCCACAAAATACGTATTAGACTCTGCCCACCCCCTGCTATTCTTCCCACATTAGATGTAGTGCTTTCTCTTTATTGGGCCACGTAGATGTAATGTAAATTTTACGGTGTAATAATACTGTGTTTGTCAGCCTGAATGAGATTATAGGATCTTAGTTAAATTCTTAATCGGAACTCGATTAATCAAGAAATGAATTTTGCCAATTTGAGCGGAACTATTTTGTCGTATGAATATTTTTCATGTGAATTAGAATTTTTATCGTGAGATGTAGGGTAATTTCTGTTAATTATTATTTTGGCTTTAAAATTTTTCATTTTGTTTTAATAGTCTCATTAAAAATATTGTTAAGTTATAAATATCATGACCTCATGTGTGGGATACCGTTTTATATAGTTGTTAATTATTTAAATCAGACATTTAAAGCACTAAATAGAAATGCTAATATGTCGGTCTATAATTTGACATTTGACTTCGTCAACATAGTTGTTGCATGTTTTCTTTTTTGCTTTTTTGAAAAAATAAAGATCCATCAAACCAGCCTATATGAGCCTTTGTTCCAGTTTCGTTTACTTCAGATGTTGGTCCGCTTCACTTATCCTACACAGTTAAGCCGGCAAGCCCACTTATTTTTTTTAAATAAATAATTTTCCAACAATTGAAATGAGATTTTAACTCGTCTAAAACAAATGGTTTAAGCGCATTATAAAGGATATTTAAGCCCTGAACAAGAAAGCCAGGAAAGGTGGCTATCTTTTGGAGGGGACATCAACGATAATGCCCGCTTTGTGACGAAAATCAACGGAAATTAACAAAAAACAAGAGCTTGTCTTCTGATTCTGAGTTTCTTTCTATTTTGGTTTTATTAGTTTGCTCCTTTTTTTCTTTACTGCCTTTGATCAAATTTGAGGCTCTTCGGAGGTGCAGAAAGACAAGCGAAAGTTGCTCTACTTTCTGCGAGTGGTTTTTATCAAGCGTACCCGCTTGTTCGCTGCATTGACGTCCATCTTTCTTCACTCATCTGGTGCTTTTTTTTTCCTTCCCATGTACCTCCGTTCCTTTCTTTATGGTTTTTGCTTAAAGTTCATTCCTGCTGTTTCTCAAGGAGATAGCCGTTAAATCCAGAAAGATGATGATTGTTTCTAAAGAACCTCGGAACTTGTAAATCATAATTGAAGTTGTTTGGCATCAATGATATGACGTACTGTGATTATTCTTTCGGATTAAGCTGGTTACTTTGTCTAGTTATTGTTGGTTAGTCCTCTTCTTCTCTCTCAAGTATAGCGACCAGAATGTAACTCTTGAGAAACTTGTAGATATTTGAACCTGCCACGAGACACCGTAGTGGTTTTTTCTTGAAATTTCGATTAAATGGCGTCCTGTATCTTCCATTTCTGGTCAGCCATTTGTTATCCAATTTTCTTTGTGACGGTTGAGATTCATATGATCTTCTTGTGATCGCATCTTTGATCGGTTTCTTGCAGATGCTATGACGTTGTATTCTTTTTGCGCTTTTTGAATTTTCTTCAACGCCATTCTTATTAATATCTTTTAATTCCACCATCATAATTGTCATACGAGTATTATTTTTGGAAAACAGAAGGACTTATAAGGACGTGTTTACTGCAGGAGATTCTGTAATTAATGGCTTTGTCTCGGAGCTTCTCAAACAAGTACGTCCCGATAATTCACTCTACTTAATTGAATTTTGATGCGAGTACGCGTATTCAGAATTTCTTCATGGCGTCTTCTGTCAACGGAGTTGCGCCTTTATCAGAGGTTCAGAATTCAGTTTCTGCGATAGATTCCGATCCTCCTTCAACATTTTGGATTCCTCGGCCGTCCCGGCCTCCTCTAAGAACTTCCAGAAATCACGGGGTTTCTTCTGCATCCTATTTTACTGGCCATGATGACTATGCAACGATGCCCATCAACCGTCATAGAAGCTGTGTAATTAATCGAAGGCATTCTTATCTAGAGCCCAACATTGTGCAGCACGGAGAGTTACCAAATGCGTCAGAGCTGTATTACAACTATGGTGGAGAATCTGGCTGTTTAAGCCTCCCTGAAACTGGAGAAAGTTGTTTCGGGAAGAACATCTGTACCATTGAACCATTCGATACTTCCACCAATTGTGATTCAAGTAGCAGCGTATTAGAATTTGTAGGTCCATCAAGAGGGGTTGATTCAGTCAAGAGTTACTGTCATCCAGGGGTTACTTTTTGTCCAAGTCCTCAGACTAGCTTCTATTCTGCCACTTTCTATTCCGAAGCCAAGCAAAGTTTTTCTAATACTGAAATCAGTGAAGGTGTTAGTGTTGATAAGTCAAGTGAGATTGGTGGAGTTACTAACTCCTATTATTGTAACGAGAGCAGGAAGACCAGCATCTGTAGAGGGAGTAGTGTGAGTGAAGTTAGTGATGAGAGCAGCAACTGTACTTCAAACAGCTCTTTGTATAGACCCCACAAGGCAAACGATGTAAGATGGGAAGCAATTCAAGCGATCCGAGCACGCGATGTGATCTTGGAAATGAGACATTTCAGGGTGTTGAAGACATTGGGACGTGGAGACATAGGAAAAGTTCATCTTGTGGAGTTGACTGGCACAGGAACTTATTTTGCCATGAAAATTATGAATAAAGAAGAGCTAGCAAGTCGCAAGAAGCTTCTGAGGGTTCAGACAGAGAGAGAGATATTGCAGTCTTTGGATCATCCATTTCTGCCCACATTATATGCGCACTTTGAGACAGAGATATTCTCTTGCTTGGTAATGGAGTTCTGCCCCGGTGGGGACCTGCATGCACTCAGGCAAAGACAACCCGGGAAATATTTCTCAGAGCATGCTGCCAGGTTAGCCATTCCCCTTCTCGCCTCTCCTGAAAAAAATCCTCTGCAATTTATGCATCTAATATGCGCATATACAAGCAAGGATTGGTAAATGGTGAGGTTGATATTTTGGTTCCGTTTTCCTTCTGGACTCAAATGTCTCTTGCGCCAGAAGGGTACTAGGTGCTGACTCAGGAAAGTTCTCTTTTCGATAGGTTAGAGTAGATCATCAGCAGAGAGGTTTTCTTGATACAAATAGAAACCCAGGCCTCTGTCTAAGGAAGATGTGAAATTTTAGATGTCTGCTGTCACTGCCACCATTATCACTAACTCCATGAAAAATCCATTTTTTTCCCAGTAAAACAACGATAACTGAGGTTTTCAACTAAGTTCGAGAATGTCAGCCAAAATAGGCGAAATTTCTTCCTTGCATGCTTTATTTTGTTTTACTACTTTTGCGTCTGCTCTAGTAATTCTCCTCTCAACTTGTTTCATTCTGTCTTGTGAATGCCATGATTAGGCTCCCTATCACCTACAGAAAGTTCATGAATGGCACTTGTCAGTGTATCATTTATTTAAAAAGCGATCAGCTTTTGTATGACCCAAATAATTTTCAGTTTTTGTTGTTATTTATCCAGAGTTTCTAGCATGTCTTAGTTGTCGCCATTAACTTCTGGGTTCGGTTATCAGCTTCAAAAAGTCTGCTATGCTTTCATATAGCCCCCCTAATGGCTTCCTATAGTAATTATTCCAGAGGCCCATCATCTGCCATTCTTTCATACAGCCCCACTAGTAACTTGCGATAGTAGTCATTCCTTCGGCCCTTCTAAGGCTGCCAAAATGACAAATAAATTAAGATATTGCTGGTAACTAGGTCACTATGGCCTGCGTAGGAGACAATACACCAATGAAAATAAACTTGAATTTCAATTTCTTTTTCTTCTTTGTTGTTTTGAGTAAATCACACAAATCTCTCTTGATTTTGTCAGTCACAGTAACCTCGCTGCTGTTTTTAGGATATGTACAGATATCCTTTGAAACAAGTTATCCTATAACTTGGTCGAATTATAAACTTTTTGACTGAACTGTCGTCCTTTGGTCTAGATACATGTTTAATTAGTTTGGACAAGAAAAGAGATGTTTCCACCATATGTATTGTCATTTCATCAATCTGCACTGTGCTATGCAGGTTCTACGTGGCAGAGGTTCTTCTTGCTTTGGAGTACTTGCACATGATGGGGATCATCTACCGAGACCTTAAACCTGAGAATGTCTTGGTGAGAGAAGATGGTCACATAATGCTGTCAGATTTCGACCTCTCTCTGAGGTGCACTGTCAGTCCAACTCTAGTAAGATCATCATACTCTTGCATGGAGACAAAAGCCTCAAGACACTGTGCTCCACCTGCGTGCATTCAACCAACATGTGTCATGCAGCCAGATTGCATCAGACCTGCATGTTTCACACCTAGAGTCCGATCTGGAAAGCCCAAGAAAGACAAGGAGTTGAAAACCAGAAATGAAATGCATCATCCAGTGGCCTCTCTTCCTGAGCTCATTGCAGAGCCAACAAATGCACGTTCAATGTCATTCGTGGGCACTCATGAGTACTTGGCTCCAGAGATTATCAAAGGAGAAGGGCATGGCAGTGCTGTAGACTGGTGGACCTTTGGGATATTCTTATATGAGCTTCTGTTTGGTAGAACGCCGTTCAAAGGTTCAGCAACTAGAGCAACTCTGCTCAATGTGGTGGGTCAGCCCTTGAGATTCCCAGAATCACCTAGTGTCAGCTTTGCTGCTAGAGACCTGATAAGAGGCTTGCTTGTGAAAGAGCCACAGCATCGTCTTGCTTATAGACGTGGAGCTACTGAAATCAAACAACATCCATTCTTTCACAATGTTAACTGGGCACTCATTCGCTGCACTCATCCTCCGGCGGTCCCCAGACAGGCCATGAAAGCTCTCACAGTTGAAAAGATGGCTGCCACTGCTTTGAAGCATTCTTCTGGTAAATATTTAAATGTTGATTACTTTTGAACCTCATAATGAAACGGTGCATTGCTGCTCCACGTTTGGGTACGTACGCATTTGTAAATGCCTATAAGAAACTCTGAATGCGTTCAAATGAGTGACCAAGTTTCTGTTATCTCATCGAAAAGCTTCTGTTAATAGTATATTGCCTGCTTGTTTACATCTGAAGCCTTCCTCTCAGAAGGCTCCCTGCTGCACCATGGTTGCAACTCCTTTGAGCAACTTTAGTATTAAAACTGTCATATGATGGCTACTCGACAGAGGATTGTGGGAACAAAATATTATTGAAAATCATCCAAAAATTAGAGAGAAGTGGGGCATTGCTTTCTGGCTCAGATGAGGGGTGGGAATTAAAAACAACACTTTCAGAGACATTATCATCAATGGACGATGGTTCTGTGAAGCAAATACAAGCCAAAATGGTTGAGGCCCCTGCCATCTCATCGTTTACATATATAATTATCACGTTGAAAAGAATATCTATGTGTTGATTCGGCAGCTTAAAGCCCGTTTAGCCCTTCAAAAGAAATATCTAAATAAAATAATCGAACCTAAAGTATTCGCCTGATCCGTCTCCATCTGCCAAGTCGCTTTCCATCTTTTCTTGATTTGATTATGAGAACAGCATCCTTACTTTATCTTGCCAGAATAAATTAATTAGCGTTAATTCTTTAATTTCTGGCTGAAGTGTTTGAACGGTTTATAGAGACAATGAAAAGTCTCTCCAGTTAATTAAACAGGAATTATGCTTGTCCTTAGCGCTCTAATTTCTTTCTTGATGCTACGTTTGATCCTGCCCTTTACTAATTAACAATCTCATAAATACGCAAATAATCCGTCACTCCAAGCTCAAACAGGATGGTATTCTGATTAGATTTTTAAGTGAAAAGTATTGTCCTGAAAACGACGACTTCTTCATGTCAAAATGGCAAAAAGACGCCGACTTCAATCAACTCTAAATGCTGTAGCCTGCCGAGGCACAAGTGTTATCGGATAATACCTCTCAAACATCAAATATCGAGATGGTGGAATCTAGTCACCGTTGAAATTTTAGCCCCAAAAAAAAAATCACCGTTGATTTGGGATTAACCCACTTGTAATTAAAATATATAAATATAATTAAAATGCATTAGTTCATAAGTAAATAGAATCTCTATATATAAATCACATATAATCAAACACAAATAAGATGAATTGCTATTTCTTTTTAATTTAACTAGAAATGACATCTTTTTAAGATCAATAATTATAACATTAATTAAATCATGTGTCTTTTTACTAATGTATAAGAAAAACACAAAATAACTTGTAGTTAGATAATGTATTTGATCCTTTACTCAACTTAATAAATAATTTACTCGTCTAAATCAATTGGATGAGATTAAGTCATGAGGTCAATTGAATCATTAGATACCCATATAATAAAATTAAAATCTAGGCATTCCATCTCATGTTGTCTGTTGGATAAGAGATTCTAATTGGAATGATGGTTCTTGGTGAGAAACAATAAGAAACACAGCGATATTGTAATTTCAATTTTCAACGCAATGGTGATGGATGAGTTGAAGGGAACAAAATAAGGTGCAGCTTCTTCTGTCTTTGCTTTGGTCACATCACCGCCCATGCTTCATAAAGTATTCTTTCTATCCCCTAAATTCCCATATTCTTCCAATCTTCTGCCGCCATGCACCCCCATATTCCTCAACACAGATGCATGCATGGAGATCCATATATATTTATATTAGGAAAATCTCTATGTGAGTTTATAATTTAATGATACTACTACCTCCGGTCCTAATTATAAGAGCCAGTTAATTAATTTGAGGAGATTAAGGAAGTAAGTTGAGTTAGTTATTTGTCCTAAATAGGTGTTGTTTTTCCTAAAATATCCTTACTAATCAAGTGTATTAACTAAAATTCTTATTATTAGAAGGGCTAGTTTAGAAAAAATGTATAAATACGAGAAACAAAGTGGATTGGAGTCTTATATTTAGGACCAAAATAAAAGTCAAACAGGGTCTTACATTAAGGACCGGAGATAGTACATATTAATATTTCAGAAATAAAACACGTGACAGCTGTAATCAGAAAACTTGACATAATAATTATAAGAAGCTTGATTTAACTATAGGTCTATATATTATAAGCACAAATATTTTTCTTCGTAGACATTAAATATTGATTTTTTTGGTAAAAAAAATTCAAAATTTTGATTTGTTAACTAGCTTTTTTTTTTTTTTCCAGAGCTAACCCTATTACCCCCCCCCCCCAACCACCAGAAAACCTTTTATTGATCTGAGTTTTATTTTATTTTATCTCCACTAAGATCCGCGTAGACTGAACGCAACACAACTGGTACCTCAGCTTTACGCACCAAACAAAAGCATGAGCACTCCCCATGACTCTCCATTTGCACGTCTCAAGTAACATTTTGATTCTTCTGAAAAAATTTGTTCATTTCTGCTTCACTCATCTTTTCATTCCTAGTTTCGTAAACATCCCTCTTTTTTCCCTCCGGTGGCTAGCTTTTTGCATCATCACAGCGATGATCGACTTGAAAGATTTGTGTGATTTTTCTTAAAGATTTCAGTGACCACTCAATCAACGGAAACAAGTTATATATCTTTACGTAAGTAAGCTTTAGGAGCATGCATGGACCCACCACGAAGACTACTTCACACCGATAAATTCGTCATTATGATGAATTAGAATAAGAGAGCCAAAGTGTATTTGTTCATCAGATAATTGAAAACCAGAAACAAATTTATTTAGCTCAAAATCCCAAGAGCCGTTGTTTATGAAATTACTGAATAGGGATTCATGGATAGGACATTATTTAATACAATAATATTCATGGGATATAGAACTATTATAACAAAGACGAAATTCTTGTGATACTTTTGAGTTAATTTTTCAACGCTGCCACTCCATTAATTACACCAAGAAGAACCAAATTTCACTTTGATATTCCACCATCCTCACTGCTCATGCATCAGTGCTGATATCAACTGCTTTGAATTAATTAATATATCTCAAATATAATTGTATCTTCATTATAATTAATCAAGTGATGACAAGATTTCCTTTTCAGGGATAAAAAAGCTAACATGATTGTATCTTCATTGATTCAATTTACTTCAAAAGTTTTCTAATGCTGACATTCTTAATTGGTGGGCTAGAAATACTTTTATTAGCACTTTTACCATATGAGGCTAGTTTACACGTGGGGTTTAAGTATGGAGTCTGATGGGCTAGCGGTGGAGAGTTTAACTACAAAGCTTTTATAAATTTTGGAGAAAGAATGATAGAAAAATTAGATGTATGTATATATAGGAAGCCTTTATTACTACTTCCTCCTACCCTAAATATAAGAGCTAATTGATTAACTTGAATATATTAAAAAAATAAGTTAGGTTAGTAATTTGTAATAAATAAGTGTTTTTTTTTATAAAATATCTTTACTAATTAAATTTATTGGCTAAAACAACCATTATTAGAAGGACTATCTTGAGAAAAAATAAATAAATATGAAAGACAAAGTGGATTTGGATCTTACATTTAATACCAAAATAAAAGCCAAATAAGGTTTTATATCAAAGATCAGAGGTAGTATATGACAATACTTGGTACTAAAAAATTACCCAATATAAGTTTTGAGATTAAAAGGTTATTTTCATCTAAAGTATTCTAAAGCTTCTTTTTTTATTATAATCATCCCGATAATGTTAAAGACATAGCAATGTCCCCTATCAACAAAATGAGGTTCACCTTTTTCTTTTCCTCTCTCGTTTTTTTTCTTCACTTCAAATTTTATTAAATTATACACACTCTTTAAAAAAAAAAAATTAAAATGCTAAGGAATCCGAAGTGGGGGAAAGGCACACTAGGGAATGAGACGTATAGAAACGCACAAATAAGAACATCAACATCGTGACATAACAGGAAATTATGGTACGCGAAGAGTTTCCCAGATGACATGGCACCAAAGTGGTGGGCATGGTCCTCAGGAGGGAGGAGCTGAACCAATGGCAACCCAAACATTAAACGGTTAACTGAAAACCCCAGTGCCATTTGGCGGTAAGCAACGGAGAATCCTATGTCAAAGGCCTCTTCCTCGTCAAGTTTCATGCTCGATTCCGTCTTCACTCTCGTGCCTCTCCCTTTTGTCCTTTCCTCTTTCACAGTTTGCGTCTGTAACCTTATATATACATAGCTAGACAATCTCACATGCACCTTCGCAACAACGCAGAGTTATTGCTGCTTCTCCTGCTACCTCTCGAAAATCCAAGCTCATAATTGGTTCCATTCTGTTACTATATAGATACACATAGCCTCAAAAGTACGCTATCCCCATCTCTTCCTTTCACTGATTCAATTGGAAAGTTTTCTTCTTTCTTTCTGTTTCCTTCTGCTTTCTGAAATTTCAGCAGTTCATATTTCATACTGTTTGGTTATGTGTTGTGTGAATTGACAATGAAATGTTCTGTGGTTTTAATTGGTTGCAGCTGGATTGGAGTAAAGGGAAAGTGAGTCCTCTAGTGAGCAGCATAAGAGCAAGGTTACGGCCCAGACCGATGCCGTTGAATATATTTCAGGACTTAGATGGATTGCCCCGTATTATATTGACTGAACCTACTGGTTCATCTGCAGAGGTAATTTCTTCTGCCTGAATTTACGCGTGTTAAGCTCATATTAGGCTTTCAGGTATGAAAGTGCTGTGGATGAATGGTTTCAGGTGCTTCTATATGGAGGCCAGATTGTTTCCTGGAAGAATGAGCAGAGACAAGAACTTCTTTTCAAGAGCAGTAAGGTAAGAAAATTCTGTGTATTTTCAAGTTACCTTCCATTTACTCAGCCCTTTTATTTATATAACTGTTCAGTTTTTTGAGTTTCTGGAAAAATTTCAAGACATGTATGGTGATTTTACGCTCTGACAGGCTAACTGGAAACAACCTAAATCAATCAGAGGAGGGATATCAGTCTGCTTTCCTCAGGTTAATTACCTTTTTTTTTTCATTCAGTGGCACAGACACTTTAGAAAAGTTCAAATCCATGTGCTGTGAATTCTAGTTCAACTTTGATGTGTTTAGCAGTTTGGGAATATGGGTTCGCTTGATCAACAAGGATTTGTAAGGAAC